TCTTTTGTAGCATGAGGAGTGTGTTGCAAAATGCAGTCCCTTTCAGCTCCTAACATCCTTTTATTAGTGGCCACGTGCAACCTACGAGTAGTACTGCCCCCAAGTGGAGAACCTATGGAATATGCCGTCATATGTCCTGCTTATCAAGCTGTTGGCAAAGCCTGCCTTATGCTCCCAGCTATGGAAGAGAAAAGCAGGCTAGGGAAATACCAGTTTGCCTCTGTGAAGTGTGTAATTTAGTGTTCTTTACAGGTACTCTGAGCATTTAATCAAATGCTAAGAAGAGCTTAATAACAGTGGGAATTTTGATATTAAGGTTTTAACTTTTTGTACTGACTATAATAGTCTTGATATTCATTGACTGCTTAGTCCTATGCAATTGAAGAGTCTTCGTGAGAATACTTACCATGATTTGTTTAAAATTTTTGCTCAGTTGCCTTTAAAAATGAAGTAATACTAGTGGGAAATTTAAGTTCATCCTTGTAACCTAGTATTACTTGTTTGCTTTGCTTCTAATTCAAGAAAACCTTAGTGCAGTCATCTTTTTTTTCTTCATCAATTTTTTTTTTCTTTTTTGAGTGGAGTCTTATTAAGACCTCTTCGTTTTAGCCTCCTGATATGCTGGAATTACAAGTGCAAGCCATCATGCCTGGCTTCATCAAGTTGCTAGTATCTGCCAAATGAAATACATACTCAGGTAGACTTGGGTTTCAGTCCCAGCTGTACTACGGTCTAAGATCTTAGGAAGTTATTGCTTATTTCTGAGAAATAACTTCCTTGCCCTTCTCTCCTACCCACTCCAAGCCCTCTCCCGCTCCTGAGACCTAGCTCCTCAACCTTTTCTGTTAAGCTTTCCTTCATTTGTCTACCTGTAATCAGTCTCTCACTGCTTTCCTTCCATTCAGCTTTTTTTCCTGATACTGGAAATTGAACCCAGGGCCTCATACATGCGCGGCAGCTGCTCCATCACTGACCTACATCCCCAGGCCCTTGCACTTTATTTTGACATAGGATCTTACTAAGTTGCCAAGACTGCCCTTCATCTTGTGGTCCTTCTCCCTCAGCATGCACCACCATGCTTAGCTTTCTATTCTGCTTTTAATGCATATCATTTTAGAAATTAGATCATAGTTATATCCTAATATGTGAACCTCTCTACCAAACAGTATACTTTGTTTTCTTTTCTTTTCTTTTTTTTTTTTTTTTTTTTTGAGACAAGAGTCTCACTATGTAGTCCAGGCTGGGTTTGAACTCACAGTGATCCTCCTGCCTCAGCCTCCCAAGTGCTGAGATTACAGATATGTGCCACAATACCCAGCCAGGCAGTGAATTTAACATGGTAATTTAGATTGGTACCTTATACATAGCACTCGGAAAAACATTATTAGCCAGTCTTTGTGGCACATAACTATAATCCCAGCACCCTGGGAGGCTGTGGCAAGAAGGTTCCAAGTTTAAGCTGGGTAATTAAATGACTTAGCAAAACCCTATCTCAAAATTTAAAAAGGGCTGGGGGTATCGTTCAATGTGAAGGCCTAGGTTCAATCTCCAGTACTGGCAAAAGTACCCAAACATCTGTTGTTCTATTAATAAAAACAAAAAGGGGCTGCTATACGTAGCTCAGTGGCATAGGGTCTGCCTCGCTTGTGCAGGGGTCAGGGTTTGATTGCCAGGCCTCACACAGAAGAAGCACACACATAATATTTTTAAGTTGTTTAAACCATATTTTTCTTGCAGTGAAAAGCCACTTGGTTTGTTTGGTTGTGTTTTTGTTTTATTTTTGTTTTTGAGACAAGGTCAGTCTCTGTAGGTCAGGCTGACCTTAAAAACTCACCTAGTCCTCCTGCCTCAGCCTCCTAAGTGTTAGGATTATAGGCACACACTTGTTAATTTGATTTGTGCTTTTTTCTTTTTGCAGTCTGTCACATACTATCGTTTTACGTATGCCTGGTTTGTCAGTGTTCAATTCAGTATAATATTTTCCTTTTATAACTAAAATTGTTACAGTTATAAATTCTTCTACACCTTTTTCTTATAGACAAAACTTTTTTTTTTTTTTTTTGGCCTTGTTCCAAGTAAATTGTGATGGCTAAGGAGTTCAGGGTGAGAGTGCATGCAGCCTGGTTATATCTGGTAATCATAGGCATCTCTGCCTTGCAGACCAAGCCTTCTTTTTTTGAACCAGGGATCGAACTCATGACCTCGTGCTTGCCAAGCAGGCACTTATGTCACTGAGCTAAACTCTTGGCCCTTGACTGTGCCCTCTTGCTCTCTCCTCACATGACAGAAGGCAGAATTGCTTTCCTTAATACCATTTGGTTGCCAAATGGCTTAACTAAACAGCTTTTGTTCCTTGATTCCTTCAAAATATTATTTTGAATTCTAGATTTAAACATAAATATCCATGGCTCTTATTTATCAGAATCTACAACACGTTACATGGTTAATGGCAAGTTTTCAGTATTGTTTTAGTTCCTCAGGGTTTCTTTTATGTTTTCTAGATTTTAAATTAATATCAAGAGCAAACCAGTAATTGGGCAAAAGTGCATTTTAGGAAATGAGACCTTTGTCCCCCTAATAAGAATCTTATTCTTATATCTTATAATAACTTCTAAAGAAAGGATGAGATTCAGTATAGATTTAGCTTATTTTATATGTATACTTACATGCAAAAGTATAAATAGTGGATATCTTCTAAAGGGTCTGGAAATATATATACTAAGTTCATAGCCATAGTTACCTCTGAAAAGGAATGTAGAAATTTGGGAACTGAGATAATGTGAAGGCAGACTTTTGGCTTTTATTCTCTTTGCTTCTGAATTGTACAATGTTTTAGTAGGAGAACATACACTTAAGCAGCTAAAAGATAAACACCATAAAGGTTTGGGAATGAGTGTTTTAGGCTATACCCTGCAAAGTCCACTGCCAATTGCAAGTTTAATTCCATTATGCTTTTTGGCAAAAAAAAGATGCATATTAATTATATAAATGTATATAATGTATATATCCACTCTCCCACAGCTGGCAGAGGCGCAGACATAGTTTCACTTCCAGTTCCTTTTACAAGTTTCTATTTCTAATTTAGGGAACCTTAAATGGTTTATGTCTAAGAAGTTTCATGCGGTTAATGTTAGTCTATCTCATTCAGGAAGTTTTGGAGGAGGAAGTAAGAGCAGGAGGGAAGTTAAATAGACTAAGGTTCAGCTTTATATGTACTTCTTATGTTGCTATCTTTTCATGAGGAGCTTTTTTCTCTTCAGCTCTCTATGAAATCTAACAACCAATACAGACTCTAGGTTAAAACCTGGCATTTGAGCATTTAGCTAGGAAAGTTAGCTTTAATGCATTTGCCACTCACCAAATCTTTTATCCAAATGAGCTGCCCTGCAGCTGCCAGCCCCATTAACTCTAGCCAGCGCCGCACAGATGAAAGAAAGTATAAGAAAAGTTAGATGTCTGTCATCACGGATTCGTCACACTGTTTTGTTTGCATGTTTTTGTGGCACTGGAGTTTGAATCCAGGGCCTTGCATAGATGGCTGGCAAACGTTCTACCACTGAGCTACACCTCCAACCCATCACATTTTTATATATTTTATACACTCAGTTTTTCTATCTCTAGCTTGATAGATGTTTCTAGTTTTATTTTAAATAATATTTATCTCATTTGTCAGACTCATTGCAGAAGACAGGCATAGAGAACAGAAACTCTCCCTGAAATCTTCCCATTTATCCCTTGTTAACCACTGTTAACACTTAGTAGAAAGAACAAGGACAGGGAATTGAACTAAAAAGATGAAAAAGTTGTGGCTAATGAACAGTAAGTAAGGAATCAATTAGAGGCAGAATATTGAAGAGTTCCCTATGTGGAAAAAAGAGCCATAGGTATATAAGAGTTTTCAAATCGGAAAAGCCCTTCTAGTTTGTCTCTTTTTAAAGCAGGTCATGAGCCAAGCACAGCATACATCTGTAGTCCCAGCGTGGTAAGGGAGGATTGCTTGAGACCAGGGCTTCAGGCCAAGCTGAACAACACAGTAAGACCCGGTATAGGACTGGGGAGAGGATAAGAGCCAGCCATGGTAGTGGGAGGCTGAGGCAAGATAGTCGGTAAGTGCCACGACATCCTAGGCTACATAGTAAGACCCTGTCTCAAAAAATAAATAAGTGAATCATAAGCCAAGGTCAACAGAAAAAACAGACTAATGAAATCCTCGCTTATATGATATTCTTCTAGTTAGGCTTTCATCGTTCATTCATTAACCTATAGGAAAAATGGGAAATTTCTTTTATGTTTATTTATTTATTTATTGGCTTTTTTTTTTTTTTTGAGACAGAGTCTCACGTATGTGTTCAAGCTGGCATTGGGCTCACTTTGTGGCCCAGGCTGGTCTTGGACTTGCACTGATCCTCTTTCCTCAGCCTTCCAAGTGCTGGGGGAGATTTCTTTTAATAACTTTTTTTTTTGACAGGGTCTGACTCTATAGTTCAGGCTGGCTTTGAGCTTACTATGTGGCTCAGATTGGCATTGAACTTGTGATCTGTCTCACTCTCCCAAGTGCTGGGATTACAGGTGTGCATCATCATGTCCACCCTGGTTATCATTATTTAAAGAAAAAACAAAACTGGAAAGCAGTGCCATATTTTGAGCAAATCCAAGGCTTATCTTGTCTCTGAGCTCTCATATAAACCTTAAGATTGTGGGATTTATATGAACAAACCAGACTCTCTAATTTTATATTTTGAGTTATGACGTTAATTTTGTAACCATGTTTTCTCATTCCTGTGTACTATTGGAAATAGTTGTTTTCTATAACTAGATTTGATCTAAAAGCCTGGGCGTGGTGGTGATGCCTGTAACCCCAGTACTTGGGAGGCTGAGGCAGGAAGATCCTTGCAAATTTGAGACCAACCTGGGCTATAAAGTGAGCTCAAGACCAGCTTGAACTACATGGCAAGACCCTGTCTCAAAGACAGTGGATTCCTAATTCCTTTCTTTTCCAGATTGCAAAAGTGGAGAAGCTCAAACCATTAGAGGTGGAACTGCGACGCCTAGAAGACCTTTCTGAATCCATCGTCAATGATTTTGCCTACATGAAGAAGCGAGAGGAGGAGATGCGCGATACCAATGGTGAGAGGAAGGCACCTCTTCTTTCTAAATAAGTGGCCCAGAAAGGAGAGTCCCCAGTCCTGGAATTCTGGGGCTGCCCTTTTCTCAGTTCTGTAAATACGGGATATACCAAAGGAAAATCATATGCTTTAGTACTATTGCTACTAAAAGATAAATCAGGATTGTTTGACTTTGAGAGGAGTAGAATTTTATTCTTTGATACGCAGTTGGCGGATTAACAGTTGGCTTATGGTATATCGAATTGATAGCATTAATCTTTGTAATTTTTAACATTTATCAATTGGTTTTTTTCTTTTTTTTTTTTTTTTTTTTTGCCTGAAACCCTCTTCTCAGACCTAATGTTAATTAATTGCTTTTCCTTGGACTATTATGTAGCCAGCTACAGAAGCTACTTCATTACCCTTACAATGCTTTTGTTTTTTAGAGTCCACGAACACCCGGGTCCTGTACTTCAGTATCTTTTCAATGTTCTGCCTCATCGGACTAGCCACTTGGCAAGTCTTTTACCTGCGTCGCTTCTTCAAGGCCAAGAAGTTGATTGAGTAATGAGGCACAGTCCCCTCCCCACTGGAATCCCAGCCAGCAGAACATCCGCTGGAACGTGCCTGTCCCAGGGCCTCCTACCTGCAGCACCATCAAGGCACGTTGGTGCTTTCTTGCCAGAACTGATCTCCTGGTTGGGAGGACAGGAGCACCACCTGCACCCAAAAGTCAATAAGGGACTTCTTTTTACTTGGTAGGATTTGAATTGGTTTTGCAACAATAAGACTATTATTAGAGTCACCTATGACAAAAAAGAGAGGTTACCTAGATAATGCCAAAGCCAGCATTCGTCCTGGGTTTCCTCACATGATCAGTTTAAACCATTTGCTTTCCTCCTCCCACTGGCTCACCAGCTTGGGCTTTCACTCTAGTTCTTTTACCAAGATTTGTATGACCACATTGAACTTGTTTCATACTGACTGTCATCTTTGGGTTTTCTTGTGAAAACACCCTGAACTTTGTCTTCACCCTTAGCTGAAATGTTTACATAGCTTCTGGTGATAATTTTCATAATTCTATGTCTCTTGAATGGATATGAGACCTCATAAAAGGCAGGTTTGAACTACAAATAAGCTCTTAAAGAAAATTTCATTTTAGATTGAAAATATTTGTGCTCAACTGCTTGGGCTTTGTTCATGTGTGTATATTTAGTTCTATGCAATTTCATCATGTGTAGATTCATATGACCATCACAAGAGACAGTACAATTCTATCACATCAATCCCCCATGCTGCCCCTCATACACCTACAGCCACCTACCTCCCTATGCCGTCCCTTTCCCCAGCCTCTGCCAACTGTGAATCTGCTATCTCTGTACTTTTGTCATTCAAAAAATGTTACATAAGTAGAATCATATAGAATATGACCTTTTGAGATTGACATTTTTCATTCAGCATAATTCCCATGAAATTTATCCAAGTTGTGGCATGTATTGATACTTTGTTCCATTTTATTGCTGAGTAATATTCCATGGTTGTGGATGTACTAGTTTAACCATTTACCCACTAAAGGACATATGGTTTGTTTTCAGTTTGGGGCCCTTCCTAATAAAGCTTTTGTGAACATTTGTGTATAGGTTTTATGTAAACATAAATTTTCATTTCTCTGGGATAAATGCTCAAAAGGGCAGTTGCTGGGTTGTGTGTTACTAGTTTTATACGAAACTCCCCTATTAGTTATACCATTTTATATTTCCAATAGCCATCTGTCCCTGATCCATTTCTCCTCATTCTTACCAGCATTTGGCATTACTGCTGTGTAAAATTTTAGCCAGTTGGATAGTATGTAATATCCACAGTTTTAATTTGCATTTTCCTAATGGTTAATGATGTTGAACATCTTTTCATGTGTTTCTTTTTCATCTGTGGATCTTCTGTGAAATCTTTTTTTCCATTTTATAACTGATCATTTGTTCCCTTACTATTGAGTTTTCAGAGTTCTTATATCCTAGATAGAAATCCTCCATCAGATATGTGGTTGTTTGGATTTGTAATGTAATTTCTACTCACGAAAAATAAATAAAATTTACCATCTCTTAAATTACACACGCCTATAATCCCAGCACTTAAGAGGCTGAGACTGGAGGATCTTTGCAAGTTTAAGACCAGCCTGGGCTACAAAGTAGGCTCAAGGCCAGGCTGAACTGCATGTGAGACCCTATCTCAAAAAGACAAAGAAAAAATATTTAGCACCTCTTTTTGCATGGCCAGTAGCTCATGTATTTCTGTCCTTGTGTATTTTGTCTAGAGGAGTAAGACATGTCTAGAGAAGTATAAAATAGACATCTTGGAAGGCCGTGGAGTAAATTCTTGAAAGTACATGTGAAAGCAAAGCCAAGAAGCACTTGTAGGTTTTGGAGGTGCCTAGAAACCATTACCATTATAAAACGAAGAGGGCTGGGCTGGGGCTGGGGCTGGGGTGGGGCTCAGTGGTGGAGCTGTGTTGTGTAGCATGCACCAAACCCCGGGTCTGAGCTGTAGCGCTACCCCCCCCCCAAGTGAATAAAAATGACCATGTTTATAAACAGTTGGGAAAATAGTATCACCTGAAATATCTCCCACTTCCCCCAGGAAAGTAGATGTGGGTTTACTCTTTCTATAATCTTTTTAACTCTGCTGTTACAGGACTTGTGTAATTGCAGTGACAAGCATTATAGAACTTAGGCCCATATCACTTGCAATGAAAAAAAAGTTGAAAATATCAAAGGACATTATTGTTTTGACCTGGATAAAAGGTACAAAAGTGAAAGAAGTGGTTTATGCTCTGAACATTTCAAGCTATTCTGTTAAGGTTCTAGTTACCGTGAATCGAAAGCCTTTTTTTCCATGGTTTGGCTCCTGTAAATCCCTTGTGGAGGAGATGGTTTTCTCATTACTTGTGCAACACTGCCATCTGCTGTTGAGAAGAGATAGGCACTGCTTCTGTGAACTTGGCAATCGATGCCTTGCCATAGGCATGGCAGATGTTGTGACAATCTGTTTCCTTAACGTATAATAAGCGACAGAAGATATGTCCAAGTAGGGAAAAGAATAAACAAACTTGTGTCTTAAGATCCAGGCTGGGATGTTTCAAGTGAAATGCTAGTCTGTGCCATTAGCCTAACATGAGGCTCCTGTGTTTCTGACTGGTGCCTTCCCCACGTTTGGAAGCAATGAAACCTAATGTTAGTTATGGTCTCCTGTGAGAAATGTCCAAGAAGAAGATAGTATTTTGCTAATGTTCCTTTTCAATTCTGACTCTAAACTTAAGGAACTTAAATGCTTCTCTGTCCCTCCCTCCCTTTTTCTCATGCCAAAAATATCAACTTGGAAATTTGTGCTTTTTTTGTGTATAAGTTAATTGATGGTAAACCTTGATTTCTGTCTAAAAAGTAGAAGTATTTGCTTCTAGCCAGGCATGGTGGTGCATGCCTATAGTCTCAGCACTTGGGAAGCAGAGGCAGGATTACTGTGACCTCGAGGCCAGCTTAGGTTACAAGGTGAGTTCAAGGCTAGCCTGAACTCCATAGTGAAACCCTCTCTCAAAAAAGGAAGAAGTATTTGCATTTGATATAAGGCTAGAACGAGAGCAAGTCAGCTTTAGGGATGTTATCTACCTTCCATTTTTAGCACGGTACTTAAGATGATCTATATGATATAAATGAAAATAATACAACTTAGATACACTTTGTTGTACCATTGTCATGAACCCCTGTCAAAGCCATTTTTTGTTTAATGGAAAGAGGCATGCAGGTTTATCTGTATAAACCTGTACTTCTAAGTGTTGGATTGGGAGTTTTCATGTAAATTTTCTCAAATAAAAGCTAGCAGAAACCATTTTAGATGTATTTTTTTGTTATTCTTGAGTACTTCTTTGGATTAGCAATAATTTTTCACATGTCTCAGTTTTAAAGTATAGCAAGTGACACGAGGTGAAGAGAGAAAACAGTGTCCTGAATTTACTGCAGATGAGTAGATTTTGTAAGCTAGTAAAAGTTTCAGAGTTTTATGATTTACACCAGGATCCTGTACAAGCATTCACTGTAATTTTTTGAAGTCTGCTATTGGAATTGCCCTCTATTCCTAAAACATCCCTCCCAATTTAGAATCCCTTTGAGCTTGCCCATCACATTTATTCAAAACCCTACCCAAGGAAGTAAAGGCCATTTTTTTCCTTTTCACTTAATAGTTTAAAATTTTTCCACAAACCTTTGCAAGTCAACATGAAGTGTTTTGTACATTCACTGGCTGGCCTCTTACCTATCTTTATCTCCATTCTCCAAAAAAAAAAAAAATAGACAAAATGTATTAGTGAATCCATAGTTTACCACAAGTCCAGTTCATCAATGGTTCTTAATATTTGGGTGTATTTTAAGTATTTTAATACCAAAAATGGTTGTCATTAATTTCTCCCCCCTCCCCCAGCACTGGAGACTGAACCCAAAGCCTCATGCATACTCAGCAAGTAAACTATCCTCAGACTGAGGTTTATTTTTAGACAACAAAAATAATGAAGGGATTCAGCAAAAATTGTTAGTGAATTTAGTAGTCCCAATGGTAAATTATTCAGTATGTCCCCTGTGCTGTTAGTCATATATATAATTGTAAAGTTTCTATGACCACATTAAAAAGGTAAAATGAAATAGATGGATTTAAATTTTAACAATATAATCCACTGTGCATTTTACAGCTACAGCACTTCCTCATTCAGAAGAGCCACAATATAAGTGCTCAGCAGTTACATGTAGCTAGTGGCTGCTGTACCAGATAGTGAAAGTATAAACTCTTTGGTAGATTAACCTTTACAGTTAACTCAGTGGTTCCCGATAGTTTGCTTTTCACAATGGAAATTTCTATAATGTAGCCTGCTATTCATTTATTACCATGGAAGGGTCTGGTGGGGGGGTGAAGTATTTGTTTGAGACATGGTCTTACTATGTGCTCCAGGCTGGCCTTGAACTTATGTAGCCCAGGCTGACCTCACATTTGCAGCAGTTCTCCTGTCTCGGCCTCCCAAATGCTGGGCTTACAAGTGTTCACCACCACACTTGGCCAGAAATGTTTTGATCAAATATATTTTGAAGTCAGTTATACCTTTAAAATAAATGTAACATTTCTGGATTTAGGAATATTCAAAGTCAGATAATTAATTTTAGTTATTTCCAGTACAACAAAGAACTTGACATTCAGAACACTCTATTCTCTACATCTGTAGATGTAATAGGATGTTTTCTATTAAGCTTATGATATCTACGCATTGTAACTAGAACAATACACAATTTCAGGCCACTCAAATTATAGAAAGCCTATCTAGTTCCATATTGTTCAGGTGATGGAAAAATGAATTTTTAAGTAATCACTATAAAACCTGAGCACCTGTTCTGTTTGAGCCAACTTCCAGAATAATAGGATATTTACCCTTAAATTGCCTTCTAACTAGTGGAAGTAGATAAAATATTCCCTACCTGGAATGACTGCCCTACATTGTTTAGCCAACACTAACTTACAACTGGTGATTTTTCTAGGAAACCTTCATCTGACAAGTGTGGTTTGCAAAGATAATCCTCTTTCTAAATATCTTTCTAGAACCTTACACTTCAATAACACTTAATACAAACTGTTAAAATTGCCTATCACTTTCTGTTATGTCTACTGTTAAGTTCCATGACCATAAGAACCATATTTATTTTGAAATGCTTTCATATCCCAGCACCTGGCACATGTTGGTACTCGTGTTTGTAAATTAATTGGTTGAAAATTCAGAAATAACTATAAAACCTGGAATAAAATCAACAAAATGTAACAGTAGTTATCAGTCTTACAATTTGAAGCTTTAAAAAGGTATTATATACATATAGGAAAATAGACAAAAACTATCCTATACTCAACAACCAATTACAATCCAAGTACTTTTCTAGGCACTAGAAGTGAACAAAAGAGCAAAATGCACTCTCATGAAACTTACATCAATGAGTCAATAAACACAGTAAACCAAGTCTCCATTATTTTATTGATAAGCATTCTGAAAGAAACAGGACTTGAAAAAGATGGGAGAGCTTATTACTCAGCATTGAACTGAATGTGAAAAAGAGCTGGAGATTTAGTTAAGTACGATAGTATAAGTAGACATTCGCTATGAACCACAGTATAAGCAGATCATCATTATTCTATTATCAGTAATACTGGATCCTGATAAAGAAATATAGGAGTCTTCCTAATGCTTATATGGGTTGCAGAGAAGCCAGAGGAATATGAACTCCCTATCACACTCCTCATCCTATTCTGCCAATTCTGTCTGCTTCCACTGTCTGTTGTAAGGTAAAAACCTAGACGTGAGTTTCTTGAGCTCCTACATTTACCCTACCCCATGTCCCAGTTAGTCACAAAGCTAGTCATCCTAGGTGGACTTCTTAAATCTGAACCACCTCCTCACTCACTGACACTCGGCTGCCTCAGCATCTCCCTGGAATATAAATTGCCTCCTAATTGGTCTCCCTCCCTCCAGTCTTTGTTACCCACACTGTCATCGGAGCTCTTTGTAAAATGTGATTTGATCTACCTAAGGATCATACTTTTTTCTTTTTTAAGGTGGCCATATTTTTATTTGAGTTGGGCATTTGAGTGAAAGGTTTTAGTGATTACGCATCTGAAAGAAGGCATAAGCTGAGACTTCCCTATAAAAATGGGACATATAGTCACTAGTCATATGCTCAAACATTTCCAACTTTCCATTGCTCACAGGAGCATCAAACCCCGTCAGCATATGAGGCTGTACCTTCTGCTTCTACTTTACAGGCATCCTGGGCTCTTCCCACATGACCTTATCCATCAAATCCTGCTCTTCCGTGGCTCTGAAAAGAGGTTGCTGGGTTTGACTTCCTAGCTCTTAACTAGCGTGTCACCGGCAAGTTAACTTAAGTCTCTCTGTATCACAGCTTCTATAAAATAGGAATACAGTAACGTGAAGATTAAGTGCCTTAATACATGGAAAACCTTTAGCCTAGTGCTTAGAACATAACATTCAGCAAACATTAGCTGTGATGTAGGTCATCTTACCACAATTTTAGAAATTGGAAAAAAAAAGTTTGAAGATGATAAAGTTGTTCAAGGTCACATTGATGAAGCAATACTGTTCACTGTATTGCAGTTTTCTTGGTGACTTTCAGGCAGGGAATATCTTAACTGCAGATTCTTTGTTCCCAAATACAGTGCCTGCATCTAGTGCTCAAAGAATGCTTCATCAGATCAGATAATCAAAGATCTGGGAAAACAGAACGTTGAATGTAGAAAAAGAGAAGGGAGAGAAGTAGAGTGTTAGGAGGACTGACAATATTTTTGGAGTTGCAAGAGGAAGGAAGGAATTTAGGTTGACCCTAGAAAAAAGAACTGAACCCACAGATTGAGATGACAGGAGCAAGTATTTCAGCTTGCTATAGCTCTGCTATAATCGCTATACATATTTCCTCAAACAAATTGCTAATATTAAGAGGGTCTGCTTCCCCAATCATCATTTTGCGATAAACCTGACGCCACGAAGACACTGGACGACCTCTGGACCTCAAAAGCAGTATGGGGACCCGGCCAGGGATTCAGTATGCAGAGCCCAAGGGGTGTCCCATCTAGGGCTACGGGAGCCCTTCAGTTACACGGAACTCCCGCCAGGCGCCGAGCAACCCCTGCCCAAAGCCACATTGTACTCACAGGCCCAGGGGACTGGACGCCTCGGCAGCTGGATTATTAACCAAGTGGGCAAGCGAAGGCGGGGGGAAGCTTCGCTGGACCGGAAACACCGAGAACTGCTTCCGGGTCAGGGGGCAGAAGCCACCATGGAACCTCTTTGGGTTGTGGGGCTGGCGGAACTGCGGACCGGCGTCTGCAGCCAGTGAGGCGCTGCGCGTCCAGCGTCGCTGGGGATACTCAGGCCGTCCCCGGAGAGGCACGGCTGCCGCAATGTCGGTGTTGGGCGAGTACGAGCGACACTGCGATTCCATCAACTCGGACTTTGGGAGCGAGTCTGGGGGTGGCGGGGAGTCGGGCCCGGGCCCCAGCGCCAGTGCGGGGCCGCGGGTCGGTGGCGGCGCGGCGGAGCAGGAGGAGCTGCACTACATCCCTATCCGCGTCCTGGGCCGCGGCGCCTTCGGGGAAGCCACGCTGTACCGCCGCACCGAGGTAGCGGCCCTCGGCTCCGGCCCCTTCCTCCCGGCCCCCTTTTCAGCCCCGACAGGCTCCGGGCTTCCCTAGCTCCTCACTTAATGAGTTCAGGCGCCCGCGTGGCGTTTGCCTCAGGGTGTCCACCACTCGTTCAACCCATCTTCCCTAGGAATTGGTTAGTTCACTGACTTCACTAACTGGCCTTTTTTGCTTAACCCGGGGAACTGTCTCTGCGTTTTAGTTTCCCCGTCTGTAAAATGGACATAGTGGTAATTGCCTTTAAAAATCTTTTTTTTTTTTCTTTTTAAGGTTATTTTGAGAATCAAACGAAGGTTTTTTGCAAACTGTAAAGTGGTGTACGAAAGTGAGGTATTGCCGAAACTTCCTTCCTGTCATGTTGTATAGCACTTCTAGGTTGGGGTGGGAAAGAGGGGTCTATAGCTTCAAAAAGTTCACTCCGCTAGTTTTGTCATGAACGTTCAAGTTCAAAAGTGATTACTTAATTGAAGGTTTTTCCTAAAGATGATTGGCAAGATCCCTGTGTGCTGATTTCTTCAGAAATGTTTATTTGCAGCGTTTATGCACAGGAAGTACTTAATTCATATGTTCTAAGCCGTGTTAACTGCTAGGAGAATAAGAACCTCTTTGAGGAGCCCTATGATCCCCATGGTAATCCAGGAGATCGCTCCCACACACATTTGCACACTGGCATATCCTTTTGGAGAGATCTATGGGTTAGTAACGTCCAAGTTTTAAGAATGTATGTGATTTGAAACTCTGCAGCAGTGATTCTGCTTCCAAAAACTAACCATAAACTGGATTTAATCATTAGAGCCTTAAAACTCTAGCTTTAGGATAAACATTCAGTGAGAACTTGCTGGGGTTGCTGAAGGTGATTCATCTGTCAGTGATCCATCTGCAGTCCTGGTATCTGTTCCAAGTTGGCATACCTTTAAGGCTGAGAGATGAAAAAGAGAAATGGCTTCAAGAGAATATCTTTAAATATTCTTTTATTTTTTAATGCCTTATTGATGTGTTAAGAGTTGCTATTATTCTTAATAGCTTATTTGCACTCTGTAAGAAAGGAGATGAGCATTTGTAGTTCTATTTTTTAGAAAAACTAAAGCAGTATACTTAAGTAACTTGCCCACTTACAGTTAGAAGTAAATGGTAAACTACAACTAGAGTTTCATGTCCCCTTTCCCCTCTCTTATCCTGTTGATCTTGATTACTAGTTTTGAGTTAAATTTTATTACAGTTCCCTAGAACTAACCGTATGGCATTGGCTGTACCTCCATTTACTAACTAGATCTGTGGTTTACAAAGGTTTAAAAGCAGCCTTTTTCCTCTAAAAGTTTATCTCTCAAGGAAAAGACAAATTAGCCATGTTGTTAAGCATTTCAGTTGTGTATGCATACAAATGAAAAAGAATAGAAATATTTAATGTATGAGTACTGAAAAATTAAAGCAGTAGTTGCATTAAATAAATATACAGTAACATAGTCAGAATTTTTCCCCAGAGAAATTTGAAAGACTTGGGAGAGGCATTCAGAAGGATGGGGAGAATTACACGGGTGGAGGTGTTCATGGGCCAGGAGGCAGTATCAGTGAACAATCACAGATACCAAAGGAAGTAGACATCAGGAGGTACAGGTAGATTTTCATAAATAGAAGAAAATGGGATACTTAAGTGACAGGACATTGTAAAGTTGCAGAATAAGATTGACTTATCAGAAAGGGCAAGTGAAAAAAACCAAAAGAGAAATCTGTAAACTTATAAAATTAGAGGCAAGTTGACTATTTCCATTGTATGAGCTGTGGTCAACTCTAGGTAACTGCTGTCCAGTTCTCTACTTCCCCAATATTCTAGCCCTACTGCAGTCTCCCTGATAATTATCAGACTTGTAGTGTCATTCAGTACAATCTTTTGAAATCTGCTCCCATTCCATTTTTTACTTGGCACTAAAATCACACAAATTGAATGTAGTAACAAGTAACATCTTAATGTTTTCCTCAATTCTGCAGTCAGTCATAATGCTCAATTGTGTGCAAAACCTCTAACTGAATTCTGCTTAAAGGAAGAAATTGTACAAGTCAATCTTTGCCCTTCTAGGAAGTTTTCTTTCTAAACTGACAGATCCAGGTGTGGACTCTTACACTGTCAGGTGAGAGGAAAGCGCAATATCTCTGTTACTGTGTTGTAGGATGACTCACTGGTTGTGTGGAAGGAAGTTGATTTGACCCGACTATCTGAAAAGGAACGTCGTGATGCCTTGAATGAGATTGTTATCCTGGCGCTGCTGCAGCATGACAACATTATTGCCTACTACAATCACTTCATGGACAATACGACCCTGCTGATTGAGCTAGAATACTGTAATGGTAAGGGAAATTCAGTGTGTCTTCCTCAGGCAAGACATTCTTATGTCCATACTGACCTTGAGGGCAAAAAAGCACAAGAAAAGGCATGTGCAGTGATAAAATCTTTAAATGGATTTCTACAGTTTAAGAGAAATTTCAAGCCTTGGAGAGTTTGGGTATGTTCTTCAAAATAAGGGGAGGAATTTTCCTCTGCAAATTAAATTGTTCTTATGATGATAGTTCCATCTTCAGATCACTTTTTCAGTTACATTTTACATTTATTTTTCAGGACTTTTTCTCTGAAAAAGCTGGTTTTCCATTAAAGATATAGTATGGCTTCACGCCACTTGATACACTATTTAATAAAATCTTAGAGGTGATATTTATTAATACTGACTTCAGCTAAAGCTATACCACAGGAAAATGGCCCAGAGATCCTATTGAATGAAAATGATAGTAGAGTGTGGTCTTGTTTTTCAGTTTTTGGGAGGTTTCGTGGTGGGGAAGGTTGTTTTGAAACAGTCTCACTATGTACTTCAGCTTGGTTTTGAACTCACTGTGTAAGCCAGCCTGGCCTTGAACTTGTGGCAGTCCTCCTGCCTCCACCTCTCAAGCGCTGAGATTATAGGTATGCACCACTACTCCCAAGCAAGAATGGCCTTATTTATCTGGTATCTGATTTCTCTGAAACATTTTACTTGTAAGATAATAATATGCCTAGTTGCTAAGAGAATAGACTGAACCCCCATTTCAAGTTCTGCTGTTTTCTAGCTCTATAACCTTGGGCAAGAAATTTTAAGTCCTCTGTATCTTGTTTTCACATCTTAAAAAAGTTTGTTGATTTATAGTACTTAACTTCTAGGATTATACAAAATAAATTTTGAAAGCCCATAGTATAGGACTTGGAATATAGCAAGTGTTTGATACATACTGTACCAGGTGTTACTCTTATTGCAGAGAAAACCCTCCAAACACCCTTGTGAACTGCATGCTAAAGAGTTACCAACATACTCTTGACTTACTTTCTTGTCTAAGTTCTTGTGTTTCATAATTCTGATTCTGATCAATCCTAAATATATGAGATTGTATTAGAAATTTTTGAAAGAGCAGAAGCCTTCAGTTGTTAACTTCCTTTATGGTTAGGAGAATCTACAACGAATGATACATTTATTGAAACTCTGAGTTACTAAATTGCAGGGGAAGAGAAGTTATAAAAGTTTAGTCAGGGCTAAAGTGTAAATTGTAGCTGTCAGTAGGAAGTGAGATGAATCATGGTCATTTTCTCTCTGTATTATTTGATAAAGAAAAGAGAGAAATGAATTCACAGGAAGAGGTTAGTAAAAGAAGTAATGATTGGACATAATCTAGGATTGTACCCTAAATTTTAAGAAACTTTTTCAATCTGTAAGAAGAAATTGTTGGTATACATTGTGTGTGTATATATATATATATATATATATATATATATATATATATATATGAAATATTGCCTCACAGGTATAACCTAAATGTTCTAGTAGAGCTGTTATAAAAATATTACAGGTTGTTTGAGAGAGAATTCTAGAAAAGGAAGTCACTTCACTTTGAAGCTCATGAATTGGGTCACTACAGAAATGGCCTTTACTGTCATCTTTCCTAAAAATGTTGTACTTCCAATTTTTGTATCAAGCCTCTTGAGTTAGGGAAAGGAATTTCTGAAGAATATTTCTGATATAGTACTTGAGAGATGAGAAGATTTTTGTACCCATTTAAAAAAAAAAACCAAGCAGGAAAAGTCATTTCCTTTGGAAAGCAGAATCTTTAATTTCATTATGTCACCTGTTAATACCCTATGAGATGAAAAGAGCCAATCTTTGATCTCTGTTAAGCAATTCAAACCTGTTTCTTATTTAATTGCAGGAGGGAACCTGTATGACAAAATCCTTCGTCAGAAGGACAAATTGTTTGAGGAAGAGGTAATTTGTATGTCTATGGAAGGAAGCTAGAATTATAGGGCTGTAATTCTTGTTTGTTTTTTGTTTTTTGAGATAGGATCTCACTATGTAGTTCAGGCCAGCCTTGAATTCACTTTGTAGCTCAAGCTGGCCTAAATGCCAGCAGCAATCCTCCTGTCTCAGCCACCTGAATGCTGGGTTTATAGGCATGCACCACCACACCTGCCATAAAGTTGTCATTCTTGAATTATAGTTCTGTATTTTACTCTTCACAGTGTGAAGAGTGTTCTGGGTTTGGGGTTTTGGCTTTTTGTTTTGTTCAGCCACTTTCCAGGCTATGTCTGATATTCAGTAGAAAGGAAGCTTGTAACAAGAAGCTGTCTATAACTGCTTCCTATATTTTTACCTCCACATTATGATTCACTATGGGCTTTCTTTACTAATTCTGTTACTGCATACCGGAATGCTCAGTTTTCTATACTCTTGCATTCTTCCTGGGATTCTTTCTACAAATCTGCTGTAATATACTATATTTTTAATCATACTGGAACTATTTTATAGGGACCTTTTTCTTTTTACCCCTACCACTTTCCTTTGCCTACTCAACCTACCAGCAAGCAATGTCAAGTCATGTTGAATTATAACCTCTGTTTGCAGCTCTTTGTGTGTGTGTGTGTGTGTGTAGTTGTGTGTGTGTGTGTAGTTTGTGTGTATGCATGTGTGTGTATTTACGTGGAGTTTGTGTTTCCAATCCAATGTGATATGTTTTGTCTCTGCAGATGGTGGTGTGGTACCTTTTTCAAATTGTTTCAGCAGTGAGCTGTATCCATAAAGCTGGTATCCTGCATAGGTAATAAGAGAATAAAATTTATGGAATAGATTCCTCCCTTCCAGTCTGTTCCCTACCCTGTATGCCTCCCATCATTACTTTCATTTTCTTCACTAAGTAGTCAGGGTTTTCCATTGATAGAACAAGAAAGAGTAAGAGACGAAAGATGTTATATTCACTGTGTGAAGTTAAGCCGTGTTCGTGACCTAGAAGACTACCTAAGTACCAGTCATTTCTTTACAGGAGTCTTAGATGGTAATGGATTATGCATCACTGAAAGAGAAGGTGCTGTGAAAAGTAGTATTAGTTTGGCTAGAATTCATAGTAAATGTTGTCTCTGAGATATAATAATAATTGTCAATTATTATAATTCTATAATTTGTTTTTAATTTAAATAAAAGCCTGTGTATTTTTTGTAGTCAACTATACAACTTTACCAAATCTTCATTTAATAATAATGCTAAGGGGGGTATTTCCATTCATTTCAGGCTATTCAAGAGAACCATTTTAAGAACATGTCTACATCACTGTCCTTTGCGTAAAATAATCATTGAACTGCACATGGTGCTACATGTCTGTAATCCCAGTACTCAGGAGACTGAGACAGGAGTATCACTGATTGGAGGCCAACTTGAACTATGTGGCGAGACCCTGCCTTAAAAAAATGCCATTGTTCATTACCAGCAGTTAGTTATAATACACTCGGGGGGTTTTGTTGGTTTTGGGTTTTTTTAGTTTTTGGTTTTTGGTTTTTTTGGTATCAGGAATTGAACTCAAGACCTCACACTTGCCAGGCAGTTCATTCATTTAGTTAAAAGTTACTTTTTTTTTAAATACTTCTTAATAGCTATTGAATAACTACTATTGCATGTTGTTATTTTCTTTTTAAAAGTAACAAAATATATTGTTCTGGTTTATTCACATCATTCAAAAAAAGAAAGATTATAAACCAGGCACAGATTATTTTATTTTATACATGGTCAATTAATCATTTTTTATTACTTTTTTTTAAACAGGGTCTCATTATGTAGCCCAGGCTGGCCTTGAACTCACAGTGATCTTCCTGCCTCAGCCTCCTGAGTGTTGGGATTAAGGCATGTACCACCATGCTCAGTTTCTAATTCATCTCAAGAAAAATAGCCAGTGACTTTGTTTAGATGGTGTAAAACAAGTTTGAGTTTTTATTTTTGTTTTTCTTTTTGGGGTTTGGTTTGGTTTGGTTTTGTGTAGTACTGGAGATTGAACTCAGGATCTTGTGTATGCTAGGCAAGTGCTTTACCACTGAACTATATCCCCAGCTACAGCCCTGTTGTTGCTGAGATATGCACCCTTCTCCTGCCTTAACACAATATTCGTAACTTTTCACCAACCTGGTGTTAAATTGCGTTGTTATAATGCAAAGCATAAGTGATAATGGAAAAATAGTATATTTTATAGGAAATAGGGTCCTCTGTCTCGTTGTTTTTCTCACCCAACCCTCTTAACTTTGCCTAATAGTGTCAGTGCTGTGGAAACCTTAAAGCGTGAAGTTAATTTTCTGCCTTTACTCCTTAAGTACCCTCTTCAATGTTAAAATGTGTGTAAAAGAATGACCATTGTATGGGACACTTGGGATCCCATAACAGAATCTGAGCACTGGTAATACACTCATTTTTATTCTGTATTAATCCTGGTTATGGTGGGGGATAAAATAAAACAATGATCTATGTGGACTAAATATGCAACATCTTTTTTTCAGAGATATAAAGACATTAAATATTTTTCTGACCAAGGCAAACCTGATAAAACTTGGAGATTATGGTCTTGCAAAAAAACTTAATTCCGAGTATTCTATGGCTGAGACGGTGAGTATAGGTTGCCCTTAATTTTTTTTTCTTTTCCAGTACTGTGAAATATAAGGATACGCCCTAAATTCTGCATGCTTTTCTCAAAATACTTACAAGTTCTCCTTACTGATAATGTACATCATCTTTTTTCCTGAGGTCAGTAGGCTTTTACAGAATTAGGTGTTCTTCTGGATGTCACTTATAATTCTGATCTCAGCCCTGCCTAACACTACTAAGACTTTTCTAGCCAGGCATGGTGGCACATGCCTGTTATCCTAGCACTTGGGAGGCTATGGCAGGAGGAAGATCACTGCCAGTTGGGGGCCAGCCTGGGCTACATAGTGAGTTCAAGACTGGCTGAACTATATAGCAAGACCCTGTCTCAAAAACAAAGAACAAAAAACCAAAAAATACTTTTCTAAAAGTAACAAATATTTTGCCTGTTTTTTTTAAATCTAAAATTCCATTTTATCTTCTGTCTAATGTTTGAATCAAAGTGGTGAACATTTATTTTGTGTTTCCTTTATTTTTGTTTGTTGTATGTTCATTTGAAACATGATCTCACTACGTATTTCAGGCTGGCCTTGACTTATCTATGTAGCCCAGGCTGGCCTTGAGCTCACTTCAGTCCTCCTGTCTCAGCCTGCTGAGTGCTGGGACTACAGGTGTGCACCATCATGCCTGCTTCCTATGTATTTCCTTTGAGTGCTGCTTCTGGTTCAGAGAGAAGTCCTGTATTACAAGCAAAGGCTAATGCCAAGAGAATAATCTGTCTGTAATGTCCTACACAGTCTGATCTAAAAGACTTTCTTACTCGATTTTGAGAAAGCACTGGTTAAAAAGTAAAAACAAACTGATTTTAAGACAGTGATTTTTTTTTTTATGATTTTAGGAATTATAAAACCCATTATTACTCTTCTTATTTTATAATGTTGTGCCCTTGAAGGAACTTGGAAATGGAGACTAACAAAATTAATTTTGTTCTGGTATTTTTTGATGTCAAGATATGTCTATAAGTGACTTAGACATCCAGTGTTGAGAGTCTGTTTTCAAAACTCAGTTGTTTGTGTTGTAGTAGCCAAATTAAGCTAAGGAAACAATTACATCATTATGTGTATTTTTCTCAGCAACAATAATCTTGATAAAATCAAGACATTTTTAGCCAATGAAGTGCAATTAAGGAGTGATATGAAAATTTATAAATGCGGGGCTAGGGATTTAGCTCAGCGGCGTAAGCACCTGCCTTGCAAGCAGGTGGTTGTGAGTTCGATCCCCGGTACCGATAAAAAGCAAAAAAGACAAAAATAAAAAAATAAAAAAGAAAATTTATAAATGCCATGTAGGATATCTGAAAATTTCTTTGTTTTGGTGATTAAAGATTACTTTAATCAGGGCCAAGGATTTAGCTCAACAGCATGAGCACCTGCCTGGTGCGAGCGCAAGGTCATGAGCTCGATCCTCGGTACCAAAAAAAACCATTACTTTAATCAGTAGGGCTTAGTGGGACTACTGGAGCACTCATTGTCTCAAATCTTGGGAGAGGTAAGACTTCTATATAGACTTCTTGTATCATTCATTTAGATACAAGGTCTTACTGTGTAGTTCAGGCTGCCCTTGACTTCACCATGTAGCCCAGGCTGGCCTTGAATTTGTGGCAATCTTCCTGCCTCAACCTCCCAAGTGCTGGGATTACAGGCTTGTGCACTCATTTGGACTGGCCTCCAAACCTAAAGTCAGAAAGTCTTTTCAAATTCTAAAGAAATAGCAGTAGCCATGTTAGTGTCATAAATATCAAATTTGGCCATTTTTAAAGTTTCATTACTGTGCTATGCATTTCAGTTAGAACTTTTAACTCCTTCATTTAGTTACTATCTCTGCTCAGATTAGGGTTGGCTCTTTCTTGTTGGTTAACTTTCACTAAGTAGGTCTCTATTTGTATGAAATCTTTAGTGGACATTGAGTGCCTAAACCCTGTGTGTACCAGAAATCACAGAGCTGTTGGACCTCAAACCTAACCACAATGCCTTTACCACAGATTGTCCTTTTATAAATGGCCCACAAGACTTGATATGAATAAAATTTCTGTCCAGTAGCATCGTTTCATAAAAACCATTTTGAAATCTATTGATGAATGTTTTCTGATTGTTATCGCTACTTTCTGGGAAATTCGACTTAGCTGTTGAAATGTTAATATAGTTACCTCAGAAGAGGAGTTATTCTTTGATTGTTTTCTTTGTTGTTCAGCTTGTGGGAACCCCGTATTACATGTCTCCAGAGCTCTGCCAAGGAGTAAAATACAATTTCAAGTCCGATATCTGGGCAGTAGGCTGTGTCATTTTTGAACTGCTAACGCTAAAGAGAACATTTGATGCTACCGTAAGTTGGTGTGTTATCCCCACATTGTCTTCTAAATGGCATGGGTTAGTGAAGTGGATCAGCTTCAATTATCCCTCACCTTGTTTCTTGAACAGAAATCAGCTGTAGTCAGAAATACCCTATAGTTAGATACTGAATTAATAGTGTATCATAAAAATGTTATAGACAGATTTATCTCTAGGGGAATTCCCCCATTGAAATGACCATAGTCGGGCAGATTGAGCACTGTATTTTAATTTGTTGATGTAATTTCAGAAATTACCTCTAGGGTCACCTGCAATGTTACAGTTTTGAAAAGCCATTTCACGTCTTATGCTTCAGCTACATCTTTTTTCTTTTTTAAGCTGAGGCAAGTTATATAATACCCACTAAAATGTTTTGATCTTTTTAAATGGAAAAGTCAGTCATACACTCTGACTTGCTAAAAGCTTTTACTGTTCTGTGGACAAAGTCCTTTAAGTTTCTCCCTTTCTTTTCTTTCTCTTTCTTTCTTTTTTCTTTCCCTTTCTCTGTTTCTTTCTTTCTTGTTTCTTCATGTAAGGTGACTGATTTAAAGCATTACTTCTCAAACTTGACTGTGCCTGCTCGTACAGCAGTTGCCAAGGCCGGGGCTGGAGGTGTAGCTCAGGGGCAGAGTGCTTGCATAACATGTACAAGGTCCTGAGTTCACTCCTTAAAAAAAAAAGAAAGGAAAAGAAATTGCCTAGGCATCTTGTTAAAATGTAGATTCTGTTTCAGAGGTGGGGTGGGGTAGTGCCAATTTAATAGTCTGCATTTCTAACAAGCTCCCAGACATGCTATACTACTGCTCCTAGAGCCGCAGTTTAAGTAGCCAAGGGGATCCATGTCTACTCTCCTTCAGCCGGTGTGATAATCTATGCACATCATTTCTTCATTCCTCTATCCCATTACCTGTAATATGAAAACTATATCTCCCAAACAATATATATTTCTCAGAGATGTTTCTGATATTGTATATAAAAGATGGATATATATTTCTAAATTCTGAACTTTGTTCTAATATATCATCTATTTCTCCTAAGTAATTTAGCAGAAGAAAAATGGCTGTTGAAATCAGATAGACTTTCGCTGGAATGATAGCTTGACTATAACTGTATATGTGATTTTTAGTGAGTTATTTCATATCTGTGAGCCCTAGTTTTCTTGGTACAAACTGATAATGATAACATTTTTGTATTGTACGAATGAAAAAGATCATCTGTGTGATATGCCAATGCAGTTCATAGTGGTTTCTTACTAAGGTGGTAATGGTAGTAGTAGGATTATTGTCCCATTATTATAAGATGCCTTGTTTGTTGTATTATTTGTTGTATTGCCTATTCAGCACTTATTGAGATAATACATTGGGGGCAGATTAATTAGCAGGGGAGTTAGTAAGAGCCAAGAATCCTGGCTACTCATGCTTTCCTTGTACTTAGATTCCTTTGAAGGATCAGATTATAATATATTCTGAGCGATCTGTTATTGGTCACACAGTGGTAGTTTTAGTCTCTGTGTTGGCCAGTGAGCCTCGTTCTCTCTGAAGACAGCAGTGCCTCCCAGACTATTTCGTGCTGATGCATACTAATAGTGATAATGTTAACCCAGGCCTAGGAAACAGCTGTTGATGGTTTAAATAATGGGCACAGGCATCTCTGAGCTGCAGCTGGTAGGTTGTAATGTCATCTTTATATAACCAGGAATAAGACAGTTACCGTTTTCTCATAGAATCCACTCAACCTGTGTGTGAAGATCGTGCAAGGAATCCGGGCCATGGAAGTTGATTCTAACCAGTATTCTTTGGAATTGATCCAGATGGTCCATGAGTGCCTCGACCAGGTAGGTATGGCTGTATTGATTTCAGTTGCATGTTTTCCCCTTCCATCCTGCTTGTTTGGGATATGACATAAATACAAACCACACAGAATCACATCTACCTCCCTGTGTAGAATGTTTTTTAGTCTGTATCTAGAATAGGCATTGTAAGTTTATCATAGTAAGTTTATCATATTGTTGTTGTGCTTCAACAAACAAATTCTCTATTTCATCTGGTAAATATTTGTGAAACAGTTTTACCATCTAAATTGTGTTCCTTTTTTGTGGTTAATTAATTTTTATAAATCGATTTAATAAAACTGTAATCAGAGTTAAAGTTCCCAGTGTGCAAAATATACATAGTCCTAACATCTGACAGTTCTCTTACTGTTTATAGAGTTCTAATATTATTCAAAGTATGGTCCAGGAACCACTGGAATCAGAATCCTTGAGGAATGGGGGAGTTTTATGCATAAAAATGGAGATTCTTAGACTAACTAAGAACAACAGAATCTGTGGAGAAAGCCTAGAAATCTTTATTTGTAATGAGCTCTCTAGGTTATTGTTCTGTGCTCTCTGTATTAAGGTTTGACAGCAACTGTCCTCATTCTTATACAGTGTTGATGATAATGAACAAATGCATTAAACATGGAAATAGGTCATAAGGCATTACACTTTTGAAACAAAAGGGTAACACAGTGATCTTTGACTAATTAACCTACATCTTCCTAAGAGGAAGTAAAATTCTTTATTAGAGACCATATTGCTTATTTCTTTTAGGTGAACACACCTATTTTTGTTTTTTAGAATCCTGAGCAGAGACCCACTGCGGATGAACTTTTGGATCGCCCTCTTCTCAGGAAACGTAGGAGGTAAAGTATAGAGGTCACTTCATTATTTTTCTAGAGATGTTTGACTGTTAGAGGCCTAATAAGAATATGACAAGAAAGAGTAGTGTAGTCCAGGGATAAGCCAGGCGTGGTGAGACACACCTATAATTCCAGCACTCAGGAGGCTGAAGCAGGAGGATGATTGCAAGTTCAAGGGCAGCATGGGCTACATAGTGAGACCCTGTAAAAGGATGATGTTTCGGAAACTGACTATTCTGACGCTGTTTTCTTCCAATACCTCAGTATTTGTTGCTTGAGTAGACAGCTTAACTTTTACTGCCTTAACTATTTTGGTCTTAACTTTTGCCTCCTAACTTTATTTTTTTTTTTTTTTTATTTTTATTTAAGGAGAAAAGAAAAGAAAGAAAAAAAAACAGTGAAGGGGTACAAGTTATACAGATTTACAGAATAAAAAAATGCGCAGTAGGAAATCACTAGTTAATGGATTACATATTGCCATCTTAGAAATAATTGTTCAAGTCACAAAATTAAAGCTTGTAGAGTGGACATTCTACCAATGATACTGCAAACAGTTCTGTTCAATGATCCAATAAAACTCTGTGATATCATTTTCTATCTTATACTTTTAAATATACATGCAGTTATATAGTTTAGAGCACTTTCTTTTCCTCTCTTTTGTACAGTGACTATTACACATTTTGGGTTTCATTGCTCCCACGGTTCTTGTTGCTTTTTTGGAAGAGAGTAAAACCAAATGTGACATAACAGAACAGAATCGGTCAAGTCAAAAGGGTGGACATAATAGATAATATAAAAACATAATACAAGGTGATCAACAATGGTTACCCTAATGCCTCCCGCTATTTCTAATAGAATTGCCTATATCATTAGTTGTAATACAATTGAACAAAACCGTAAAGAATAAAACCGACAAAACCAAAACATTGGAGACATTGTAGGTCTTCAAAAGTAGATAAAAGTCAACGAGAATGGGCGTTATAATGAATCTCATTATCTTCTCAGCTGATGCCTAAACTTTCGAACCTGATACTATCCAGCAAAACAGAATATAGGAACCTCAGTCAAAAACAAGATGGTGAGAGTAATACAGGGCTTCAAATCGAGATAATAGAAAGTCAAAGTGGGTTACTATATTATATCCTGCTATATTTTTCCCTGTAATTAAATGGGTAAAAATAAAAAAGTAAATAATGGAGTGGAGATTGAGAAAAAAAGAGGGCATAACAGCGAAACAGGGCAGATCAAAACATAACCATTTAAGCAGAATAGTGTTTCACCACCAGCTAATCCTGACCCAAAAATAGTTACCATATTGACTCCCTCCCTGAAGTCCTTGAGTACAACTTCATATACTGTAGCATTAAGTATATCAAAACAATGTAAATCCATTTAAGAGAATAACAGCATTATAGAGTATTTAGAATCGACTAACAGAAAATGAACAGTGGTCTCTGTATAATCTCCTTGTCTTTAAAAGGTTTTTTCTTATACTATCGTACATAGTAAAATCCAATAAGATACAACCTGTTTAGACCATTGGAGACAGAAGAACAAAAGCTAGATGAGACTTCAAAACAAGATGGTACTAAATCAGCATTACCTATTAAGATGTCATTTTCTCCAAAAAAAGCTGTTCCTATCATCCAATCTTCTCTGTCTCATTTCTGTTGAGCTCTTTTTCTGTCAGTAGCTGTCAGTTTGTCTTCTTCGTTTTGGTCTCTGCTCTATTCGTTGTGGCCTCCCCGCCCCTATTTCTGGGTTCTTTGTATTTTTCTTTTTTTAGAATATCCTGCAATACTTTCTGTAGGGTTGGATTGGTGGTTGCAAATTCCCCCAGTTCCTCTTTATCTTGGAAGCACCTCGTTTTTCCATCAATTTCCAGGGACAGTTGTGCAGGATATCTCAATCTTGGCTGTAGATTATTATCTTTCAAAGCTTGAATTATTTCTCCCCATGCTCTTCGTGATTTGATGGTTTGTGAAGAGAAATCTGCTGTAATTTTGATGGGTCTTCCCTTGTAAGTGATCTGTTTCTTGTCTCTTACAGCTTTTAATATTCTGTTCTTGTATTGAATTTCTGGAATTTTTATTATTATATGCCTGGGTGTTTCTCTGTTAGGGTTGTAGGTAGCTGGGGTCCTGTATGCCTCATACATTTGAGTATCTTTACCTTTTGCTAAATTAGGAAAATTCTCCTGGATTATTTCTGTGAGTAGCTTTTGTAGTTCACTTGTTTGTGTCCCTACTTCTTCTTTTATGTTCTTAATCCTTAAGTTATGGCTCCTCTTATCATCTTCTTGTCTTTGTATTATTGCTGTTTGTTTCTTTGTTATTTTTAAGAAGTTTTTCATTTCATTCTCCCATATTTCAAGTCTGCCCTCCAGTTCAGATAGTCTGTCCTTAGTTTCTTTCAAGCTGTTATGCCAGTCTTGGATAGACTTCTTAATTTCTTGATAGTCCCTTTGAACCTGCTTCACGTATTCTATGCTTTCTCTATTTTCTCCATCAAGCAATTCTCCCCTCTTTTTCTGTTCTTCCACTCCACCATCTGCTTTTTCCTGGGTGGTGCTTAGCATTTCTCTAACTATTCTGCATACTTCTAGCTTCAGGTCATTGATAACTTCATTCCTGAATTGGTCTATGAGGCTCTCTAAATGGCGCTTAATGTATATTGGTACAGTGTCCACTATTGCCTGATTCTCAGGATTGGGGGTCGAGGAGCCTTTTTTGTTGCTTCCCTTCCCCATATTTTCTGTTCCTTATAAAATGTAATCTTACACAGGAGGCCCGGCTTCCCTGCCTGTCAGCTACAGCTTGATCAAATTGCGCTGGCTAGGTGTTCCCGCTCACCGCTGCGCCCCAGGGAGTTGTGGAGGAGGCAGCCTACGCGGAAGTCGGTCGCTCCTCCGGGCCACCGTCAGGCTCTGGGATCTGGGCTAGGCCAGCCTAGGGAGTCCGCCAGCAGCATCCCTCCGGCCAGGCACCTTTCACCAATCCCGTCTGAGAGGGAAATGCGCGGCTGCAGTTGCCACCGCGCCCTGCTCTTACAGGACTGCCCGCGCCCAGAAAATCCTCCGCTGGAGTCAGACTGCGGTAGGGAGTCAGTTCCTCGCTCACCTCGCCACCAGTCAGCCTTCCTTCCTGCCCGTCACGTTTCCGAGACCGTTCCCAGACGCCCGGTCCCAGAGCTCGGGGGTCGCGTCTCTCCTTGCTGAGCCGCTGTGGAGGTAGCCGGCCGCCGCGCGGCGGGAAATCCAAACCGCGGTTTCCAATGGCGCGGAGTCGAGCCTCCACACCGAGATTTTTCTGTTCCTATTTTAGCACCAGGACTGTATTCCAAGTTGGATTCTCTCAGCCCAGTTCGTTCCTGAGTCAGCAGAGCATATCTCTACTGGTTCGTATCTCCTTAGTCCGCATCATTCCTGGCCTCTGAGCCGAGCCTTTAGAGAGCGTTCAGTAGTTGCTGTTGTCTGTCCGCCATGTTCTCCAGAGTCCTCTTGACTCCTAACTTTAACCTCTTTAACTAAATTTATATTGATGGGACTAAAGAGCTGTCCATATCCCCAAATCTGTGGGGTTTTTATTTTAAAGTTGGTACATTGATATTGTTAGATTTGTATCTAAGTTCTGTGTTATCCTTGTCAAGTTATTTTTCATCTCTGTTTCTTTGTTTTCTCCCCTATAAAGTAAGATATAGTGAGTGAGGATTAAAGAAGTAATGCTTATAAAGTGCTCAGCCCAGGTTCTGGCACAAAGTACCTAACAATCATTGGATAGTAGTATGAATTAAGACTGGTCATTTGTTTTTGAATATGTTTAGCTTTCTGTTTGTGTGTGTGTGTGTGTGTGTGTGTGTGTGTGTGTGTCTGTGTGTCTGTGTGTGTGTGTGTTTTGGAGACAGGACCTTGCTATCAGTCTGACTTTGAACTTAGTGCAATCCTCCTGCTTAACTTTCCAAGTGCTGGAAATATAGGCATGTACCACCACACCCAGTTCTGAGTATGTTTGTTGAGATGGTGGATTAGAGTTAAAGAAGTCAGATTCCTTTTACCTATTTCTTGAGATCAAGCCTTATTGACTCCTGAGAAGTAGTCCTAAGATTTGTGTGTCACAGGTCTGTCTGTAGAGGCAGGAAGGCTGTCCTCCCTATAGAAGGCTTCACACCTCAACCTAAAACACAATAAAGGAGAAGTATTCCTTGTAAGTTTTCTAGTCAGTATTTCATCTAGTTTATCATTGTTGCCTTACTATCTTCCTTCTCTGTCAATACTTTGTTTTTGTTTTGTTTTGTTTGTTTCATTTTGGGGGTTTTGAAAACAGGGTCTCACTATGTAGTTCATGGCAGCCTTGAACTCATTATGTAGCCCAGGCTAGTCTAGAATTCATGGCAATCCTCCTGCCTCAACCACTGGAGCCCTGGGATAACAGGCGTGTGCTATAATACCTAGTTCTTTGTTTTTATATCCCTTAAATATTCAAACAAATACTGTGCTCTTTGAAGTCAGGGAGTGTGTGTGTGTGTGAGTGTGAGTGTGTGTGTGTGTGTGTGTGTGTGTGTGTGTGTGTGTGTGTGTTTTACTGGAGGTTGAACATAGCTCCTTCATGCTAGGCAAGCAGTTCACCCCCGAATTATATTTCCAACCACTTTTAAATTTTATTTAGAAATAGGAACTCTGCTAAGTTGTCCAGGCTGGCTTCAAATTTGCAGTCCTGCTGCCTCAGCCTCCTGAGGAGTTGGAAAATTCTTGTCCTTAAGTACATCAAGTACTTAACTAATCCTATAATATTTACTCTTTGGTCAACATATCTTTATTCTGTTGTCATTTAATTAATCTTATTTTTTAACATTTTTATTTGGTAGAGTAATTGTACATGTTTATGTGATACTATGTGATAGTTCAGTGCATGTGTAGTGTGTAATGATCATATCAAGGTAATTAACAATTGACATACTATCACTGTGGACATTTATTGCTCTCTTTTTTTTCTGTCTTTTGGAGACATGATCTTGCTATGCAGTTCAGGTTGATCTTGTACTCACTTTGTAGCCTAGGCTGGCCTCAAACTCACAATGATCCTCCTGCCTCAGCCTCCCAAGTGCTAGGATTACAGGCATGTACCACCATACCTGGCTCCTAGACATTTATCATTTCTTTGTGTTGGGAACTTGTAAATTCCTCTCTTCTATTTATTTTCCCTATAAACCATGGTTATTCCACTGTGCTGTTATTTACTTACTTATTTGTTTCTGGTACCAGGAATCAAACTCAGGGTCTTATGCTTGCCAGTGAGGCACTTGTGCCACTGAGATATATCCCTAGTCCCCTACTGTGCTACAGAACATTAGAAGTTACTCCTGTCCAACTATACCCTGTACCCATTAATTATCCTCTCTCTATCCTTCCTTCCCCCTACCCTTTCTGGGTTCTGATAATCACTGTTCTGTTCTCTACTTCTCCCCCGTACCCCCCGATACTGGGGATTGAACTCACGACCTCACGCTTGCCAGGCAGGCACTTATGCCGCTGAGCTAAATCCATGGCCCTGTTCTTTACTTCTTTGAGATCTTTTTGGTATCCATATATAAGGGAAAACAGGCAATATTTGTTTTACTCTATTTGATTTAATTTCATTGTTTTGAATGAAACAATGGGTTTTTGAATGGGTTTCTGCTTTTTTTGAGACAAAGTCTTCTTATTTCAGGCAGATCTTGCTAAGGCTGGCCTTAAACTCAGTATGTAGCCCAGGCTAGCCTTAAACTCACAGTGTTCCTCGTGCCTCAGCCTCCCAAGTGCTGGGATTACAAGTGCACCAGCACACTTGACTTAATTTCACTTAACATGATGTCCTCCAGTACCGTTAATAATGCTGCAGATGGTAGAATCTCTTTTGAGGACTGGATTATATTCTAGTGTGTATTTTGCATTTTCTTCATCTATTCATCCTTCAGTGGCCATCAAGATTGATTCTATGTCTTTACTAATGTCAGTAGTGCTGCAAACAGGGCAGATCTGTTTAACATACTGATTTGAATTTCTTTGGATGTGTCCCTTGTAAGAGTGTGCTGTGTCCAAAGGTAGTTCTGCTTTCAGTTTTTTGAGAGACTTCCATATTCTTTTCTGTGATGGTCGGACTATTCCCATCAAAAGAATATGGATATATTTTCCTCCATGTCCTTGCATCATTTGTTACTTTTTCAAAATAGCTGTTCTAGCTTGATGAGATAGTGCCTCATTGTGGTTTTGACTTGTGTTTCCCTTATGGTTAACATTTTTCTATATACTTATTGGCCATTTGTATCTCCTTTTTGGAGAACTGCCCATTCAGATCATTCACCCATTTTTTTAAAATCAGATCTTCACTATTGAGTTGTTTGAGCTTATTATATATTGTAGAAATCAATTTCTTATCAAATGAATAATTTGCCTATATTTTTGTTTTCCTGTTCTATAGATTATCTTTTCACTCTGTTGATTGTTTGTTTTGCTGTAGAGAAACTTTTTCTTTTCTTTTCTTTTCTTTTTTTTGTCTTTTTTTCCTTTTTATCGGTACCGGGGATCGAACTCACAACTGCCTGTTTGCAAGGCAGGCGCTTATGCCGCTGAGCTAAATCCCCAGCCCCTGAGAAACTTTTTTAGTATGATATAATTCCATTTGTCAGTTTTTGCTTTTGTTGTCTATGCTTTTGGGGCTATATCCAAAAAAATTTTTGCCTGGACCAGTGTCCTGAAATGTTTCCCCTATAGTTTCTTCTAATAGTTTCATAGTTTTTGTTTTGTTTGTTTGTTTGTTTGGGAGAGGGTCTCAAAGAATAAATTACCAATGCCTGAACACTACCCTTTTAGTTTTGCTATAATAGATTTATGCACAATTTAGGCAGAATGGTAACCCTGAGCCAGAACATGGAGTGTTGGTAAAGGGAAGGAAAGCTGAGAAGATGTAGAGAATCTTGACTGTTAGGTTTAATATAAAAGATACAGAGTTTTTGGATATTTGAAAAAGGGCAGTTCTTGTAATGAGAAGCATGCCTAAGAAAGAGTCATTTAGTAGTGCTAGGTTCACTGTTAGTATAGGTCTGATAAAAGCAGGTTAGGACTGTGGTAAGTGAAGGTAAGGCTATCACAGTACAGGTGAGATGTGAAACTGCCCAGAACTGAGGTGGTGAGTCTGGACACAACCATTGAATATGAAAGGTGCTATGTAGGTAGAATCTCTAGAATTGAATACTGAAGAAAGGGAGATACAAGAGTCAGAGATGACTGAAGTTGACTGGGAGAATGGGTAAAGTATATTGCCAGTTATAGAAATGAGGGAGACAGAAAGAAAAGCTGATCTGGGGAAAAGCTAACAATTACAGGATTGGAGATGTTGCATTTGGGGAGTCAGTGGGCAAACTAGAGGGAGATGTTCATCGTGTGCATCATAGGTTCTCAAAATGCCCTGCTCCAGCCTACATTGTTTCTTGGCAATAGAAAGAAAAACCCCTAAACTCCTGGTCCTCTAGTATTTAATGAATCATTTGGTATCAGGCCTGTGTAACTGTTTGAGTTGTCATCAAAGTACTTTCCTAAAAGTATTGTCATGTTGAAGGATGCTTATGGTTAATAAGAGAATTAAATCTGTAGCATATATTAGAGACAATTGTGACATAGGAACATGTGATTTCATTCATGTATCTTTTCTTTTGCTAGAGAGATGGAGGAAAAAGTCACTCTTCTTAACGCACCTACAAAGAGACCAAGGTAATGCTCAAGAGACTCTTGAAAATGAGTATTGTATATCCTAAATTCCCAAGGAGCTCTTATTTATGTCTGTATATTATTTGTTCCTAGTAGCCTTTAGTATCCAAGGAGCCAGCATCTGCTTAAATGTCAGTCATTTCTGAGAACATGAACGCTATAATTTCACCCTCACATATTAAGTGCATATCACTATTGTGATGAATGTTGAAAAGTGTAGGTGTTACAGATTAAACTGAAATCTAGGGTGGCTGTGCTATGAAGCCGAGACTTCGCAATGCCTGCTGTGAGAAAGGGTTGAAAGAACATACTTTTTCATACCGTAATTGGTAGTTCTGAGGGGACAGACTGGAAGCAGTCTTCTTTGGTATTATTTTTATGTTCAGTGTGCCTTTGTTCTGGGGGTCGCTGGCAGGTCAAGCACCGTGACTGAAGCACCCATTGCTGTGGTAACATCACGAACCAGTGAAGTCTATGTTTGGGGTGGTGGGAAATCCACCCCGCAGAAACTGGATGTCATCAAGAGTGGCTGTAGTGCTCGGCAGGTGTGCGCAGGGAATACTCACTTTGCTGTGGTCACAGTGGAGAAGGAACTATACACTTGGGTGGTAAGTGAGAGCTAAGGACTTTGGAACAGTGCTAAAAGCCCGATCGCTTACTGGACCCAGGGTGTCCAAACATTTTGTTAGTTGAACACATACTGCATGACCACAGCATGGGGTCATGGAACAAATTCTTGTTAGAGCAGAGATTTTGTCTGATTAGTTCAGTAACATACATTTACCTGTTATGCACTAGGATACATGTAATTGTGTTCTAAGTGGATGAGAAAAGCAGAAAGAATAAAATGAGCTGTAGTGGAGAAAGGGCTTTTCCACTGACAGCTGGATGGTTTCAGACGAGCCACTTACTCTGTGCTGTTATTGTGAGGTTCTAAGCAGCTAGTATCTATGGAGTAGGTTTTTAACAAACGAAGCACTACACCCTGTCTGGAAAGCTCCAAGACCCACCCCAGTGATTGCAGATAGCTAGGTACATGTCGCATAGTATTTCCCTTTGTTGCTATCTGTAGTCTGCCTGCTCACTTTTTTTTTAAAACATATTTTGTTTGTTTTCTATTTTCTCATCTCCCTTTCTCTCATTCACCTACAATACAGCTTCCATCTCTGCCACCCACTTGAAACAAGTCTTAATGAAATGACCTGTAAATTGTTAAAACGGGTGATTTTTTTTTTTTTTTTTTTGGTCTTTTTGAAACAGGGTCTCACTGTGCAGATCAGGCTGGCCTTGGGCTCACTTTGTAGCCCAAGCTGGTCTCAAATTTGCAATGATCCTCCTGCCTCAGCCTCCCGAGTGCTGGGATTACAAGTGTGTGTCACTATGCCCAGCAAAACAGCTAATTTTTAGTCCTTAACCAACTACCAACTTGATCTTTTCCTCTTCTGAGCTTTGTTTTTTAGTTGGTTTCCATGGTAGTGCGTTCTTGTAGCGTTCCTCTGTTTCTCTGGCTGTGCCTTCTCCAGCTCATGACAGGCAGCTTTCCCTTTACTTTACCTTGTCTCAGGCTGTTGGTGCCTCTTCCTGGGGAAGCTCATTACTCTCACTGGTTTCAGATATCTTCTGCATGAGGACAAAGACAGTGTTTGTCCCATTCACTGCTTTATCCCAATATGTGAGATTAGATACTCAACTACTGATTTATCAAAAGAATGCTTTGGCCTGTTACATAGATGACTCACTGGGATATCACCCGAAGCACTCCCAAATCAGTGCTTTCAATACCATTTATATAAGGACTTACAGTTGAGTCACTGAGTAGAAAGTGACTACTTACCCATGTGTATAAAACTGTTGCAAAATTATGAGGCCTGTTCTCAGAGCTCTAGAGTAGCCTGTTTGATGTAGCCAGATTCTTTATAACTGTTCTGTGTTTCAGGTAAACTGTGATCAAAATTTATTGGACTTCTAGTACAGATACTAAATTTTTAAGATAAAGTCATCTCTACCTCCATGAAAAACAAATTAGATTCTACAATGAATCTCTTTACTACCATTCCATTACCCATAATTAAAAATGTAGTTCACCTTAAACTTGAAGAACAAACACAAATTGGGAATATGTCCTTTTAAGACCTGTTGGACGTGAATCCAGAATATTGTTTAAAATTTTTATCTTGACGTGAGTTTTATTTTGCCTACCATTAAAGAAATTACATAATCCCTTTACTCATTTTTTTTTCCAATTTCCAGCTTTTTTCTTACTATTTTTCTTAATTGTGTTAAAGATTAAGACTTCTCTGTTTCACAGAACATGCAAGGGGGCACTAAGCTTCACGGTCAGCTGGGCCATGGAGACAAGGCTTCCTATCGACAGCCAAAGCACGTGGAAAAGTTGCAAGGCAAAGCCATCCGTCAGGTGTCATGTGGGGATGATTTCACAGTCTGTGTGACAGGTGAGCAGTTCGTGGAAAGCATCTGAGTGCATTTAACCTGCAGTATTGGGCTTAGTGCTGTGCAGCTTTAGCTGGGATTATAATGTCAGTTGACGTTGCGGTAGAATGAGGAGGTATTGAGTGATAAGTAAGAAGGCGGCGGTAGATAAGAAGAGTCGGGATGAGGAGAAATAAATGTGTTGTGTGTCCCTTGGAGGGAAGGGGCTGGCGGAGGAGCGGGAGATGATCTCACTACCTCTTCTTGCTGTGGATAGCACAAACCCAAGGTCAAGAAATAAATTTAGGTTTGGTCTTTATATTCACTTTATGATTTCTTGTACTTCCATTTTCATCTATAAAAGAGAAAAGGCTCCAGTACAATTTTAAGCATTTAACATGCTAGTACTACCACTTTTAATTTTTTATATTTTTGAGATGGAGTCTCAGTATTGCACAGGCTGGCCTCAAACTTATGACCCTCCCAAGCTTCCCAAGTAGCCAGAGTTACAGGCATGCATTACCACTGCTGGCTTATACTACCACTTTTTAAACTGTTTATTACAATAATATTACACATAGGCCCTTAGAGTACAAATAGCTGTAGACTTGAACAGTCTATCCTTCTCTGATGGAATTATCTCCTGTAAGATTGGCTGAAGTAGTCCTTATTCTAATCCTGCACAGATTTCTGATTAGACAAAGTTAGTCAGTCCTCTGATGGGATGATTTTCTTCCTTTTGCAGATGAGGGCCAGCTCTATGCCTTTGGATCAGATTATTATGGTTGCATAGGGGTAGATAAGATTGCTGGCCCTGAAGTACTAGAGCCCATGCAGCTGAACTTCTTCCTCAGCAATCCAGTGGAGCAGGTCTCCTGTGGGGATAATCATGTGGTGGTCCTGACACGAAACAAGGAAGTCTATTCTTGGGGCTGTGGTGAATATGGTATGTGTAGCCTCACCTCTGTCCACTGCTTCCCAGATGCACAATCTGTGTACATGTAGACACATGACACGGCCTTTGTTCAAGAAATGTTAATTCTGCTTACAGAACACCTTTGGGAAAAAGGTCCTCATCATGATAACTTTCTTTATTGTGTATATTTTAGGACGACTGGGTTTGGATTCAGAAGAGGATTACTATACACCACAAAGGGTAAAATCAAAAGCAGCTTTTTCCTAGTGCCTGTTTAAGTCATGCAGCCTCCAAGAATACAGCCTGTCTCCCTGAGTCCTCCTATCAAGATGTTTATTTCTGAAATATCTCCTGTTTTGGAGACTAACAATCTGGGATTCTTGTTTTAGCTCTGTGTGGTCTTAGCAGCTAACTAAATGATAGAAAGATGAGACAGTGTATACAGCTGCTGTGGACACTGTGGAGTCACGTCTTACCAGGAATGAGAGATAAACTCAAGTACAGTGGGAAAGTCACATATAGCTGACTATTCCCCGAGAAAGTTCTTGAGACAGTATCAGAAAGCGATGTACCTACCATCTCTGGACCCAGCACAGCCATTTTCCTCTCCTATTTCTACCGTTGAACATCAGGTGGTATCTTCTTCCGTTTCTGTAGTTGAACACCATAGTTGAATAGCAGTCATATGAAGTTGTTTTTCTTTGGGGGTCCTGTGGTGTGAAATACAGTATCTGATTACTCAGAACTGCCAGAGCCAGCACTATGAGAGACTCACAAGAACTGGAGTGGAATCAACAGAGGGAAAGGTGGGTCTGACCCATCCTCCAGGGCTCAGACACCCCACTTGTCAGGGAGGAGGGTGGCTACATTGACTATACTGGTTACTGTTAGCAGTTTTTATTTACATTTAAGAAATCAGTTACGTGTCTGTGGGGACCATCCTATATGGGATTCACTGCTGTTGCTCATCCAGTACTGTAATAACACACATTAGCTGTAGAAAGATGTGAACGCCTGGAAGTCCTAGTTACCTCTCAGTACTCTGCAACCTCTCTTTGAAATGACCTGATTGGAACCCTTGGGCTGCTGAGTTTCTTCTGTCCAGGAACCCTCATCTCAGAGGACAAAACCATCAAGAAGCTTCTCCATTGCCAACTTGCTGTGAATAGTCTTCTTTCTCAGAAGTCTCCTTTGCAGAAGTAGAGCCTGTTGCTGAACAAACTAATGCAGGCTATTTAGTTGACCTAAAACTGCAGTCCTTCCTCTCTTTTGTAACACCCAAACTCCTGTTGAAGGTACTAGACCCTGCTGGGCTGGTACTATACTGTGAGAGGCTGAGACAGGAGAATCCCAGTTTTGAACCCAGTGTGACCAACTTAGAGACTTAGCGAGATGTGATCTCAAAAATTAAAAAGACTGGGGATACAGCCTAGTGCAAAGGCCTCTAGGTTCATTCCACAGTACCAAAAGCATAACTAGCCCCCAAGCTCTTGGGCAGATGTGAAGAGACCAGAGTAACTCTAAAAACCCTGTGGTCATTTTACTGAATGCAGCATGTCACTTTGGAAAGGATTTGAGGGGGTTATTTTGGGTTGTTTTCTAGTATCAATTATATAGTTGGGATGTTTTCTGATTTACTTCTTCCTTGCAGGTGGATGTTCCCAAGGCTTTGATTATTGTTGCAGTTCAGTGTGGCTCTGATGGGACCTTTCTGCTGACGCAGTCAGGCAAAGTGCTGGCCTGTGGACTCAATGAGTTCAACAAACTGGGTCTGAATCAGTGCATGTCAGGAATTATCAACCATGAAGTGAGTACCCCAATGGTGTCTAACCACACCATAAGAACTTTTCTTGGTTAGAATTTCTCTGGGATTATTGGTTAATGACCTTGGAATTTGACTTAAGATCAAAGTGATAATCTCACAGACACTGTGTTCAACAAAGGAAGCCAGCCATAAAACAGTTTATACTATGAGATTATAATTATATGAAGTTAAAGAAGAGGGAAAAAAAGGCAGATGTGGCACTCAGGAGGTTGAGGCAGGAGGATCACCATGAATTTGAGGTCAGCCTGAACTACATAGTGAGCCCAAGGCCAGCCTGAACTGTCTAGCAAGACCCTGTCTCAATAAACAAAAAAAAGAGGCAAGGGCTGGGGATTTAGCTCAGCGGCATAAGCGCCTGCCTTGCAAGCAGGCAGTCGTGAGTTCAATCCCCGGTACCGATAAAAAGGAAAAAGACCAAAAAAAAAAAAAAAAAAAAGAGGCAAAATTAACTTCTAATGGCAGAAGTCAAAGTAGTGGTCAGTTGTGGGAGCGGTGGTCCAAATATTAGCAGAAAAGGTGAGGGGGGTCCTCCAGTGATGAGAATGGCCCCTATCTTGGTCCAGGTTGTAGTTTTACAAGTATAGGTGCAGACATGTGCGTACCATTATTGTCCCCATGTTTTGAAATTTCGTTTTCTCTTTCTCTTTCTCTTTGACACAAAATGGACTTGAAAAAAGAAGTACATGTTTAGAAAAGTGTATCAAACTGTGATGTTTTGTAGTGTGTTAGTCAATAAATAGGTTGTAAAGAGTAAAATGTTAGCTGAGTGTGGTGGCATGCACTTATAGTCCCAGCACTTTGGGCTGGAGGCAGAAGGGTCACAATAAGTTTAACCCCAAGTTGTGTAATTTATGAATTAACTGAAACCCTGACTCAAGATTAAAAAAAAAAAAAAAAAGGAAAAGAGTTGGAACTGTACCTTAGTGCAGAGGCCCTGGATTCAATCCCTCATGCCATCATAAGTAAATACATACATGCATAAATAAAATAAATTGTCAAGATTCAGGCTTTATTTTTGAAAAACAAACAAGAAAACTAACCTGAAAAAGAAACATTTCTGTGAAATACCTCACTGGGGAGTTTTTTAGTGTACTATTCATGAATCATTGATAGATACCCTATGGGCTTACAAAATATAATTATTACTTCCTGCCTCTTCAAGGATACGCATGAAGGGGCTGGGGATTTAGCTCAGCAACACAAGCGCCTGGCAAGTGTGAGATCATGAGTTTGATCCCCGGTACCAAAAAAAGGGTATCATGAAATTTGCCACTGATAGTCTTACTTTCTTCCTCTTTTGTTAGTATAATGAGGTTCTGTCATTTCTAAAAAATCGAGTTAAGAGACAGAAGTTTCCTAACTTGATAAAAAATGTAGTTTTGTTGTTGTCCTCTTCCTCCTGCCTCTCCCTGTCCCCTTCCTCTTTCCCTCCTCCTTTGTCCTGGAGAATGAACCAAGTGCATTTGTGCTGAGCTACATACTCAGCTGTTATTTATTTTTTAGTTTGAGATAAGTCACTAAATTGCCCAAGCTGAACTTCACACTTACGAGGCCTCCTACCTCAGCCTCCTAGAGTCCTGGGATTACATGCATGTACCACCATGCCCACCTAACGGTTAATTTTTAATCAGTCTGGGAAGTAGTGATTCTTAGGAGAATATAAATTCCGGGGAGCTTGTAGAGTCTATGTAGTTTGAAATGAATATTCATAATTACCACTGCTTGATTTTGTGGTTTCTTAAAACATTGGATTTGTTGTGAAATCTTAAACTTACAGAGAAAATTTGTATATACTAGTTCAAATGGAATGTGGATTTTAAAAAGTTGTGAAACACTACTACCCTGTTGATGAAGTTAGATCATAGCATTTTGTAGGCAGAAAAAACTGTTCAGGATTTTAATTCTTTACTTTCTGCAGTAGAGAATTCATGTGTTACATACATTCCAAATATGTATAAAAAATTGTTTTCAGAAAGTCCTGCCTCATATGGTAAATTCTGTTAATTACATATCATTTCTTTCACCTTGTAGCCTACTATAGAAAACTACCCAGAACCCTCTTATTACGTTTCCTTGAAAGGCACTGTGACCCTTTTCCTGATTATCCCTTCAGTTTTTACTTCGTAAGACTGCTTTGCATTTTACTTGTTTCAGGCATACCACGAAGTTCCCTACACAACCTCCTTTACCTTAGCCAAGCAGTTGTCTTTTTATAAAATCCGTACCATTGCTCCAGGCAAGACTCACACAGCTGCTATTGATGGTAAGTTGATTTCTAACTGTATTACATGTCTGAAGAGTTCAGACTTTTTTATTCTGTCAAATGCTAGCTTTTCTTAACAATATATGCATCCTTCTGATTTTCCCCTAATATCCAGTATTATCTCTAACAGATTAGGCATTCAAACACATAATTTTTGCTGATAATCAGTATAAATTTGTGATAAATACAACCACATCTATAATACCTGACTTCTGTTGTCTCTAATTAGCACCATCTGTAAGTATTCAAAGTTAGGTACTACCTATTCTCCACATTAAAAATAATACTAGAAAGAAAATACACTATTGAGTTATTTACTGGTCTTACCTGTCACAGAACCTAGGTAGCAAAGGTCCAGGGTCATCTAGCTAACGTCACAATTTGTATGTTCTTGCAAGCAGAAGCTAGGAGTTCTGCATTGGCTGCACCTTGCTTGTCCCATGACCCATTTGTGCTTGCTTGTTTTACTTTTGCTTCTCTCTCAGAGCGAGGCCGTCTGCTGACATTTGGCTGCAATAAGTGTGGGCAGTTGGGTGTTGGGAATTACAAGAAGCGCCTGGGAATCAACCTGTTGGGAGGACCTCTCGGTGGGAAGCAAGTGATCAGGGTCTCCTGCGGTGATGAGTTCACCATTGCTGCCACTGATGGTGAGTCTATACACATCAGTTGAAGCTTTTTGGATAGATAGCTATGTTGTAGTTCTTAACTGGGAGAGAGACAGACTCAGTGCTATACAAAAACAAACAATCCTAGCCTCTAAACTTTGGGGCTTATACTGGTGGTTAGTTATACAATTAAGCTTCTTTAACTTTACTTGGCCAGTATGGTGGATTTTTCTAGATAGTGACAGTTTGATATTCTAAGTTCTTCCTCCTTTAATTTGAACTTTAACTTTTTAGTAAAATGCTTCCAGCATTATTAAGTACTTCTATTGGTATATTTCCCAGCATACTGGTTTCAGTAAATGTGGCTGAAGAGAATAATACAGGCGGATCTTTCAGGTGCTGTGATGGAAGCCTCTACCTTCTCCCAAGTCTCAATCCTGTCTCCAAAGTAAGGGGACTCATTTTCTTAAATCTTCCCTGTACCCTGACAGCTGTATGTCACTACCACCAACCTCCAGACATTCGCTCAACAGCACCCAACCTTCATGTGTAAAGATGGAATGGCCATATAGCCTACTTATCCCGTGTGAGTCCTGAAATGGATCTCTTGTCCTAGGATAATCTTTAGTAGCACCCTTTTTTATTTAAAAAAATGACCTGCTTTGGAAAAGAATCAAAATTCTGGAGTTATCATCTCAGGCAAGCAGTATATTCCGATATTCTGCCTAGGCCTGTTCTCTGCAGCCTTCCTATCTCAGTAAACAGTAGGTCCATCCTATACCCTGCATTCAGCATATCCGGTGGACTATCTTCAGACTATATCCAGCTTCTGGTTCATAGCTCTGTTGCAGCTGGTCTCCCTGCTGCCACTCTTGCTCCCATGCCATTGGCTCTGTTCACCATGGCCTCAGGGATCCTTCTGTGCCCTTCCTACCTAGAACATCTAATGGTTTTCTACACCGCTCAGGAAAACTCACTCATCACAATGACCTGCATGGCCCCATGTGCCCAAGACTCCAGCCAGCCCCTCATTCTCGTCCATAACCACTTCCCCCTCCCCTGCATCTGTAGGGACCTTCTTGCTCTCTGTGTTATTGGCATTACCTGTGCGACCTTGAGCTTACTGTTCTTTCTGCCTTTCCTTACTTCAATCAGTTCTGCTCATTTAAAAACTACTTTTCTGACCACTCTCAAAAAATAAATGAAATTTTGTTATTTTTTCATCACCATTTATCTTTTTTCACAGCACTTACTAGTATCTGAAATATTAGATATTTATGTATCATCAGTCTCTCCTACAGAATGATTGTTATACAGGAGCCAAAACTATTCTATTCATTGCCCAGTCACCTTAAACAATGCCTGGGATAAAATAGATGTTTAATAAATGTTTAAATGGATGGCCACTAAAAAGCTGTTAAGTGATTAAATGAATGAATGGCAGTACATCAGAAGAGTGATCATTTTTAACTAGGTGGGGTCAGCAGGAATAAACAGCTTTCCTCAATTTAGTGCATGGTGGGACATCTGTCTCTAAAACACCATAATAAGAAACCTAGAGTTGGGAAGGCCATCTTCTGTGAAATGATCTGCTGTTTAACTTTTTTTCTAGATAATCACATTTTTGCCTGGGGCAATGGTGGTAATGGTCGCCTGGCAATGACCCCCACTGAGAGATCACATGGCTCTGATATCTGTACCTCATGGCCTCGGCCTATTTTCGGATCTCTGCATCATGTCCCGGATCTGTCCTGCCGTGGCTGGCATACCATTCTCATTGTTGGTAAGGGGTTCCTATGTGTGGGGTTGAAAGATCTCTGACAAGATTGATCCACAGATGAGGTACTGATGGACTGATTATCACATTCTTAGAAGTGTCTTAAAGAGATAATTTCTGTAAGTCTCATAATGCTCAGGAATGCCATGCCTAGTGGTAGAGGAACAAGACATTGTTATTTCCCAGGCTTGCTAATTTGCTATCTCTTGATCTCTTGGCCATTTTTAAATGTAACTGTGAACTCTGCCACCCCATAGAATTTGTTACTTACATTTACCCTCTAATTTTTTTTTCCCTGTGTTCATACTTTCTTGAAAAACATGTAGTATATCTTTAAAAAAGGAACTTCAAGTCATGAATGCTTTAGCATAAATAATACTTTGAACTAAATTTTAAAAGTCTCTGTAAGGGTTTGCACATTCATTAGATCTTGGTTGCACATTAGAATCTCTTGGAGGCTTTTACAAATCCTATTCGTGACCTTATTCCTGACCATTTAAACCAGACTCTGGAATAGGACCTAGGCATTGTTATTGTGTAAAGCTTCCCAAATGATTTGAATGAACAGCAAAGGTGGAGAAATGCCACTTTAGAGTAGCTAGTGGTGTTTGGTTTGTAAGATTAATTTCTAATCAGTAAGCAAGCATAAAGTTATCTGGAGCCAAGTATTATCTCCAATATTAATCAGTGTCGTAGTCTCCTCTCACTTTCCTATGTCTGTATACAATGTTTACCTATTCACTGTTTTTCCTCAGAGAAAGTACTGAATTCTAAGACCATCCGTTCTAATAGCAGTGGCCTCTCCATTGGAACTGGTATGTAGTGAACTGGAACTGGTATCACAGTAGTTTCTTAATTGTGGATCTTTGGGTTAAGATTCTGTGGAGTCTCTAAAACTCAAAGGATTGCTGGGCGTGATGGCATACACCTATAATCCCAGCACTTAGGAAACTGAGGAAAGACAATCATTGTGAGTTCCGAGACCAGCCTGAGCTGCAAAGTGAGTTCAAGGCCAGCCTGGATTACACAGTGAGACCCTATCTCAAAAAAAACAATAACAAAACAAAACAAAACAAAAAATACTGAAAGGAAAGGAAAACAAAAAATTTCTTCAGGGAAATACAGACTATAGTGATTAAGAGGGAGGATCCTGTTTTGGTAAGTTTCACAGTAAGTCATGGTTTACATTGTGGTCAGAGGGAGAGTACATCTTCTTTGCTTCCAATGCATATGGAAGTAGTTAAACCGCTTACCCCATGCTGTAATGTAACTTATGTATTATTCCTTTCCTTACAATGTGAGGGGCCGTGGGGACTCTCTGCCCTTTACTCCCAGGATATTCCCAGGGTTATTCCAGTTTAAAGAAATACTCCTTCAGAATAGGTCCTCAAAAATAAAAGCCAACTAAACTTCCAACAGGAAAAGCAGCCCAAAGCTGACAATTTTCCCTTGACTGCTTTCTTCAAGGTTCTGTGTTATTTGGGACCATGCCAGGAAACTGAATCTGTTCCTTTCTGGTTTCTGCCTGGTAGAGTCTGTGTAGACTTAATATCTTTTACTGATTCTGATATATTATGGGACCAAATAGATAAATACCCAGAATAAAAGCACATTAATTCCCCAGAAATAACACTTAAAAATCTGATCTGTGAGGGGCTGGGGATTTAGCTCAGCGGCATAAGCGCCTGCCTTGCAAGCAGGCAGTCATGAGTTCGATCCCCGGTACCAATAAAAAAGGAAAAAGAAAAAAAAAAAAAAAAAATCTGATCTGTGATTGTTAAACATTAGATACCAGGGCCAGGAATTTAGCTCAGCAGCATAAGCACCTGCCTGGCAAGCTCAAGGTCGCGAGTTTGATCCCTGGTACCAAAAAACAAAACAAAACAAAACAAAAAATCCCTGTTACATCTTACTGTTTCATTAAGTGATCTGCTACTCAGCATCTTTATTTGTGCACGTTAATCCCTGTAATACATGATAAAATATTTTTTTGCTAAGCATAGTTCTTTTACAGTTTTCTTTGCTGGAACAGAATTTAAAGGAAAAACATAAGATAAAAGCAAATGTCCATTGGACATAAAATGTGAGTTCAAGTAAGAGCAAGAATTTTGGTCTTATTTATTCATTAATTTTATCCACATTGTCTAAAATAGTATCTGGCAAATAGTAAACACTGAATAAATTTTTTTTTTTTTTTGGTCTTTTTCGTTTTTTTATCGGTACCAGGGATCGAACTCACGACCGCCTGCTTGCAAGGCAGGTGCTTATGCCACTGAGCTAAATCCCCAGTCCCTGAATAAATATTTTTTGATTGAATGAGTTATACCCATCCATTGTTTTGGTACAGGAGTAAAAATGTCTCTAAATATTATTTTCATAATGTAAAATCAAGCTGCAGCAGACTGTGTATCTTTTTATAAAGTTTCAAAGCAAGCCAAATAAGTGATGTGTTGTTTAAGGATGCAAATACGTAGGATTTACCAGGCATGGTAGTACATCCCTGTAATCCCAGCACTTGGGAGGCTGAGGCAGGATTGCCACAAGATTGAAGCCAGCCTGGCTCCATAGTGAGTTTAAGGCCAATCTAAACAACATAGTGAAACCCTGTCTAAAAAAAAACCACAGATGCATGATAGAATCTTTTTAAGAATTTTTATATATAAAATTAATCAGACTGGTTTCATCTGGGTAAGAGGCCATAGGAAGAAGTACTATAATTTGCAACTCATATGCAATGATATAAACAGATCCAGTAGAGGTTCCTATGAGAGCAGGAATATTCTCTGTGCTGTCCAGAATAATGGCTCATAGTCTCATGTGACTGTTGAGTACTCAAAGTGTGGCTAGTAGAATGAGGAACTGATTTTTATTTAAATTTAAATGTCTATATACAGCTAGTGACTACCATATGAGTAGTGCATTTCTAGTTCTTTAGTGATCACATCATATATGTTCATTTTATTGCTAAGCATCAAAATTTGCACATATGTTAATGATCCATGGATATCTGAAATGAAACTTTTTGGAGACAGGGTCTTATTGTCTCAGACACTGAATTTTCAAGGACCCTCCTGCCTCAGTCTCCCTAATGCTGGGATCACAGGCATGCATCACCACACCTGACCAGAACATGGTTTTCGGGGGGGGTGGGCGGGCGGAAGGGTACCAGGAATCAAACTCAGGGCCTTGCACTTGGCAGGCAGATGGTATACCACTGAGCTACATGTCAGGCTTCCAAAACATAATTCCTAAAAGCTGTTCAGGCACTTGGGAGTCTAGGCAAGGGAATCATGGTGTGTTTGAGGTCAGCTTGGGCTATATAGTGATGCCAAGGTCAGTCTGAACTACACAGTGAAACCCTGTCTCAAAAAAAGCAAAACAAAGTGGGGAGAACGTTTTAAAATGCAAGCTAAGAATTCATTTTGCGGCTTAATAGTTCAGCTACTTCAGCAGGCTTAGTCCTCAAAGCAGTGTTGCAAGATATGACAAATAGTCCTTCCCATGCAGTCTTAGGAGGATATACCATGCAGTTGTTTTGTTTTAGGTTTGGGAAATTTATTTTCTTAAACATTTTCCTTTGATGCATACTAAAATTCACTTTCATTTCCTGATTACATCCTAGCTAATCTTCACTACAGTAGCTTGGAATTTACTACATGATAGGAAAAAGATAAGTCATAATTTTTTTTTTTTTTTTTTTTTTTTTTTTTGTCTTTTTCCTTTTTATCGGTACCAGGGATCGAACTCACGACTGCCTGCTTGCAAGGCAGGTGCTTACGCCACTGAGCTAAACCCCCAGCCCCAAGTCATAATATTTTTAAAATTCATGCCTAGTCACAGTCTATGACTAGTCATAGAATTTAATACCTACATGATTGTTGGAGAATTTTATCATTAGGTTGTTTGCAGATGAGAAGTTGCCAGACATTTATCTGGCAACTTGGAGAAGGCTTTGATTCAAATGTCAAAAGAACTTTTTATGTAGGACAAATGGCAATGGAGGGTGCTGGACTCTGAATGTACCTGTTAAAGATACATAATAAGACCAGGTGCAGTAATTGCAGCTACTTGGGAGGGTGAAGAAAGAGGATTGAAAGTCTGAGACCAGCAGGTAATTTAGCAACACTTTGTTTCAGAATAAAAATTAAAAAGGTCTGGGGATGTGGCTCAGTAGTAGAGTGCCCTTGGGTCCCAGCCTCTGGTACTGCACACACACATGATGCAGAATAAGTATACTGATATGGGGATTGTTTACTATTCTATTAGAATATCAATAATTATATGGATGTAGGATAAACAAGTTTAAAAGTGAGCTATCATCACAAAGATCCTGATATACAAATACCCTGTGTAAAACTAATAGTTTAGTTTGAGATAGCTGACTGTGCTGTTGCCATTCCACTTCATGCAACTGTAGGAACCTTGCAGGGCTGTTTGAGGCTAAATGTGTCTTGCTGTATGTTAAAACTCTGCTTCTGTGTTGTGTATCTGCCAGCGGTCCAGAGCTCTAGCCCAGGAGGAGGTGGTGGTGGTGGTGGTGGTGGTGGTGGTGGTGGTGGTGGCGGTGGCGGTGGAGGTGAAGAGGAGGACAGTCAGCAGGAATCTGAAACTCCTGATCCAAGTGGAGGCTTTCGAGGAACAATGGAAGCAGACCGAGGAATAGAAGGTTTCATCAGTCCTACTGAGGATATGAGGAATAGTTGTGGAGCCAGCAGCTCCTGTCCCGGCTGGCTTCGAAAGGTAATTCCTTAGAAGGGATGCCAGATAAAATATCAGGCCTGGAGGGATTAGAAAATAAAATATCAGGCCTGGAGGGATTAGAAAAGAGAATGTCTTATTAAACTCTTTTACAACAAGGAATCTTAAGTTTCTAATCTTTACCTGGAAATAAATCACTCATCCTTTTTTCTTTCTAACAAGAAGAGATGCAACATATGTTCATACTTGTATTACTTAAATGGATGTAAGTTAATAAAATCTGCCTTGAAGGGGCTGGGGATTTAGCTCAGCAGCATAAGCATCTGCCTAGCAAGTATGAGGTCGTGAGTTCGATCCCTGGTACCAAAAAAATAAATCTGCTTTGAGCTGGACATGGTGGCTCACTCGTGTAATCACAGCACTTGGGAGGCAGTGGCAGGAAGGTTGCAAGTTTAAACCCTACCTGAGCAACTTAACTTAGCAAAACCCAGTCTCAAACAATAAAGGGAAAATTAGAGCACAGTAGGGGAGTAGCTCCATGTATAGGCCCTGGTTCACACCCAGTACTACAAAGTGGCACTTTTTATGGTGCACATGTGCAAAGATTAAGCTTACAGGTTTTGTCCTCTTTATAGAAGTAGAAAAATGGAACTGTTGGAATGTCTCATAGGAGGAAAATGGTCTATCAAAGTTAAGGTGCAGACAATAAAAACCTTAAAGTATATTTATATGGAAAGTTGCAACTTACTAGCAGAAGATGATGAAATATCGGTCATTATGACCTTATTCTTTCAGAAAATATGTAATTCTCAGAAAAATGTGGACAAGACTATATATATGGGTCATTTTAAGTAAGTACCTCTGTGTCATGAAATTGCTGCTGGTTTTACTTAGCTTCTTTTGCCCATCTGGATTTTCTTGTTCTGCACCATGAACCTAATTTTTTCCAAAAAAAAAAAAAAAAAAATTATAGATTTAAAGTTCATTAGCCAGGGGCTGGGGATTTAACTCAGCGGCATAAGCACCTGCCTTCCTTGTAAGCAGGCAGTCGTGAGTTCAATCCCTGGTACCGATAAAAAGGAAAAAGACAAAAAAAAAAAGTTCATTAGCCAACAAAACTAGAAAGTTGTCTGAAAAGTATGAGCACAGGATGTAATATGGCCCAGCTAACTTACCAGTGTCTTATGTCAAATAAGTGTTTGAAGAAATACCCAAGACTCTGCAGCTCCTGCCTGGCGAGCACAAGGTTGTGAGTTTGATTCCTGATATGAAGAAAAAAAAAAAAAAAAAAACAAGACTGCAGACTGTCTTGATTTTGAGTTTGAATTTGTATCACTGCTGTGAGCTATTGAAGGTATGGCACTTTGTTCCCCAGTAGGGCAAGATATATTTTTAACCATAGCTATCTGCCCACTAGAGGGTGCTGATGTCATGAGACACCAACAGCTGAGGCATTAACTTGAGTTGTTGCAAACAGAACTGATGAGATTCTTTCTCATATACACAGGAGCTGGAAAACGCAGAGTTCATCCCCATGCCAGACAGCTCATCTCCCCTAAGTGGAGCATTTTCTGAATCTGAGAAAGATACCCTGCCCTATGAAGAGCTGCAAGGACTCAAAGTAGCCTCCGAAGTGCCTGTGGAACCTAAGCCCCATGTAGGAACCTGGGTAACTGAGCTTTTTGCTTTTGAATCACAACTAGGAGGACAGTTACTATAGACTCTGCCCAGTTCTCCTCGTGTCACTCTGTCCTTCAGCTTCATTGGCTTAGCTGCCCTGTGTCAACCTATCTTACTTCCTGTCCAGTTGCACTGAAAGCTTCTGTCTTCCCAAGGCTAAATCAAGTTACCTCAGAACAGAATTGACCTTACAGTTCTGATGGGCCACCTTCCTGCATGAGAGGATTCTCTTTTTTTGTCTTAGAAGCACTAAAATTGAAGTTCTAGAATTCCACTTCACCTTTTATGACACTTCTGGGGTAGGTTGGAGGTTCTAAATGTAAGTAAAATACAATGTTTTAATCTACTGAGGGAACAACACATGTATACCTCACCTTGATAGAAATGCAATTGTAGTAAACACCTCAATAAAACTCTAAACCAAGGAGCCAAGAATTTAGCTCAGTGGCTCAAGCACTTGCCTGGTAAGCACAAGGCAAAACTCTAGCCAAAAAGAAGGAAAGAAAGACAAACTTCTAAACCAGGGACCACCAGATTTTTTCTATATAAGGGAACGTAGTAATTCTTCTACATTTTGTGGGCCATATAGTCTCTTTTGCAGCTACTCAACTCACACTGCGGCTCAAAAACAGTCATAGAGTCATTAAGACTTGAATTTTGGAGTATTTCCAATTTCCAGATTAGGGATGTTCAACCTATAATGCATAATAGAGGAGTAGAGTACATGTCTGTGTTTCAATAATACAAAAGCAGGTAGTCCAGAATTGGCCAGTGGGCTGTCATTTATTGACCTTGGCTCTGAACAAAGTATAATAGAAGAAGAAGAAAATCCAGAGCAGAATAATTGAAAACCTTTCCAGGAGAGGTATTAAAACCTTCGAAAATCAAGGTGAACGTTTGCCTTCCTGTTGGTTGGCCTTTTTGAATTTGATGGTAATTCTGACTACTAAACACCTCTCATATCTTTTCTTCAGTGCAGTCACTACATCTCATGAGTGTTGACCCTTTGTATCACAGTATCCTCACTGTGATCAGGACTTACTCCAAATCATACCCACTGCAGCATTTTAAGTGAGAATATATAGTCACACTTTAACATTTTTTTTTTTTTTCTGGGTACCAGGGATTGAATTTACAACCTTGAGCTTGCCAGGCAGGCACTTATGCCACTGAGCTAAATCCCCAGCCGTAACATTTTTTTGCAAAATCCTCCAAAACGAGTTACTGTTCTTTTCCTAGTGTAATAGGGACTGAGGCATTGAGACTGCCCATGCGTCCTCAGTGCCTGGTGCTAATAACCCCAGCAGTCTTCTGTTTCTCTTCACCTCTTCATGTGTATCTATGTCTTACCTTGTTAATCTGTGAGTAAATCCATTTGCACGGGGGAGCTGTGCCCCGAGAGTGAGCCTCCTACAATCTGCCCCTCTTGTCTCTAGCTTCCCCGGCTGACTCCTGCAGTACCATGTGCTGGCAAGGGAGCACCATTGACCCCTCCTGCCTGTGCGTGTAGCACTCTGCAGGTGGAGGTTGAGAGATTGCAGAGTCTGGTGTTGAAGTGTCTGGCTGAACAACAAAAATTACAGCAAGAAAACCTCCAGATTTTTACTCAGCTACACAAGCTGAACAAGAAATTAGAAGGAGGGCAGCAGGTAAGAGTAATAAGAGAATAATCCAATTTCTAAGTCTGTTTCAAGGACTTGCAGAAACAAAAGACCAAAACTTACTGCTCTGCATGTCCTCACCTTTGAATGATGTGATTTTTGTAATTAATCCCAGAAGTCTTTGGCCTTAGTCAGGCACCTGGACTGAATCATTCTCTTCACCAAACTTCTATGTTTTTCATTACTGTTTGTTTTTACTGTTTGTTCTTTTACTTTTTCCTGTAAAAGGTTTTAAACATTACAAAGAACACCAAATGTACTCACCATCTAGATTCAATAGGGTTTTTTTTGTTTTTGTTTTTGTTTTTTATGTTGTTATTGTTGGTACCCGGGATTGAACTCACGACCAGCCACTTATGCCACTGACCTAAACCCCTGGCCCTATTCAACATTTTTAATATGTTTCTGTATTTGTTTTCTCAATGTGTCTATAATATATAAAATATATACATTTTGCTAAAGGAATTTAAAATAAATTATAAAAATCATGTATAGTCCCTTAAGTAAGCCCTTCAAAAATAAAGAAGCCCATTCTTCTGGACAGCCACATTATTATTGTCACTAATGTTTTCAGTTTTCATCTAGTATCCAGTTGATAATTTGAATTTTCCCATTAAAAATATCCTTTATTAGAATCCTGTCCAAAAAAACCACATTCCATTTGGTTATGTCTCATTCTAATCTAGAGCAATTGCCCCGCTACAACTACTTTTTAAAAATATATTTTAATATCATTGACTGACAGAAATAGAGCCAGTTGTTTGTCAGACTGTCCTATGTTCTATATTTATTCTGTTTTCCTAGGATATTGACACATTCTTTTGTTATCCTGTCTTTTCCGAAAACCAAAAGTTAGATTTAAAGCTTAATTAAATTTAAGATTAAATTAAATAGTTTGGGGAAAACATGTCAAGGTAGTGCTGCTCACATTGTCTTTAAAGATCCATGCTATTGCCCGGCACCATGGTACATACAATCCCACACAAGGCTCAGACCAAAGGATCAGGCTGGGTAACACAGTGAGACCATCTCAAAATTTAAAATTTAAAATGCATGTAGCTCTGAGATGGAGCACTTGCCTATGATATGTGAGGCCACAGGTTCAATCCCCAGCACTACAAAAATAAATAGACAAACAATAAATAAATGGGTATTGTTCTACACAGAGTCAACTATGTGTCAGAAAGTGGCTTAGCCATCTATATGTATTTGGACTTCTTACCTTGTTTCTATGGATTGAGCCCTAGTTTTTCACCTAAAAAAAGAAAATACTGCTACCTACTCTGCCCGATTATTTTAAGTATTATGAAATAATGCCTATGAAAATAGTTTAGAAAGTAATAGACAAACGTAGACTAAGATTGGCAGCTGTTAACCCAGCGTGGTGGCACATGCTTGTAATCCCAGCACTCGAGAGCTCGAGAGGTTGAGGCAGGAGGATCAATGTGAGTCAAGACTAGCCTTGGTTACAAAGTAAGCTCATGGCCAGTTTGAAATGCATAGTGAGACCCTATCTCAAAAAAAAAAAAAAAAAAAAAGACTGGCAGCTGTAACAGGCAAGAAGATTGTTTTGCTCAGGACTGTTGCGGTTTGGGGTTTTTTTTGTCTTTTTCCTTTTTATCTGTACCGGGGATCGAACTCATGACTGCCTGCTTGCAAGGCAGGCGCTTATGCCGCCGAGCTAAATCCCCAGCCCCGACTGTTTCAGTTTTAAAATTCTGCAGTTTTGGTTTCTTAAATTGAGAGTTGTGCAGCTCAGAACACCCTGTAGTCCAAAGTAAACCACAACAGTTTATCACTTTACCTGCAGCAAATGTACAGGCGTGAACTTGTACATGTGAAGAGATGAATACTAGGGTATTGAATTTAGGGCTTTTGCACTAAACCACATCCCCAGCCCTTTTCTTTTTTAGTATATTTTATTTTTTTGAGACATGGTCTCACTCTGTAATTCAGGTTGGCCTTGAATTCACTATTTAGTCCAGGCTGGCCTCAAACTCATGACAGTCCTGCCTCAGCCTCCCAACTGCTGGGATTATAGGCATGTGTCACCACATGCCCTTGTTTTATGTTTATTTTGAGACAGTCTTGCTAAGTCACGTAGTTGCCCTGGCTGGATTTAAACTTGTGATCTTCCTGCCTCAGTTTCCAGTGTGAGATTACAAGTATGAACTTTCTCTAAGGTAGTCCTGTGAGCTCCCCACAGGACTGTAGCCGTAAACTCTTAAAGGCTAGCATTGAAAATCTCATCCTGAACTGCTGTGACTCGGTGGCACTGTTGCTAATGTGGAACCATGTTCTATCTGCACAGGTGGGGATGCATTCCAAAGGAACTCAGACAGCAAAGGAAGAGATGGAAATGGATCCAAAGCCTGACTTAGATACAGATTCCTCCTGGTGCCTTCTGGGAACAGAGTCTTGTCGATCCAGCCTCTAGTCTCCTGAGCCTGCCTAGCCCCCAGGAAACTGGGATCCAAAGAACTTCACAGCACACTTACTGAATGCAGAGAGCAGCTTTTCTGGCTTTGTTCACTTGCAGACAAGGAGCACAGGCAGAGGCACTGAAGCACTTTCCTTGTGTGTTTGGAGAGTGGCATTATTTAGATAGGATCTAGAGTGATTTTATTTTGGAGAAAGGCCCTGTAGCCCTGGTTTTGTCATCAGTGACTGCCATAGCAACAGCAGCTCTGTACCTCATCTGTTGAAGAGACACAGTGCTCACTTTAATTGCGCTGGTAGCAACTCCTATCCCATTTATCATTTTTACCGTTGGTGTTAAGCTGCCTTGGGAATTCAGCACCAGGCATTGCACCTCTGGGTGAGGAGGGGAAAGTGTAAAGCTGGAGCGTGCTGGGATCACACACAGCCTGCCCAGGTCCTCTAGAGAATGGTAAAGTTTGCACAGCCCTCAGGAGCCATGAGTTGAGGAAAATTTGTATGGTGAAGTCAAGCACATTTTTAGAAAGTTACTTGATGCAGCTAGATGCTTAAGGGAGGAAGTAGGTTTAGATTGCTTTTCCTCCGAAGGTTGATGAAATGTCTTTAATGAGAAGCAGAGTAAGAACAGAGCCATCCTCGGCACACAGTATGGGTGTTCAGGCTGTGGCTAGTGCAGGGTGGGATTTCCTAGATTTCCCAGCTCTGAAAGGTGCCTCTAAAGAAGGAAGAGTGTCTCAGAGAACTGAGTCAGGAGCCTTAGGCAAGGGCCTTAGGAGCAAATCGAGAGGGAGAGGAGTGCCTCCTTCAGTGCTTCTACCTGGCTAGGACACCAAGTCTTCTGCCCCAGGAGGGCTTTTTGTGCCTCTGCCTTAGTGGCTCTTAGGAGACTGATCTTGACTTAGCAGCTCCAGCCTCTCTCTCTCATGTCTAGTCAGTATTTCTCTCCTTTTGGTATTTTTTGAAGCCATATTATAACCAGTGAATCTGTATCATCTTTCCTATTGAGTGGCCCAAAGCCAGCACCAAACCCTGGGGGTCCCGGACCCTAACAGAACATGTAGAACCTACCAAGTGAAAGAAATCTGGCTGTAGACTCCCTTTCCTTTCCTTTTTCCTTCCTTCCTTTTCTTTCTTTCTTTCTTTTTTTTTTTTTTTTTTTTGAGACAGGATCTCGCTATGCAGTTCAGGCTGGCCTTGGGGTTTTGTAGCCCAGGCCGGTCCTGAACTTGCAGTGATCCTTTTGCCCTAGCCCCCCAAGTTCCAGGATTACAGGCATGCACCACAACACCAGGCCCAGCAGACTCACTTCTAACATGTCTGTATAGTCAAAAGCAAATTAGCTTTCCCGAGAGAGACAATAAAGAATAAAACTGTAAATAGACAGTTTCCATACAAGTATGTAATGGTTTATCTTAAGGATGTGAGTTTTGTATTTCCATAAAGCCTTAGGAAACGTTCCTGTATTTTGGGTCACAGAAGTTTTGATGAGTTTCATATCCTTCCTCCTTAAAGCTATGTTAATTTTGTTTTATTTTTCCCAAACCAGTCTGTTTAATATTTCAGGAGAACTTGTGGAAGGGAGATTTTACCCTCTCCCTAACACTGGTAGTGTAAAGGCTGGTGCCGGTGAGAAAAATCTATAGGGAAGGGCAACTCTGTCCAATGGGATCTGTGCTGTCCCATTGTTTTCTCAATTCTGAGAAGCATAGTACAGTAGTACTAATGTAATCACTGAAGCCTTTTCCTAAAGTAAGGGAAAGGCCAAGCCTGAATTAAAGTTACAAGGTCTGGGGTTTTGCTGTAAACCCTAACAGTGGTTTTGGTTCATCATGTAAATGCAGCTGTGGTTTTCTTAAGGACTAGCTGACCTTTCATGTCCCTGTATCCTCATGCTCACCATCTCAGCAGGCCTGAGCAAGAGGGTTATTTGGATTTTGTCATGAGGATCACTTCTGCTCTGGAGCTGAGGGACATGGGCACATTGCTGGGACTTTAGGATGACAGTGTGTGAAAGTGGGGTGAAAGCCCTGGTGGGGAGTCATTCCCGAGCAGTGAAACTCAGTGGCCAGTTTCTCTAGCATGTTCCCTTGAGAAGTTGAGGTTTGCTGTTAATCTGGCTGAGAATCTTAAATTCTGTGCCTTAGAAACAATTTGCACTTTGCAAAATTGTGCCTGAGTCAACCATATGATTTTTCCATCAAACAGCTATGCAAGCAGAAACCAGTTCCAAGGTGGCAGCAGTGCATTAGATAGCGTGAAAGGCAAGGCAGCAAAAATACCTTTGAATGCTTTCCTGGAGCTAATTCTCCCCCAAGTTTTGTCCGGCTTTTTTTCTTTATGCAGTGGTAGATGCTCTCAGTTTGCTAGTAGTTTTGCTTTTGAGTTACAGTATAATTTGGGTTACTCCTACTTGCTGACACTGTTGCTGAAGAGCTAGCTTACTGTTAGCCAGATGCTGGAAAGATTGAGGGTGGAATGGTTTGGCATTTCTGTTTTAAATAAACATTTAAACTTTCAATTAGTGCTGTGTCTTAGTAAGTCTCACACCAATGTCAGTCACTGGACATAAAGTACAAGGGTAGGCCTTTATATATCTTTTATTCTATAAGCCTTTATAGAAATAAATACAGGGGCTGGGGATTTAGCTCAGCGGCATAAGCGCCTGCCTTGCAAGCAGGCAGTCGTGAGTTCGATCCCCGGTACCGATAAAAAACGAAAATGACTAAATAAATAAATAAATACATACATATACTTGCAACAGAAACAATGCAAGGATCATTTTACAGGAATAATCTCTGCTTCTTTCTCATATCCTTCCCAGCAAAATCATTTTTGCTGCTAATCTTATTTTCTAAAAACTTCTACAAGAGAGTGCTAAAAGTACAGAGGGGAGGAAAAAAATGGCCTATTTAAAAGTAGGGTCCCCTTTTGCACTTACCTTCTCAGGCCTAGTAGGGGCCTTTCCAAGCGATTACACCAGTTGTTTATGAAACTTCCTTCAAAGAGACTGAGCTGTATTTGGTCTCCCCAGGCATAGCACAGCCAAGTTACCACTTCTCTTGGCTGAGCATCTTGCTAAAGCTCAAAGTGAAAACAAGCTAAAACTCAAATTTCATTTGGTTTGTCATGTTCAGAAACATTGATAAAAGAACAATTTAGAGGCATGGATGTATTTTAGACACATTCATTCAAGTAAGATCCCTGGGACCTCCAGGGAAGTATTACTCATGATAGTGGCAGGGCAGAGTAATTCATACTCAGGACTCTAAAACATGGGCCTTCCTGCTGCAAATGATTACTGCTTCAGTGATTAACTGTGGAAATAAACTTGCTGATCATTAAACCTCACAAAGTCATGCACATTAGGGAGAAAAGCTACAGTGTCGTCTCTGCTACCTTCTATGTAGTTATGAAGAGTGATCAATCAATGACCAAAAGCAAATGTTGACCAGAAGGTACTGTGTTGAATGGAAAAAAAAGAAATATTTTCTTGGCCTGTCCACTTTTTCTTAATTGATTAAACATTAATGGCTTTCATTTTGGCAGATTCATACATGCACACAACATACTTCATTTTCATTGTACACACTTTGAAATGACATTATTGCCATGGGATTTTTTTCCCATTGCTTAATTTTTTGAACTTTAAAATTTATGTTTGCTAGCACTAAGGTTCTTGGATAAAGTAATATAAGATACAGACATTTACAAGCAACATTATTTGTCATCCCTCACCCCATCCGGGAAGAGAATAGATAGAAAACAGTTCTTACATCTTCCCAAAAGCCAAGTCAAGCTAAATTTAAAAGACTAATAGAATAACCAGTCTAAACATGAGGAGATCAAAGAAACGCAAAGGCAATGACTATTTCCTCAGCAACTTAAGAATGAATTACTATGTCTTTATGTCTTAGAAACACTCCCTAAACACAGCATTTGTTCTCTGGAAAGCCCTGACCTGTAACCCTAATATCATCCTTGGATCTCAAATCCAAGTTTGAGGCCTGTGGAGCCAGGCACATAAAGCAAGTTTCAGGCCCCACCTGCTATAGGCTCTGAGTGAAGGGCCAGTGATTCTGGACCCCTCCTAGCCTATCTGTACGTGTTGCTGGTTCAGTGTTTCCAGAACCTCCAGCTTTTCAAAGAGATGCTCCATAAGCCATAAATATGAATGTCAGATCAGTAATGCTGTCCCAGCCAATAAAATATGGGAGAAAAGCTGTCCACAGGCTGTCATTTGGTAACTTTGACCGTGTACTGCTTTTAACACCAAGTATGGAACTTAGTGTCTTCCTCATTAACCTTGACTGGGGGATGGACATACTTGGTTAAACATCCAGTGCCTCTGTGCGCTTTCCTCAAGGACTCATTCAGTTTTTACTTTTAAGTCCCTCAAACCCATTGAGGGCCTACCTCGTGCTAGGCACTAATCTACACAGAAACTTAAAAAGATCTGGTCCCTTTTCCTTCAGAGTTTTCTTCAAAATAGAATTTAACTCTGTTATAATCAACAGGGACATGTGACACAGTAACGTCTTAGCTTGCTTTGAGGATACATCTGCTGCCTCATTTAAAAAGTCATTGAACCAACATGATTTGAAAGAATGCTAGTAGTGTCTTCCTTTTCAACATATGAAACCCATTAGAAAAGAACAAGATGTCTAATACGTTTTCCCCCATCCTTGCCCTGTAAAGTACATAAAGATGTTGCCTTTATTACACGGTATACCGCAGGGAAAGTTCAGGATATGTGAGTGCCTTCACGTGGTATACTTTTATTGACATTTGGTCAGAACCATGCCTCATGGGGGCCAAGGACAGACTTTCATTAATAATGCCTTAGAGCAAAATCATATTATGTTTTATAAGAATTACCATCTGGGTGACCACAGTCCTCTGACCCCAACTCATTCCAATACTCCCTATTTCTTGCAAGAGCATGAAGGGTTAACAGAAACAATGGGCACATGTGGTGAGCAGAAAAATAAATACAGGCGCTTCACTAGCACAAACCGCAGTCAGGCGTGTGAGAAAGAGCTTTAATGTAGCCTGCTCACTACTCAGTGTCTTCACCCATCCGTTCTTGGGGTCTGCAATGAGAAACACCAGCCGAGGTTGTAGTTTAGTGGGAAGCTGGGCTTCCTTCCGCGTCCTGCTGCTTAGCAATAGTTTTCTCCTCCCCAATTTTAGCAGAGCTGTGTGATGTAAAAGTTTTGGGAGGTTTCTTCTCTGCTTTATATCAAAGTATTCTTGTCCTATTTATTGCTGCAGAGAAGCAGACGCTTCTAAACTATTTGAGGAGGTTTCTGCTATTGCCTACTCAACTGTTGTGCTTTCTTGGAGGTGGTGGACGGTTTCTGATGGTCTTACACTTGGGAATATGTCGCTCAGCTACCTTGGGAGCAAAGTGACGGCTACAGTGAGAACACTGGACATAGTCTGGGTTTTCTGCAGGTAGGATGGGAGGCAAGTCTGAGGGATTTCCACCTTTGGCGATGACCTGCTGGACCTCTCGTGCCTGACGGAGCGTACGGATGAAAGATTCATGCTTCTGTCTCCAGTTGCTCTTCTGAGGAGGTTCGGCCTGTAATGTAAAAGGAAGAATAATCACTCAGTGTGTCCTTCCTGAGTCTCCATCAGAATGACAGAAGGAAATAAAGGACAGTAATCCACACGGTCAAAGAGAACAGGAAAGGAGCCACAGTGGTAACTGACTAGCCAGAGTCCACTGAAGGCCAACCATTCTCCTAGCAGAACCTCAGAAAGGGTCAGTGATTAGAAGTAGCAGGCTGTTGAAACCAGGGAGATACAGCACTAAAAATAAGCTGGCTTCTCTAACTTGTATATCCACAAGTCCCATCTTCTCAGGAGAACAGGAACCTAACTCTCTGGAGAAACTGAACTGGATGGTTTCAACTCAGGGAATCCAGACAGGGTAGGAAACAGCAAATCTTGAAGGTGTAAGTGGGGAGTAAGTGCCAGTATACATAGCAAATTGTGAACTATCAACCTTCTGGTATCCTCTTAGGAAAGAGAAGGACCCTCTAGATGCACCAATCAGCCTAGAGATAAGCCGTCAGACACTAACCTTGAGAATCCCAATTACAGTGTTCACTGTGTGACAACCTTAATATGAAAGAGTGTAGTCAACAAGCTTTACTTAAGCTTGAACATGAAAGGAAGCCACTGATCACCAGGTATTTAACAAAAACTCTTTAACTAGAAAAAGACCCCCAAAAAGGTGTACAAACAAGGAACAGCAACAAGATGAAAACTTACTATTTTTTATCACAGAAGACTGAACGCAGGGACTCATGCATGCAACATTCAGGCTCTGCCACTAAACTATGACTTGAGATCTTTTTATTTTGAAACAGGGTCTCAAATTGCCCAGACTGGGCTCAAGTTTGCAATCCTTCTCTCTTAGCCTGCCCAGATAATGGGGATTATAGGCATATACCACAATGCCCAGCCGTTTTTTTCTAACAGAAAACATAATTATCAACAAAATGAATATTAGAAGAGACTATGTCCATAAACTGAGTACACTATGAAAAGAAACAACAAAAGAATCAAATAAATTATAAATTAAAACTTTTTGATAGCTAAAAGTAAAAAACAAAATAGAAATGTTGCAAAATGATGTTAAGAAAATTCCTGGGGGAAAAAGAAAATGGAAAGTAGAAAACATTAGAAAATTAGGAAGGCAATACTGAAGTCCAACATGTCACCAGGAGGCACCCAAAAAGAACAGAGACATCACAAGGGAAATGTTATTTAAAATATCACATTCCTCACATCAAAGGCCATAAATCTTAAGACTGGAATGGCTCTCCAGGTATTGAGCACAATCATTATAAAATATGAGAATAAAGAGAGTCCTGTATGTATTCAGAAAAAAAACCAAACAGGTTTCACATAAGGAAATAGGAATCTAGATATTGATTTTTTAACAGTAAACACTGGACACTAAAAGTTAGTGGTGAATGCCTTAAAAGCTCTAGTAAATAATTTTCCACCTTGGATTCTAAATCTAGCCAAATTATCAAATAAGCTATTAGATATTTTCATTCATTTTCCTTAAATTAAAGATCATAGATCTTGAGCCTGAAATGGCTTGCCAAATATGCAGCACGGTCATTGTAAAATTGTTAAATATACTTCCTGTGTACATTTTTTAGTACAGTGAAGAGTGAAGCAAAAAAATATACAGGATTCTGGTAACAGGAGACAAGAGAATTCCCCAAGCAACAGGTCTGCACCAGACCTCAGAAATAGCCAGTCCAGACTGGGCAGGGAGAAGAAGAGGATAGATTTTCAAAAAACAAAAGCAAAAACAAAAAACACCAAATTGATGCATTATGAGAAGTATTTGAAAGCTTCATAAAAACATTAACAGATGTCTGGCATCAGATCACTTGGGGAAGAAATTAGAGATAGGTATGTAGGAAAACAAAGGATATGAAAATAAGTCAGTAACTTAAATATGTGTGGGCAGGGGCAAAATTTGTTCACTCATCATGAACAAAATTTACATAGGAATTAAAATCTGACCGCTGATTTAATCTAAAATGCGGGTTGAACTACAGTGGAGGACAGGGTGTAGGAAAGTTAAGGGGCGGGGCCAAGGATTTAGCTCAGCGGTATGAACGCCTGCCTGGCAAGTGCAAGATTGTGAGTTTGCGCGCTGGCATCAAAAAAAAAAAAAAAAAAAAAAAAAGAAGAAGAAGAAGAAGAAATTAAGGGGAGAGGACATGGGGGACGGCTTCAATCACAGTTCCATATAAATCACTGGATAATGTAGGAAATGAGCAAATCAAGAAAATAAAGTATTATTTGGGAATACAAAAATGCTTACCAAAAAAAGAAAAGGAACGAAGAAAGAAACTTAGGACTGTATGATTTTTTTTAATAATCTTTTTTTTTTTATCAGTACTGGGGATCGAACTCACGACCACCTGCTTGCAAGGCAGGCACTTATGCTGCTGAGCTAAATCCCCAGCCCAAACTATGTGATTTTTAAAAGGCATACAATATTACTTAAAATTAATTTTAAAACAATGAAAATAAAAAGACAAGTAGCTCTTGATAACTACAACAGTTATGATCAAAGGATTAGGAAGGATCCTCCTGAAACAGAAAGAAAGAAGGCCAGAGAGCTGGGATTAGAGATGGTATCCAGGAACCTTTAAAAGAATTCAGCTAGGGGAAGGTTCCTCAAGTGTATGAAAACATCTATATTTTAATATTTTCCCCTGGTGTTGGGGCTTCACCCAAGGTCTCCAGCATGCTAGGCAAATGCTCTACCCCTAAGTTATATATTTAGCCCCCAAATTCTTTATTTATATTGAAATTATATTCAATTAATGCATTTAAACACAAAGATGTGCGTAGTCCCTGCTCTTAAATGCTCCCAATGTACATAGTGGACAAGATACTCAAATCTGCTGGAAGTTACGTAAAGATTTTAAAAAATCATTTCTTCTTGTAAATAAATGACAATGGAAATACAAACAGTGAGCTTCTGAAGATACAGCACTCTAGAGTAAGACCTGGGACATTCCCAGGAGGAAATGTATCTCAGACCAGGTCCTTTCTGCCTCTCTGTCCTCAATAAGACTCATTTCCTCAAACTAGTTGGGTGTCTGATCTCAAAAACCCAAGTCTTTTGCTTCCCTGCCACTATATTTAGGAACTTTAAGAACCACAAGATTCTTTTAGGTTCTAGCCAAATATAAATTTCTGTGGTTGGACACAGGGAATCCCCAGTGGATTACTGGGTTGACCAAAAAGAAAACAGGAAAGCGCACTGACTGGCTATCCTGTTATTATATACCAGTGAAGCTGTTGACTCCTTGTTGGATGCTAGATTACCTCTGATCATGAAAGGGGCTTTCTTGTGGTGATCTCCCAGATTGTACTGAAAGAATTCCAACTGCAAAAGTACTGTACATCTCCTCACAACCATCACATCCATGTGAGCTTTTAAAGACCTCAGCAAATATACATGGAACAGTAAAGTCCTGATAGACAAGAAGTACCAACCAAGCAGAGGAAGGGTTGGAAAAAGAAATTAAACTGAGACACATTTTTATTTTTCTATATTAGAGCTAGATGAGATCTTTGAGATAATTCCCCAAATTTGATAACTTTATTCTCATTATGATTAATATTTTTCTTTAAATTTGTGACCCCCCAAATTGCAGGTTTAATGTGCTGTTATGTTTCTCTAACACACACTAAAACTAAAATAAAAAAGGTTGATACACAACAATTTGAGAAATTCTCATTTTATAAAATGAGGGTCATAATCTTGATAGTTATTCATGAGACAATCCTAACCAAGTATGTCCAAATATACCTATGAAGTTCTCCTGAACTTATTGTATAAATGTTTCAAAACTCTTAATAATTTGGTTTCTCTATGTGATGTTTTAAAAGAAAATAAAGAATCTTTTGCCCTGAAGCGTATCAAAATTGAGCTAAACATGAAAGAGTAGATATAGCTAAATGAGTGATAACAGACCCCAGGCTTGGGAGATGGCAGAGCGTATTGCAAAGAGCAAGTTCTCTTGCCAAACCAAAAAAAGAAATATTTTGTGCATAGCTTTTTCTTTAGATGTGTCATGTTCTTAAATTTATCAATTTTTTAAACATATACTACTTTTAAGTCAAGAGTATATATATATATATATATATACATATATATATATATATGTATATATATATATTCCTTTCCTTTTTTTTTTTTTTTAGCAGTTATCAAACTCAGAACTTCACAATTTCCAGGCAGGTGTGGTGCTACTGAACTAAAATCCCCAACAGGACATATTTTTTAAGTCTAGAGTTTGGAGTTAGTCCAACCAAGATTTACATGTTGGCCTTGTCATTTAAAGCTGTGACTTCATGAAAGTTACTTAACCTGCACAAGCCTTGATATATGAGTATGCATCTCGAAGTCTTAACTTTTGAATTGATAAAATGAGAGATAATGAAAGCCTCATAGAATGGTAAGTATCCCAGGAAAAGCTCCTGTCACAGTGACTGGCACACAGTAGTAATCAAGAAATGTTAAGTCTCACCTTCATCCCACATGGCACCTGAGTTTTCCCTATAGAAAACTGAAGAGGATGTGACAGGTCCCTACAGTGATCCCCATACAAAGTCAGATCCGTGTGGCATTTATTACCTTGACGGTGGCTGGCCCATTCCAGTTCAAGTACTGCTCTAGTTCGGTGCCCTTAGCCCGGGCCTTGGAGGAGTTAAACACTTTCCTCTTGGAAGCCTGCATCTTGCTGCAGATGGTGGAGTGTCTCTCCAGCCTGAGCAAAAGAAATGTGCGCCCACAGTGGCTGCACGTGCCCAGCTCTGGCTCTTCAGTGGAGCAGGTGGAACCTAAGGACTCTGGTGCTCTGGACAGGCTAGAACCTCTGGTGGATCCCTGCAAATTACTGCCTGCTTCTTCTGAAGGCTGAAAGAACTTCAGTGGCTCTGAGGCTTGGTCTCGGATCTTGTTATTGCTTGCCACTAGCCTTTCCTTTTTGAGCCTCTGGATTCCATAATCAGAGAGCTGGACTGGACTAGAATTTTCCTGAGGCTGTCCCCAAGTTTCATCCTCTCTTCTGTCTCTACTGAACACCTCTTCAGTCCCAAATTCTGGGGAAAAGACAGGCTCGTATATGGTGGTAGTGTTATTGCCTTTAGTTCTTCTGAGTTGTATCGTTCTCTGCAGCACTCGCTCCTTTTCTTTGGCCTGTGCCTTTTCCCTCTGTATCTTTCTGAGTTCCTCCTCTGTCTTCTTCAGCTTTTCCCTCAGGAGACTCTCTTTTCTTCGGATTTCCTCCTCTAAGCTCTCCCTTGCAGCTTCAAGTCTTTGGAGCTGCATCCGCTCAGTCCTGTGGAGGTCTGCCATGGCCTCCTCCTGCATGGAAGCCAGAATAGATAAATTCACCCAGTTTCTCAAACCCACGTTGCTGACTGAAAATTCTGTTGGCTCAGGGGGTCTTGTGTGGATATTCTGGTACCTGTCAGTGCCAGCTTCCCCAGTACTACAAGATTTCCGGTGAACCATGGGTTTCAAGGGATAGGCCCGGTCCACCCCAACTCGCTTCTTTGTAAAGGGGATTAAGTCTTGGTCATCTGCTTTGGGACACCCGGACTGAGAGCTTGGAGAGTACAAGAAGCTCTTTCCTTGGCCCTGGGAATTGCTTCCCAAGTTTCGCTGGTTTATTCCAGCACAGTGGGAATAAAAGTAGCTCCAGGCTCTTGTGCTGATGTTCCATTTGGGGTGAGTGTAGACGTTATCCAGTGCCTGCTCTTTCTTGCTCAAAGGCTTCTGGTGAAAAGTCTTCACGTGCCCCATTGAAGAGTGCTGGGAAGAGTCACCTTGTTCATAAGGGTCTTGCTTGGCTGAGTGGAGCCCTGGAGCTTTCATTTTATTATGTGGGAACATAACGCCCACAGGCAATTGAGGAGCCAACTGGAGACCAGCCATTCAGGGCTTGGCCTGAAGCCTAGGGGAGATTCAAACCAGATACATGTGAAGAATTTGTCTGAGGTTCACTCCTCCTTGCTAAAGTCAACTCTTTACATTTGCCTTACCCACATTTACCTTAAACTTTTCTAGGAACATTGGTGCTGCATATGTCAGAAGGTTCCTTCAGTATGCTGGGTAATGATTATGTGCAGATACTGTGGTAGGCCTTGAAGACAGGAAAACAAATGGGGTACAGGTGTTCTTGCCACCTAATTTTTCTTTGTACCAGTACTAGTCTCTACCATGCACACTTTTTTTTTTTTTTATCTTTTTTGAGACAAGGTTTCAACTATGCAGTTCAAGCTGGCCGTGAACTCACTTTGTAGCCCAAGCTGGCCTTGAATTTGCATCGATCCTCCTGCCTCAGCCTCCCAAGTCCTGGGATTACAAGTGTGAGCCACCACGCCCAGCCTTTTGCCACATATTTTTATGTAGCAGGTGAAAGAGCAATGGTCAGGTTTTAGAGGTAGGACTCAGAATAAGCAACTTCCCCTCGAAAGCCCCTAGTTTTCACCTGCAAACTGAAGGTTCCTTCTGAACCCAACCCCACCACTTCAACAGGTCAGAAAACCTGCGGCCCAGACGTAGGGCCTGCACAGAGCTTCCGAACTTGCTGGAACCTTCAGGGCGCTGAAGAGCAGTGCCCGCCAGGCTTTGAAGCAATACCTGGCTGTCAGACCCGCATACAAGAAGTCTCAGAGACACAGACCCAAAAAGGCTTGTCACCAGGCAGGTGGGGGCCACCAGATCTGGGCGCGGCTGGCCCTAGGTCCGGAACGCGGAGGTCATGTCCTGTCCCGGAGGGTCAGGGGGACCTCAGTTGGGGACTGTGCCTTTAGGGACAAGCCCTTCGGTGGATCGAGGTGTTGACTTCAAGACTCCCCGCCCTTTCGCGTACCTGAGGCTCTTGGAGACCGCTCCTGCTCAGGGGTAATCCCAACACCTAGCCTGCCTTACCTGACCCTCCCACCCTCCACAACACCGCAGCTCAACCGCTCTCGGTTGGCTTCGGTAATCCGGTTGCCTGGATACCGGTGCGTAGCGTGCTCAGAGCCCCGCCTCTCGCCGCTATCCCTGAGGGCGTGCCGCGCAGGCGCAGTCCGCGCACCTTCTGCAAGCCTGCCGGGCGCCGGGGTGCAGTCGGACTGGGTGTCACTTGACCCAGCATCTGGCCAACTCTTCTGTTCAGCCTTGTCCTTGGGGAAGAGGGAGGGGCAAGAGAGACGGTTCCGAGGCGCCATCAAAAAAAGAACGTGTATTTTTCTGAAAGCCATGCTCCTAGAATTTGGGGTGTGCCAGTCTCTGGCAAAGGGCGGAAACCCTAGATGTGCTACAGAGTCATCCCGCCGCGGGATTCCGGTGTCCGCTGTGCTAGCGGGAGTGGGCCTGCTACTGGCCTTTCTTAGCACGCTTGGCTGCTGTGTACGGGCCCCAGGTACGGCTCTCTGCTCACCATGCTTTCTTCCCCCGCCAGTAGTTATGAGCTTATGTCAGATTTTTTTTGTTTCCCTCGCAGTAGCTTTTTCCTGGGTCGTTTTTGTAGCCAGTCCATTTGGATATTATAATGCTTTACCCTCACTCTGGTCATTCTACTTAGGCTGTCTCTACTTAGGGCCCTGGAATGACTCAGCCAATTGTAATGATAATAAAGTTAACTGCCAAATGGAAAATAATCAGCATAACTTGGTTTCAACACTAAGTGATGCTCTGTAACTTTTTGACTTCACAAGAGAGTTTATTTGTCTTCCTCATGCTTCAGTTCATTTAAGTAAGTTGTTTGGAATAGGCAGCTCACAAGATTCAGGCACAGGAAAAATGATGTAGCGGAGCAGGTGATTTTAATACTTCAACAAGTCAGAACATACAGCGTCTCAGTGTTACAAAGAACTTCCTTAATGGGCCTTCGGGGCAGTTCTTTTTTTTTTTTAATCGGTACGGGGGATCCAACTCAAACCACCGCCTGCTTGCAAGTGCTTATGCCGCTGAGCTAAACCCCCAGCCCTGGGGCAGCTCTTTTATTCCTTGTTTTCGTTCCTAGTTGATTGTCCCGCCATCGCCATCGTGTATGCAGTTGCAGACACTTCTCACTACTCAGGGCCCCAGTTAGCTCATCCCTATCCCTCATCAGCACCCTTACTCCCTCCAGTTTGGCAGAATTTCCCAGCATGCCTCCTGTGACCCCCTTCTTTCTGGTTTCTGAAGAAGGGTCTTTCTCCTTCCATAACTTCTCTTGAGTATGTTTCTTTCAAAACCCTCCACACATCAACGCTGTCTCTTTACCCCTCCATCTTAATAATCTCCACAGACTCCTTCTCTTTGGCTTTAAAATGTGCTTAACTTTCCTCTGCAAAACAAAGCTTATTTCCCTTCACTTGCCACTTCTGTGTTACAGTTTAATTCCTTTCTTCTCTTCTCCATGAGACTTCTTAGCAGAAGATTTTATATTTGCTGCCCCCAGTTCCTCATCCCTTGGTGTCATCCTGTCTGCTATTTAGGTCTGTGTTCAGCCCTTTCCTATTTATCTAAGTGCACCAACTACCAGTGATATTCCCACAACCAAAACGAAATTTCCATTTCATCAGCAGACTCACTTGACTTTATTGATAATTCACACACATACCCCTTAGAACTCTCTTCTCACTTGAGCCTTTGCTGTCTTGGTTTTTTTTTTTTTTTTTTTGTCCTTGTTCCATCTTGTTCCAGGACTCTGGCATTTAGGTCTGTTTCACATGCGTATATTATTTGTACTAAGTGATGGAATGTCAGCATTCACTCATGATTACAAGCTACTCAGTTGTAGTCTCACTCCTTTGTTTCAGTTTTCCAGCTGCCTATTCAGCACCAGCATATGACTGACCCTCAGGAAAATTAAACTCAATGTGACAGAACAGTCTCCAGAAAAAAGAAAGAAAAGAAATAAAGAAAGCACAAACTCCTGATCACCTCCCCGTTCTTCAGTCTGCAGCTTCTCCATGCTCAAAGCATGCTCAAACTATCAGTCCTCTTCCTCTTCCGTTCCCTCCGCTTTGGCCCTTTTTCTTTCTAATTGGCAGTTTCTACTGATTTCTCTTATGCTCCTATTTCTCACGTATGGCCCTGCCCTGGGTGAGCTTTTCCTTCCTTCTCTGGATGGCGTCACTCTCCTCAGCATCTCCCCAGGATAATGATCATATGTTCTTCTTTCCTACCTTTCTTAAGACACAGTTGACAAAAATTGTACATATTTACAGTGTACAATGTAGTGGTTTGATATTGGTATGTATTATGAAACAGCTAAATATAGCTAATTACTATATACTTCTGATCCTATTATTTCCTTTTCCCAGTGGCTTCTTTTTTACCTGTACAATTAAGTTGAAATACATAATTCAGCATGGCACTTGTACCTCTCAGAATAATTCCAGTCTCCCTTTCCAGACCTGCCTCCCTTTAAGCTAGCCCAGTGGTTCTCAGCCTTAGCTATTCATGAAGACTACTTGGAAAGCAATATTGTAGGCCTGAGGTCTGCACATTGATATTTTTAGAAGCATACCCAAGGGAACGAATACAAGGCCAGGCTTGAGAGCCTCTGGTCTACCACAACTGATTACTTATACTTTCTCATCTCAGGGACACTGCTTTATGCCAAGCTCCACATCCTGGGAAGTGGTAGAGCATCGTATTTATAGGTGTGGACTCTGGACTGATTGCCTAAAATTAAGTTCCAGCCCCATCACTTAATGGCTTGTGGTTGTGTAAATTTGGAAAAATGTTTCCTCCAAGAGCACTTTCCCAATCTTCCCAATCAGAAATCATCTTTTTTACCCTTCATACTATTTTCAGGCCTTACTATAATACAGGGCTGGTTGATGATGAGCTTTCAGTGGATTCTCATGGAATTCAGTTACCATGTTGTGTTCTTTATTGTCATTTGTAAGGGCATTTTTATCCTTTACACTAAATTAAAAACCACTGTTGAAGGCAAAGATTATATGTCATTCGTCTTCATATACCATATGGTGTCCCATAGATTTATATGTTCAATGTATTTTTTTTCCTTTTTTTTTTGTACTGGGGATTGAACTCACAACTGTGCACCTGCAAGGCAGGTGCTTATGCTGCTGAGCTAAATCCCCAGCTCTCTATATTTTCAATTTTCTAGAGAAACTATTTTTTTAAAATTTTTTTTATTGGTACCAGGGATCAAATTCACGACCACGCGCTTGCAAGGCAGGCATTTATGCCACTGAGCTAAATCACCAGCCCCGAGAAACTAGTTTTTTTAAAAAATGAACTTAGAGAAAGAAATGCCATTAATGAGGTATATTTGTCAGTTTTATTTTCAAATATTTCCAAGCACAACATTCAATCTAGTTCCCCTGAGTCCCTGCACTATGGTTTATGCCTCTCTCTGACCTGGATCCTAACTCTCTTACTGAGGACTAGGGGATTGACGTAACTGCCATGGCTACCACTGCACATCCATCTCACTGTACTAAGTCTCCCAGTCTGGCATATTCACATCTGAAATCTTATAAAGGAATGAAATGTATACAAGAAATTCAAAGAGGAACAATAAACATCAGCTTTCCTTCACACGTATTCTTACTCATAAGACTTTGAGATTCAAATATCTACAAATAAACTTAATTTTGGCAATCCTTATTCATAAATACTCTTTGATAGTTCCCTTCGTCCAAAAATAAATTTGGCCATTTGTCTTAGATTGATTGATTCAGTTGAAATTTTGGAACCATGAGTTATTTGCTTGTGTTTTTGCTTTTCTTTTTATTTCTTTCTCTCTTCCTTTCTTCTTTTCTTCCTTCCCTTATTAAGTATTATTTGGCATTTTCTTAGTAAGGTAAACTGTTGGACAGCTTCTAGAAGCTTAGGAGAATAACCTCCACCGGGATTTCTTGTATATGTATCCTTCCTGCTAGCAAGTCAAGATTAGGCATGATTAAAAAAAAAAAAAAATTGGCATGACTCAGTATTGGAAGGGAACTAAAAGAAAAAGGACAGAAAGGTTGTATGCGTCCTACTTTCCCACTCATTTGTTTGTTTATTTGGTGCTGGGGATTTAACCCTGGGCTTCACACAAGGTAGGCAAATGCGCTACCACTGAGCTATATCCCCGACCTGCAATTTATTTTTGATGTTTAATGTTTCGTGTTTCCCACCTCCAGAATTTAAGCTCCTCTTGCTAGGGGAGGGTTCTGCTGTGTTCAGTGATATGTGCTAACTGCCTAGAAATGTGTCTGGTATACAGTGGCTGTCAGTCGGTATTTATTGAATGTACACATCCTCCCAGGGGAAAATGCGAAGAAGGGTGTGCTTAGTAACTGAGGTAGGGCTTAATCTCCAGAGGCCGAGTCCGACCCTGGACAGACTCCCCAGCGCCAGATGTACTTCTCTGCGGAACAAATTACATCTTAAAGCCCCACCCTCTGGGCCGGCCCGGGGCCGAGGCGTAAATTCTTATTGGTCTGTCGAGGTGATGGGCATCTGAGGCAGCAAAGGAGGAGCCACACTCTATACTTCCGGGAGCGCCAGTTTGCGGGGACGCAAGGTAGTTGGTTTGGTGGTTTCCTATGTGATCCGGCACTGTGGTTAAGGCAAGGAGTGTGAACTGGAGAGGGCCCCAAGGCTTGCCGGTCAGTTCCGTTAGCCGTGAAATGTTAGTGGAAGGGGAGTCTGGCGGCCAAGTGGGAAGAGGAATGAATGGGAGAGAGCAGGGACAGCATAACTGATGAGGCCACTGGGTGGGGAGGTGATTCTCCCTCGGAGTCCTCCTGCCCCTCCCTCAGCAGGTGTGTGCCTCCCACTTCACACGCTAGCCTTTGCACACCAACCCTTGCGCTTGAAATTCGGAACCATGAGGTCGGGGAGAGGTCACGGGGGTGATGGATGGAGAAGTACGGTTTTGGTTCTTTGTGCCTCAGAACCCGGAGTTCTGGAGTAGTCCTTTAATTTTGTTTCCCGGTCTTTGACAGGTTTGAACATGGCAGAAGAGGACAACTTGGTGTCAGTGGATTACGAAGTTTTTGGGAAGGTGCAAGGGGTGTTTTTCCGGAAATACACTCAGGTATGTGTCCTACAGGCCTTGGGGACATACCCTTGGTTATCAGCATAAGGACAGGAGATGAGTTATTTGTTTTCTTTTTCTTTCCTTTTTTTTTTTGTCTTGTACACGGTCTTGCTATGTTGCCTATGCTGACCTTAAACTTTGAGTCTTCCCACCTCAGCCTCTCCAGGAGCTGGAGTTTGCACTACCATACCTGGCTTTTTTGCTTTTCTTTTTCTTTGCTTTCCTTTCTTTTCTTTCTTAGACTGATAGCTTATTCTTTTTTTTTTTTTTTTTTTTGTCTTTTTCGGTACCAGGGATCGAACTCACGACTGCCTGCTTGCAAGGTAGGCGCTTATGCCGCTGAGCAAAATCCCCAGTCTCAGCTTATTCTTTACTATTTATAATCATTTAAATATGCTCTTTAACAACTGTTTTGCTATAGTCAGTTTGCATGTTGATGTTATCTACTCTTAAGTTTCGTCACTTTAGAAGAATGGTGGCTGGCAATAGAGAGAAGGATTTAAGTTTTATTTTATTTTCACAGACTATTAAACATTTTTATTCCATGCGCTAAGCTCAGAAGGAGGAGACTTCATTGCCTACCTAGGCCCTGATTTTCCCTGGGCAGAACTCCAGCTCCTTGCTCTCTGATGCTAGCCATCTGCTTGGTCACATCAGCCTGGTCTTGATGCATTGCAGGCAAGAAGCTTGCCCTGGTGGAATTGCTCCTCCAGAGGATTACTGATTTTGGTGTTCATTGTATTTCTTCTGAGTTTCCTTTAATCACTTTGTATTTAAAATCTCTTCCTCAGGAGTCAGCTTGGCCCTCTTCTTCTGGCCCAGGGACAATGCATAGTATGATTTGTACCATTGTCAACGTGCTGATAATAAGCCAATGCAGTTCTTCTCCGAGGTCTTGGTGGGGACCAGCTTCTTACTGGACGCATTGTAAACAACACCAGTGACCCTTGTTTGTCTGAGTATGGCACTCAGAGCCCCAGGAGAATGTTCTCAGATCCAGCCTCAGGGCATGGTATTTGTTGCCTTCTCACACTCTGGACCCATCTTAGTGTTGGCAGCAGGGTGTCCCACCTCATACTCCCACTTCTTGTTTTTTTTTTTTTTTTTTTGTCTTTTTCATTTTTTATCGGTACCAGGGATTGAACTCACGACTGCCTGCTTGCAAGGCAGGCGCTTATGCCGTTGAGCTAAATCCCCAGCCCATACTCCCACTTCTTGTAGGGCTTTTGCCCTGTCTTGCTGTGCCCATACTAGTTACCCCAAGAAATGCCCATCGATTGGCAGTGACAGAAAAAGAGAAAGGGACTTTATTAAAAGTTGGAATATGATTCATAACCCATAAAATTTACCCTTAAAAAAGTATAACTTGGTGAGTTTGATATGTACATCAAAAAAAAAATTATGCATCAGTCCCCAAAATTTTCATCACTCCAATGGGGGAAAAATCCCTATTTGCAATTACTGCTCATTCCCCCCTGAACCCCTGGCAACCACTAACCTATATTCGGTCTCTGTGGATTTGCCCGTTCTGGATATTTAACATAAATGCGATCAAATAAATGTGGCATTTTGTGTCCAGTTCCTTTCACTAGCATAATGTTTCCAGGACTCACTCATACTGTAGCATGTATCCATGCTTTTTATACCTTTTTATGGCTGAATAATATTTCACTTAGGGACCCACTACATTACATATCTATCAACTCAGACATTTGGGTTGTTTCCAATATTTGGCCATTATGAATAAAGATGCTGTGAACTTTTATGTAAATGTTTTTGTATGGACAACGCTTCCTATCCTTTTGATTTTCTATAGCTAAGAGTAGAGTGCTTGGCTACAGTATAGCTCTGTTTAACTTCTTGAGCAACTGTCAGACTTCCCCAAAGCAGCTCTGCTATTTTACATTCTCACAAGCAATGTTTGAGAATTTGTTTTTTCAAATTCTTGCCAACAGTGCTCACTGTCTGTTTATTATAGCCAGTCTAATGAATGTGAATTTTTATCTCATTGAAAATCTTGTTTGTTTGGTTTTCAGGTATCAATGAGTTTAAAGGGATTTAAGTCATACACAGAATGTTCTTCAGCCACAGTGGAACTAAAATCCAAACCTTTCTGGAAAGATAACTGGAAAACACCAAACTATTCAGAAAGTGTAAAACACATGTTTTTCCCCATAAAATTGTGGTAAAATACCACAGTTGTAAAATTCACTATTTTAACCATTTTAAAATGTATAATTCAGTGGCCCTAAGCCTGTTCACATATTGTTGGGCTACCATGACCAGGATCAATCTACAGAACTCTTTTTATCTTGCGAAACTGAAATGTAGTACCCGCTAACCAGTTAACTCCCTGTTTTCCCCTCCCCCTCAGCCCTTGGCAATCATGAGTCCACTTTATGAATCCAACTCAAAAATGACATGATGTAGTGTTTATCCTTGTGTGACTGGCTTATTTCACTTAGCATCGAGGTTCATCCGTGTATTGTGAGTCAGAATTTCCTTTTAAGGCTGAGTAATATTTTATTATATATTCTCAGTGTGGTTTTCATTTACTTTCTAATGACTGAAGATGTTGAGCATCTTTCCAATGTGTTTACTGGCACATGAGCTTTTCTCATGTGTCTTCTTTGGAGAAATTTCCTTTTTAGGAGAAATTTCAATTTAATTTCTTTACCAGTTTGTTAATTTTTGTGTTATAAGAAAAATTCTTATATATTCTGGATATTACTCTTAGTAGACATATGATTTACAAATATTCCTCCCATTCTATAAAAAGGGTTTTGTTTTTTTTTTTGGTATGGGGATTGAATTTGCAACCTTGCACTTGCCAGGCGGGTGCTTATGCTGCTGAGCTAAATTCCTAGCCCCTAAAAAGGTCTTTAAAGTGCAAAAAATTTAATTTTTTTTTAAAGACAGGGTCTTACTCTGTAATTCAAGCTGCAGTGGAACTCACTGGATACCCCCAGGCTAGTCTGAAATTCATGGCAATTCTTTTGTCTCAGCCTCTTGAGTCTGGGATTACAAGCATGACCACCATACTAGGCAAAAGTTTTTAATTTTGATTAAGTCTAATTTAGCTAAGCTTTTTTCTTTTTTGCTTGTGCTTCTAGTGTCATATTTAAAAACCATTGTTTAGTCTAAGGTAATAAAGGTTTATGGGTGTGTTCTCTTCTGAGACTTTCGTACTTTAAGATTTAAATCGTTGCCCCAGTTTCAGTTATTTTTTTCATGTGTTGTGAAGAAGTCCAACTTTATTTATTTATCTGTTTTTTTTTTTTTTTTGTCTTTTTCCTTTTTATCGGTACCAGGGATCGAACTCACAACTGCCTGCTTTCAAGGCAAGCGCTTATGCCGCTGAGCTAAACCCCCAGCCCCTATCTGTTTATTTTTTGAGATACTGTCTTGCCCAGTAGCTCAGGCTGGCCTAGAATATGTGGTATTTCTCCTGCTCCAGCTCTTTTTTTTTTTTTTTTTTTTTTTTTTTTGTCTTTTTCCTTTTTATCGGTACCGGGGATCGAACTCACGACTGCCTGCTTGCAAGGCAGGCACTTGTGCCGCTGAGCTAAATCCCCAGCCCCCGTCCTGCTCCAGCTCTTAAGTGCTGAGATTATAGGGTTGTGCCAGCATGTCTTACTGTTCTTTCTTTTCAAGATTTTTTTTTTTTTTTTTTTTAGCTCTTCTGGGTCTTTTATGGTTCCAGGCGAATTTAAGGTCATTTTATCAATTTATACCAAAAAATGCTGAAATATTTACAGCTTGTGTTGACTCTGTAGATTAATTTGAGAATATTGTAATCTTAAGTATTAAAAACAAGCAGAAAAACAATATTGTCTTGCAATTCATGAACATGGTATGTCTTTCCATTTCTTTAAGATCTTCTAGTTCTTTCGACAAGTTTGTACTTTTTCTTGTACTTTTTGTTAAATTTGTTCCTGAATATTTTATTATTTTTGATGTTACTGCAAATGGAATTATTTCCTTAATTTCAATTTTGATTGTTCATTTAATAAATAGAAATAAGATTTTTGTATGCCAATTTTATATCCTGCAACTGTGTGAACTTATTATCTTCAATTATGCGTGTGTGTTCCTTAGGATTTTCTGTCCACAAGTTTTGCCGTCTACAAGTATATGTAGTTTTAGTTCTTTTCAACTTGAATGCTTTTTCTTTTTTCCTGCTCTGACTAGAACCTCAAGTTTTTTTTTTTTGGTCTTTTTCGTTTTCGTTTTTATCGGTACCAGGGATCGAACTCACGACTGCCTGCTTGCAAGGCAGGTGCTTATGCCGCTGAGCTAAGTCCCCAGCCACCCCCCCTTCTTTTTTTTGTCTGAAAGCTTTCAGTTCTATGCTGTGAGTTTTTCACAGACATTATTTGTCAGGTTGAAGAAGTTTCCTTTTGTTACTTGTTTTTGAAATTTTTTTATCATAAGGTATTGGATTTTGTCAAATGCTTTTTTGGTATTTATTGAGGTAAGTTACACAATTTTTGTTTTCTGTATTAATGTGGTATGTTAAATGGATTACTATCAAAATCCCTATGGAGGGCTCAGGCCTCCCACCTGGTTGTATGGCACATGGATGCAAAATAAAGACAAAGAATATGGGTCAGGGATTTAGCTCAGTGGCATAAGTGCCTGCTTTGCAAGTGCACAATCGTGAGTTCAATCCCTGGTATCAAAAAACAAAGACAAGGAATAGTCTATAGTTGAAGAGCTTTGGCATTACCAGTATTCTGTGTAGAACAAAAGGCCATGAGTCCCATAGCTTAGAGCTTTTACTAGTATTAATCAGGGAGGTGGGTAGGGGTGTGGCACAGTGCTTAGGGAAAAGAAACTTCTCAGGCATTGGCTATAAGGAGAAACAGAACAATTTTGTACCGGACACAAAGGCTATCCAATTTGCAGTATAGTGGATAATTTGATGTATGCAAGGCTGGCACTTTTACTGCCAGGAAGGTGTAATTTTTTCTGAGTCCCATGACCTAAAGTGAGATGTTATCTTATGTCTTAGCCTTTTAGCCAATTAAGGAAACATCTAGTTCAGTATAGTCAGCTCTGCATATCTCAGTGAATAGGGTTGAAGTAAAGGTCAGGGAAGAGTCCTTTCACTTCTCAGAAGAGTGCAGCTGGCAGGCTCCCACAAATTACTTTTTATATGTTGAGCCAACCTTGCATTACTGGCATAAATATCCGTATATACCATATATTGTATAAACCTCTTATATGTCGCCAGATTTGGTTTGCTAGTAATTTGTTGGAGATTTTTGTTTCTGTATTCATAAAGGATAGTGGTGTTTTCTGGTGATATCTTTGGTGTAAGGCTAATGCTGGAGTAATAGGGTTGTGAAATAGAATTAGTTTTCTGAAATTTTCCTTGAAATAGAATGAGTTAGGAAGTATTCCCCTTCTGTTTTTTAGAAAAGTTTGTGAAGGATTGCTGGAAGACTTTCTTTAAACCTTTCATAGAATTCACCTATGAAGCAGTTTAAGCCACTTGGTCCTAGCTTCACTTTGTAGCAAGTTTTTTGTTTGTTTGCTTGTTTTTTGTCTTTTTCGTTTTTTATTGGTACCAGGGATCGAACTCACGACTGCCTGCTTGCAAGGCGCTTATGCCGCTGAGCTAGATCCCCAGCCCCGTTTGTTTGTTTTTTGAGACAAAGTTTTACTATGCAGTTCAGTCTAGCCTTGAACTCACTTTGTAGCTCAGGCTGACTTCAGACTTTCTTTCTGTTTTTCCTAAACTTCATTTGCTGCTTTGTTTTGTTTTGGTACAGGGTCTTGTTGCATAGTTCAGGCTGGCCTTGAACTCACTATGTAGTGTGGGGCTGCCCTTGAACTCACGGGGAACTTACAGAGATCCTCCTGCCTCAGCCTCAATTCTGGAATTGCTGGGCGTGGTGGTGCCACCTAAAATCCCAGAACTCAAGAGACTGAGGCAGGAGGGTCATTGGGAGTTCGAGAACAGCCTGAACTGTCTCAGGGGCTGGGGGTTTAGCTCAGCGGCATAAGCGCCTGCCTTGCAAGCAGGCAGTTGTGAGTTCGATCCCTGGTACCGATAAAAAGGAAAAAGACAAAAAAAAGAAAAAGAAAAAAAAGACTCTGTCTCAAAAAAACAAAAAAGAGGAGTGCTGGGATTGCATGCCTGGCTCTGCTCTTTTTCCAGTATTCAAAAATAGAATTCTAGATCACTCATTTGAAGGAAATGTCTTACGTGTTTATTTACATGCTTACTTATTTGTGGCCCTAGGAATTGAACCCAGGGCCTTCACATAGAGCTACTCCACCAGCCCTATTGAAAATTTTCTTTTTTTGGGGGGGGGGGGTAACGGGGGATCAAATTCATGACCCTGCACTTACAAGGCAGGTGCTTATGCCACTGAGCTAAATCCCTGGTCCTGTTTAAAATCTGTATTTTGAGATAGTCTTGCTGAGTTGCTAAACTGCCCAAACTCGGCTCATACTCACAATCCTCCTGCCTCAGCCTTCCAGAGAGCTAGGATCACTATGCCTGGCTGTGACTGTGTTTTTAGATTTAAACTACTTTTGGTGTTCCTTAAAATGTTGTCAGGGAAAAAAAGTACTTAAGGAGTAATGTGGTTGTGAAATAGAATTAGCTTTCTGAAATTTTCCTTGAAAAAACACCCCACTTTCCTCATTTAAGTGGATATTAAAAATTGAACATGAATCAGGTATGTTATGCTATCAATTTAAAAACAGAGTCAGGTACACAAAATGTGAAGAAATTTCCATCCTCAATATGGATCAAACTTTACATTGTAATTTAAAGATTTATTTAACTGTTATAACCTCCTGCTCAAAACTGCACAGTCATTCTGACAGCTGTTTACCATAAATGGTAACTCTGAGAATGACAGCCAACTGCTTTAGGTTAATTTGAAGCCTAAGAAGGCAGTTGTTATACACAGTGGGATTTGGGGTTTTCCTGGAAATGTATTCTCAGGATTCTTCCTTTATGTTTTCTCCTCTGGCACTTAGCATATGCTGTAGCATATGCTGTAGCACTTAGTACATGCTGTAGGTATCACCTATTTTTCTTCATTCCTCATTCCTCCATCCCTTACACTTTTATTTGACTAGAGTATCTTTTGTTCATTATGCAAACATGTCCTTGCTTTGAACATAACTGGTGTGATGGATGCTGCAATTACCCATCAAACTTTTTTTGTGTTTTTGCTATGCATAACGTTTTCTTTGGCAAGCTCCAGCATCTTCCCACATTGACTAGGTCACTGCTGTGGCATTTGGACATGCAATCATGTTAACTCCCATTTTCTTTTGTAATTCAACCCCTCCTATTAGATTACTTTAGTAATCAGTGAACTTTATAATATCCTAATTACATATTTATGCAAAAATAAAAGCATCTCTGCAGCATTGCTACCTTCCTAAAAGTTCAGTCTTGCCCACAGCTTAATGATTTAAAGGAAAGAAGACAGAAAACAAAAAACAAACCAAAAAAAAAAAAAGAAAGAAAAGAAAAGAAAAAACCAAACCCAGAGTCATTACAATTTGTTGGCCTTAAGCTTATTCAACTTTAAAGACACTGTGGTTATTCTGACAAAAGAAAATAAAGTCAAGTGAAAACCTAAGAGTTGTGTAGTCCCTGGAAGCGCAGTGTGGAGAGGCGGGCCCAGCTGCTTTCCTTCTCCACAGGCTGACAGATAGTGGGCTCTGGAAATAGTGTAAACACCGAGGGCTAGATAGTTCTCTACAGTAAAAACAATGGATGAATTGCCCAGGAAATTGTGAAATGCTCTCTCAAATGATCTTTAAAGATACAATGGCCACTAATTCATCTGGATTTGTTTAGGTGTGGTCCCGGTTAAAGACAAAGGGAAAGATCTGATACTTTCACGCTTTTTCCATGGACCGTACTCAGTAAATTCTTAAGGGAAAATGATACAACTCAGTATCCTAAAAACAATCAGCCTTAGGGGGTCATTTTAAAAGCATCTGTTTTGGACTCAAGTCTTTAGGACTTAACCAAATTGACTACACGGTGAACAATTCATTCTAGTGCCTGCGTTTTATAAAGAAAGAAATGGATTCAAGCGGCCAACACTTGAGGTTAGGGTCAGCAATGAGCTCTTCCTTGCTGTCTTTCTGTTTTGACTTTTCTGGACAATATCAAATTAGTTTCAGTGGCTTGATTCTAGGCCAAGATTCTGGCAACAGATTATAGTCTCACTTTGTTTTGTATAATCTCATTGGCTCTCTGTCTCTCTCTTTTTTCCCCTTAGGCTGAGGGTAAAAAGCTGGGATTGGTAGGCTGGGTCCAGAACACTGACCGGGGCACAGTGCAAGGACAATTGCAAGGACCCAAATCCAAGGTGCGTCATATGCAGGAATGGCTTGAGACAAAAGGAAGTCCCAAATCACACATTGAAAGAGCAAACTTCAACAATGAAAAAGCCATCTTAAAGTTAGATTACTCGGATTTTCAAATTGTGAAATAATGGCCTGAATTTAAATTTCCCAAGATACATTCATTAGTTTTGGTTTTTATTGTTAATAAACAGCACTATTCTGTGTTCGATACAAGAATATGTCAGTAAGTTATTTTAATATCAAATATTTGACTGTTATTGTATATTACATGTACAGTGGAAGAATTACAGTTGTATGCAGTTCTAATTAATAAAAACACATTACAACCTTCTGCTTATTGTACTTTTTAAATGGTCAGTGAGCTTGCTTTTGGGCAAAAGGAAGTATTTATTCAGTAAACATTTACGGAAGAAAGATTTTGAGGTAATTTAAAGAGGTGTGATCTAAAAGAAAAAGCATTTATTTCATTTATTTATTTTACTAGGGAATTTGTATGCATGGCCTTTGCATTGGGGTATCCCCAACCTCCCTACCTCTGTCCTTTTGAGACAGGGTGTCACTATGTAGTTCACATAGGCCTTGAATTTGCAGTGATCCTCCTGCCTTGGCCTTCCAAGTGCTGAGATTATAGACCTTTGCCACCATGCTTGTCCCTTGGCCTTTTTTAAAAATTTTTTTGAGACAGTTTTGCTAAATCCTTAAATTGCCCTGCCTGGGCTTGAATTTACAATCCTGTCTCAGCTTCCTAGATTGCTGGGATCACATGCACATTCATTTCTTTTTCTTTCTTTCTTTTTTTTGGTACCAGGGATCAAACTCATAACCTTGCACTTGCCAGGCAGGCACTTAAGCCACTGAACTAAATTCCCGGCTTCCTCCCCACCCCCATTCTTGCCTCTTTTTTTTTTTTTTTAAAGACTAGGAAAATTTATTGGAGAAAAGGAATGGGGAATAGGATAGCTCTGAGAGATGGGAGGGTCCCAAATGAGTTGCTAAATCATTTCTTTTTAGATGGCTCCCAATTTATGCTGTCATTCATCTTCTCTAGGAAGTAAACTCACATCAAGTAGTGTAATGGGCTGAATTGTGATACCTCCCCCCATTCATATGGTGAAGTCCTCTGCCCCAGCCCCACCCCTGAAAGTATTATTGGAAAATAAGACCTTTAAAGAAATAGGATTAAATGAGCTAGGCGTGGTGCACATGCCTCTAATAACAGCTAATCTGGAGGCTGAAACAGGATGCACAAAAGTTTGAGTTCTGGGGGAATTTTGTGATTTTTTTTTTTTTTTCATTAAAAAAAAAATAGAGTGCTTGCCTAGTGTATGGAAATCTCTGGATTAGTTTCATCCCCAGTACCACACACACATACACAAACATTAAATGAAGGGCCAGGGATTTAGCTCAAGTTGTGTAAGTGCCTGCCTGACAAGCACAAGGTTGTGAGTTCGATCCCCAGTATCAAAAAAAAAAGATTAAATGAAACTGTTGGAGTGGACCTAATTTAATGCGACTAGTGTCCTTATACAAAGGAAGAGTTTGGACAGGGATATATGTGTGTGCATAGACAAAGAACCATGTGAAGACAGCCATCTACTAACCAAGGAGAGAGTTCTCATGAGAAATGATCCCTGCTGACACCTTGATCCCAGACTTCTTGTCTCCAAAATGGAGAGGAAATACGCTGCTGCTGTTTGAGCCACCCATCCTGTGGTATTTTGTCATGGAGCCCTAGCAAACTAATATATGCAGTAATCAAAACTTTGCTTCATCATCCCTAGAAGTCTGATTTGATTTGGTTAGTGATTAAACAAATATAATTCAAACACTGGGTTTACAAGATTTTGTCATAAGTTCCAATTTTTTTTTTTTTTTTTACATTAGGTTTCAATGAAATTGAGACAGCAGACACTGAGGACTGGTTAACAATTTCCAAAACATTTACCCTCCCACTGTTCTTAGTGTTCTGCTTTCCTTAAGTCAGGAAAAGCTGTGGTGTTATTGGGATTATACCCAAAAAGCTAGTGAATCCTGGTGTCCTGATTTGTAACATAAAGGAGCTGACCTAGTTTAAATCTCTTAAAACCATTAATTTTCAAGATGGAAAGCTAAAAAAAAAAAAGATGGAAAGCTCTAGATTTATTTACTGAGTGCCCAGCATATGCCAGGCACTGGACTTGACTGTGTGCATGCAGCAATAAAGAAAACATAAAATCCCTTTTTTCATTTTTTTCTCCCATTTCCCCATCCTTCCTTCAGCTCCTACTAGCTTACATTCTAGTGAAACATAAGCAAATAAAAGTACTTTTTCTTTTTTTGGCTTGTTTTATATAAAAGTACTGAATTAAATAGTTGCACATACAAAAGAAAAAAAATGAGAAAAAAAGGAAAACCACACAAATAAAAACTGCTAGAAACAGCCTTGGAGACTGGGTGTGGTGGCAGACGCCTGTAATTCTAGCACTCTGGGAGGCTGAGGCAGAAGGATGGAAATTTTGAGCCCAGCCTGGACCATTTAGGGATTTAGTAAGATCCTGTCTCAAAAAATAAGATTTAAAAAAAGGTCTGGGGATTTAGCTCAGAGTGAAGGCCATGTTTCAGTGAGTACTGCAAAAGAAAAAAGGGGAAAGAGGAAGGGGTAAAAGAGAGGGAGGACGAGGAAGAGGGAGCCCAAGTCAAAACAGAATTAAGAAGTGAAAACTGGAGATACCAGCTTGAAAGGACGCCGGAAAGTAAGAGTCGCCGGACTGGTAACACCTGGTGCGCACGCGCACTGGGGTATCGCGGAGGCAGCCCGCCGGGGCGAGTGCCCGGAGAGGCGCATGCTTGTGGGCCTGCGCGTGCACGAGCCTAGGTGCGCGTACGATGTCCGAGGAGGTTGATATCGGAGAGTCGATGAATCGAGATTCGAGGTGACTTGGGGGGAAGCTCGTGACAAACGGATAATCCTGGGAGTTCTTCTAACACGAGAAAGGGCCTGGCCACCGGTGCAGGCCCGCTTTTCGGAGCCTGATGCCCAAGGTCCCCCCTCCCCGCACGAGCGCGGCCTAGGGTCAGCGCGGGCCCGGCGGGGCGGAGCCCAGGAGCTCGGGGCCGTTAAAACCCAGGACCGGGGCTTTATATAAACCCGCGAGTCCGATTGTACGGGAGCGTGGCATTGAAAGAACTAGGATGCAGGGGGGAAAAATGAAAAAACCACTAGGCTGGAACAGGGACTCTTTGCTTTGGGTTTAAAGAGAGAACTAATGAAACGTTCACCTTAACTGTCGACTAATAACTCAGTATTTTTATAAGCCCTGATTTTCCCAGATTGGAAAACCAGTCCTATACGCCCCCGGGGGTGCAGCCACGCTGCTGTCTCACTTAATGACAAAATAGGGGCCTATAAAGGCCCTAAAAATATTTATTTGTACCAGCAGGAAAACTTACTAAGTTCAGAGAACCCATACCATCCTTATTGCCAAGTTAGTTTGTGCCCATGTGTAAAGACCAAGGATATTAATACAGAAAAGGATTAATAAGGATCTTCTAAAGACTTTTTAAATGTGGTGCTGGGGATCAGACTCAAAAACTCACACATGCAGTAAGCATGCACTCCACCACTGAGCTACACTCCTAGCCCCTCCAAGTCTTGTATTCTGTTGACCCTGGGGATTGAGCCCAGGGCCTTTCCACAGTGTCACATTCAACCCTTTTTATTTATTTTTTGAGACAGTCTAAATTGTACTGGCTGGCCTTAAAAAAAGCTTTCAATCCTCTGAAGCCTCAGCTTCCTGAATAATTGGGCTTGCCTGTGGCCTACAGTGCCTGGCTCCAAAAGTTATTTTGTTTTTAAATCAAAATAATATATAAACAAGGTATAAAAGTCAAATGGTAAAGAAAATTTATATGCAAACAAATTTTCTTACCCTTCCCATTCCCAGCCTCTTTCCCCTGAAGCAACTACAGTTAACCAATGGTATAATCTGTCTCTGTCTCTCTTTTTGGTATTGCGAATCAAACTCAAGAGCTTGTGCTTGCTAGTCAGGTGCTGTGCTGCTGAGCTATACCTCCAGCCCCATATAATCTCTTAATCCCTATCACTGCTTCATAGAAGAATTTGTCTTTTTTCTTTCTTCATATTGCTTCCATCTTCCTATTTTATAGTGTGCTAGCACTTCATTATAAGTTTTTCTAAAAGTCATGGTTATTGTGTAATGTATAAATGTTATGAAACTAGCTTGGGCTTTTTTTCATGAATAATTTCTAGCTAATGTTTCTTAGCTGAATTTAATTTAGGCATCTGTTTTTGGTAAAGTGGTTAGAGTTTCACATACTGTCTTTGTGGGTCAATGTCAAGTGTAATTATGATTTCACTACAGGGCATGAGGAGTTTAGAAAGGAGCAGTGAAAATTATGAAATTATGAGTGCTGCTTTGTACGTTAAATTTGTTATATCAAGTATGAGTTGTGTGATCTGCTTAGAAATTAGAAGTATAATTTGGTTTTATGTTGTTTGGTTCATAAATTGGCTTAATAAAAGGTTTTATTTAGCTCAAATAGTATTTCTTCATAGTAGTGAGAGAAAAGGTAATGCTGTGTGACTTTTTCTTCCCATAGGCCATTATTTCCAGAGAAGGAAACCAGTTGCTGGCATTCTCACCACCTTTCTACCTGCCATGATCAAGTGCTTGTCAGTGGAAGTAAAAGCCAAATTGCGTTCTGGTTTGGCCATAAACTCCTTGGGCCAGTGTGTTGAGGAACTTGCCCTCAACAGTATTGATGCTGAAGCAAAATGTGTGGCCATCAGGGTGAACATGGAAACTTTCCAAGTCCAAGTGGTAGACAATGGATTTGGGATGGGGAGTGATGATATAGACAAGGTGGGAAATCGCTACTTCACGAGTAAGTGCCACTCAGTACAGGACTTGGAGAGCCCAAGGTTTTATGGTTTCCGAGGGGAGGCCTTGGCAAGTATAGCTGACATGGCCAGCGCTGTGGAAATTTCATCCAAGACAAACGGGACAATGAAAACATTTGTGAAACTGTTTCAGAATGGAAAAGCCCTGAAAGCATGTGAAGCTGACTTGACTAGACCAAGTGCAGGGACAACAGTAACAGTATGTAACCTATTTTACCAGTTACCTGTACGGAGAAAATGCCTGGACCCTAGACTGGAGTTTGAGAAGGTTAGGCAGAGGGTAGAGGCTCTCTCACTCATGCACCCTTCCATTTCTTTCTCTCTGAGAAACGACGGTTCTGGTTCTATGGTTCTTCAGCTCCCAAAGACCAAAGACATATGTTCCCGATTTTGTCAAATTTATGGATTGGGCAAGTCCCAAAAGTTAAAAGAAATACATTTTAAATACAAGGAGTTTGAGCTTAGTGGATATATCAGCTCTGAAGCACACTATAATAAGAATATGCAGTTTTTGTTTGTGAACAGAAGACTAGTTTTAAGGACAAAGTTGCATAAACTCATCGACTTTTTATTAAGAAAAGAAAGTATTATATGCAAGCCAAAGATTGGCTGTGCCAGTAGGCAAATGAATTCAAGTTCTCGGCATCGATCTACACCAGAACTCCATGGGATATATGTAGTCAACGTGCAGTGCCAGTTTTGTGAGTACGATGTGTGCCTGGAGCCAGCAAAAACTCTGATTGAGTTTCAGAACTGGGATACTCTCCTAATTTGTGTTCAGGAAGGAGTGAAAATGTTTTTAAAGCAAGAGAAATTATTTGTGGAATTATCAGGCGAAGACATTAAGGAATTTGCTGAAGATAATGATTTTAGTTTATTTGGAAGTACTCTTCAGAAGCGTCTGTCCTCAGGTGAGAAGCCTGACCAAGACAGTTTCCAGGAAGCATGCAGTAATATTTTAGATTCCTATGAAATGTTTAATTTGCAATCAAAAGCTGTGAAAAGAAAAGCTACTATAGAAACCATAAACACACAGAATTCTAGGGATTCACAAGCTATCAGAAAAGAGACAGATGACTCATCTTTGTCCACTTGTGAATCAGATGGCCTGGGCCACAGTAAAATGACAGAATTATCTTTATACAACACAGACAGCTCTTCCTTAGAATCAAGAATGTTAGAACAAGATACAGTTGAAACATCAGAATTAAGAGAAAACGAGAAACATAAAAAAGCTTGCTTGGAACGCAACTCTTTAGAAAGTCCATGTGGAAAGAGTTCAGAAATGTTTCTAAGCCTTTGTCAGACACAACATTACATCGAGGAGAGTGAATCAGATCTAGAAACACAGAAAGTAAGTACTACTGTTAGTGACATGACTCCCAATATCCTGAAAAATAACAAAACTCAAAATCAACTGGAGAGACTTAAAGATGCTACTCAAATGGAACGCCAACATCTGCCTTTTGGGCCAACATCATTGAGAGCTCATAGTGCACAGAGAGAGAAAGAGAAGAAAAAAACAGAGCCTAGTAGTTGTGGAAGGATAAATACTTTTAGTTACGGAGAAGTTAAGTTATGTTCCACTGGCTTTATAACTCACATTGTACAAAATGAGCCAATTAAATTAACTGCAGCAGAACACTCCTTTAAAAACTATGTCCGACCTGGTCCTGCAAATGCCCAAGAAATATTTGGAAACAGAATGGATCACTCAATTGAGACTCTAGACAGCAAAGATTTAACTAGCACTTTAAGTAAAAAATCTACTCACCTGCCTAACCAAAACTTTTGCAGAACAAACACAAGTTACGGGCTAGCAAACAGACAGACAAGTTACAAAAATTTTGCAGTTTTTCAGAAAAGTGCTGAAGAAGCACAAACAAGTTGTTTATTACCTGATATATCTTCTTCTTTGCCTTGGCATAGATCTGTCTCAAAAAATAGTAAGAAAACAGATAAATTGATTACTTCTTCCAAACCCATAGTCCGTAAAAAGCTATGCTTGAGTTCACAACTAGGATCTTTAGAGAGGTTTAAGAGACTATATGGGAAGGTTAAAAACCCTCTGGCCACAGAAATGGAGGAAAATAATAGTGAAGTCACTCTCTGTCTCAGTCCTCAAGTTGAACCTGACATTTCACTGACAGACAAGAACCCATTAGACAACTCTAATGTTTGTAAAATCACCACTGTGCAGCATAATGATTCAAGTAGCAGTTTTCAACCAGCAAGTCACATCCTGTACTCAGAAAAATTTCCCTTCAAAGAAGAGGATTGTTTGGAACAACAGATGCCTTGTTTGAGGGAAAGTCCTGAAACACTAACAGAGTTACTTCATGCTAACAGAAAACCTTTGGATGTTGAGAAGTCACCTGAGTCACTAGCCTCTAAATTATCCAGACTGAAGGGTTCTGAAAAAGGGCCTCAAATAGTGGAAATGATGAGTCATTTTAATGAATTTCCAAATTCAGATCCCAGTGGGAAAGACAGTGACTTATGCAGTAGGTTAACCCTAGATTCTTGTCAGTTAATTAAAAATGAGCATGAAAAAGTAGAGAGTGGCATCCCAGTGTCAGATTCTGCCATGCAGGATAATTCCTTCAGTAACGACAGTGAGACACATTTTAACAGCAATATAGAAGAAAACCTGGTGAGACCTGAAACTCCTCTGGCGTTACCTTATAACAATGTCACAGTAACTAAAGATGCAGATATTTTTATGAGAGCGTCAGAGCAATGGATAGAAAGTCCTGATTCTCCCTGTAGAATGTTAAGTCCAGCAGAAAGTACCACAGTTGACCAAAATAGAATTTGTTCTCCCAGTAAGGATTCTGAAACAGGAAGTTGTTCTGAAAAAGAAGAATCAAACACCTGTTCTTCCGACTGGCAGCAGCATTTTGATGTAGCCCTGGGAAGGATGGTTTATGTCAACAAAATGACCGGACTTAGCACTTTTGTGGCTCCTCCAAAGGATGTTCAGACTGCTTGTACTAAAGATCTGACAACTATGGCTGTGGATGTCATCCTTGGGAACGGTAAGTACGATGTCGTGTTCACTGGCGGGAAATGCTTTTGAAGATGGGAAGAATGTCCAAGGAGTAAGGTGATGTTATTCAAAGAGATGATCTCAGCAGACACACCACTTGGAGACTGATTATGAAACTTCTTTATAATGGTGAATGAAGTTTTTTTAGGTTCAGCACTAATTGAATGTAGAAATACGATGAAAGACTGATAAAAGATGTAAGTGTATATTTGTATGGGTATATATACAAGGGGTGATCAAAATACACGTTGAATGCTTAAATTTTAAAATTTAGCACAGTAAAAGATTAACATTGCCATCAATCCCTCCTTCACATACACTTATCCCATTGTTCTTGCCACTTTCTGAAGCAGTTCTGGAAATCCTCTTTTTTTTTTTTTTTTCCTGTTTTTGTTTTTTTTTTTTTTTGTCTTTTTCCTTTTCATCGGTACCAGGAATCGAACTCATGACTGCCTGCTTGCAAGGCAGGCACTTATGCCGCTGAGCTAAATCCCTACCCCCCGGAAATCCTCTTTTGTGAGTGTTTTTATTAGGTATGATTAAAATGGAGAATGCAAGGGCTGGGATTTAGCTCAGTGGCATAAGTGCCTGCCCTGCAAGTGCAAGGTTGAGAGTTCGATTCCCAGTACCACCAAAAAAAAAAAAAAAAGTTAATCCTCCCCAAAATGGAGAACGCTGCTGCCAAGTGCCATCCGATGGAAAGGCGGGCCTGTAAAAACTGTCCTTTTTCAGCAGATCTGGCATTGTGCAACTTCTGACATTTCCCTAAAGTCAAGATGATTATGAAAGGTAAATGTTTCAAATCAATTCAGGACATTAAGGCAACAGTACTCGCAAAACAGGACTTCCAGGGCTGCTTAGAAAGAGGCAAGAATGATGGGATAAATGTGCACAAAATGAGGAAGATTAATGGTAATGTCTTTTTTTTCCCCCTTTGGTACTGGTACTCGAACTCACAACTTCGTACTTGCCAGGCAGGCACTGTGCCACAGAGCCATATTCCTAGCCCTAATGGTAATGTCTTTCATTGTAATACATTTTAAAAACTTAAACATTAGCCGGGCGTGGTGGCTCATGCCTGTAATCCCAGCACTAGCGAGGCTGAGGCAGGAGGATTGTTGCAAGTTCGAGACCAGCCTGGGCTACAAAGTGAGCTCAAGGCCAGCCTGAACTGCATAGCGAGACCCTGTCTCAAAAAGACAAAAACAAAAAAACCTTAAACATTCATTGTATTTTTTTTTTCATTTTAGCAGTTTTTAATGAATTTGTTATGTATGACAGGACTTTATTCCTGCCTTTTCTCAGTTGTTTCTTCCTTATATTTGCACTTTTCCTTTCCTCCTTGAGGAGGTTTGGCTTTTCATTCAGGGATGGTTTTGCAGTCTCTGTCCAGTTTTAGCCTGGTGATAACCATCTTGCTGGGGCAAATGCCCACGTGGACAGTTTGCCTTTTCCTGCTGTTCCCATTCAGTGTAGATGACATATTTTTTCCTGTAAATCTAAACTACTTTGCCAGTGTGCTGACCTTTATGACCTTTCTAGTGTCCTCACACAACCTGAATCTCTTCATCCTTTCAGATGGGCATAGATTGAGCATTGGATTTCTGTCTCAGCTCTGTAGAAAGAGGGGAAGGCATAATCTTCCTGGAAATCTGGGGGGGGGCGGGGTGCACCGAAATGCTTCAATCCAAAGACACAAAAAGACTGAATGTTTTGACTGCTGTGGCTTCAGCAATAACCACGAAAGGGAAGAGGTCCATTTTCACTGCATTTTTAAAGACACCTGAGGAAGAGGGAAGGCAAAAGAGTCCTTTTAATGAGAAAGGTGCTATTTAAAACTGAGAAGATCCACAGTGCTCCCAGCCCCATTTCTCCCCCTTCCCAAATACACAACTCTCTTAGAAATTTGTCTTTAAAGTCAGTGCAACTTTCTTTCTGTAGCTCCTGTACTAAAGGCTAGAATGATCTGTAATCATCCTAGGTTTTCCAGTAAAATCCATGGCTTAATGCAGTTGTATTTTATGAACTTTTTCCAGAAAGAAGGACTTGACCATAAATTTTTCAAAATAAAGGCTAAGTACATACTTTCATAACTACACTTATCAAATGTACTTTATTATGGTGCGTAGGTAATCCACTTGATTGATTATGAAGGTGCTATTGAGGAGAACAGTGTTGTGGCTTTTAGATCCTAATCCAAAGCTACATCAGCACCTAGACTAGGACTCTAGGTCCCCAGGTCTCAGTCAGTGTTAAAAGTGACATTGTTTTGGCAATGTGTTGAGAGCCAGATATTGGGAGATAGTAAAGGTGATTCTCGTGTGGCTATATCTTGGCTTTGTACTAGGAAGATAAACATTAAATCTGCATCTATATTAAAAGTGTTGAATAATACAAAAGAATGTCAGTCATATGACTGTAATTTCAAATCAACATGGATTTCTTCTTAAAGTAAGTTTCTATACTGGGATGCTTTGACTTATTTAAAGTTAAATAAGACCTTTCAATGATTTTCACTTTTCTCCTTGTGAAAATGTAATTAGTGCTGTAACATTCTAAGTATTCAGCAAGAGGAGAAAACCCTTTCCAGTATTACTCTTGAGACTATCAAGTCACTCTTAAAACAACATTATGTGTTTTGCAATCTAGTTCGTTTTTTGTACTGATTTGTACTGAATGCTTCTCAAAGGTAAATCTATGGCACCAGTGCCTCATCTTATGAAATGCAGCTGCTTCTGATATGGTGCCAGAAATTAACTAGCTTACATTAAACTGAGATTGTTGTTGCTAAAACAAAGGGGGAAATTCTAGTTGCCCTACTCAACATAAACATCTGCTCTTCTTAAATAAATCTAGATGTTTAAAACACTTCGGTCCACTCCATGCTCTGGATTAGCGTATCTTGTAATGAATTCTGAGGTATGTTAACTCATATTTTCTCAGTGAAAAATACCTTTGGTATAGAAACAAATTCCATGAAAAAGTGACTCTTGGAGCTGGGGATATAACTCACTGGCACAGCACCTGCCTGGCAAGTGCAAGGTCCTGAGTTTAATTCCTAGTAGCAAAAAACAGAAAAACAAAGCAAGACAAGACAAGAAAAGAAAAAGTGACTCTTCATTAACCTCCATTCACATGAAATGGTGCTTTTCTGGAAGTGGCTTACATACAGTAAGACATTAGGGCATATTTGACCCATGCATAAAAATGTTATATGAGGGGCCGAGGATTCAGCTTAGTGGCATAAATCCCCGGTACCAAAAAAAAAAAAAAAAAAAAAAAAAAAAAGATTATATGAGATAAATTACTAGAGATACTTTTGTTGTACAGAGAGGGTAATTTTTTTTTCTCTTTTTATCAGTATCAGGGATCGAACTCACGACCGCCTGCTTGCAAGGCAAGTGCTTATGTCGCTGAGCTAAATCCCCAGCCCTGAGAGGGTAATTTTTAAAAAAGTAATTTTAAAGAAAAGTCAAGTCCAAAAACTGAAAATTTTGTCTTTTAGGAATATCTGTAACTCAGTCCTTCCTATTACCACTTATTCAACCTTATTTTACCTCACACCTTAACAAGTTTTTAATTTTTCTCTTCAGTTTTTGTCCATGCATCTATCATTTTGAAATAATAGCTTCACCACATTTTGTTCCTCTTCAAACCTGTCATAGTCAGCATTATTTCTAAAACTCAAACCTAATCATCCGTCAGAGATGTGGAGTTTTGAGCAGAGCTGTACCACACTTTGGAGTTTGAATTAAGAGGTTTTTGTTTTGTTTTGTTTTTTCTGGAGATAAAGTCTTACAGTGTAATTCAGGTTGGCCTTGAACTTACTGGGTAGCCCCAGGTGGCCTTGAGCTCTTGGCAGTCCTCCTGCTTCAGCTTTCCAAGTGCTGGAATTACAGATGTATGTCGCCATGCCTGGCTAAACTGAGAACTTTTCATTCATTCATTTTACGATGTATTCTTTCAGTGTTTGTGATTGTCACTCTCTGATGGATGTTGCCACATTGCAGATAAACTGACTTTGCTTTAAGCACTTTACAGTCTATTATAGGAGACAACTGTGTAAATAAAATCATGATATAAGATAAATGTTATTGTCTAGTGTATAAAACTGTAGTACAGTATATTGGGGATAAGAGAGATACATATAAATAGGGAATTTGTGAAGGTTATATCAAGTATTGTGTGACTCAAGACCGCTATATGTCTTGCACAGGGTTTCTCTAATTCTTACAGATTTTGTCCTAGGAATTGTAGGACATGTAATATTGTCCCTGTCCTTTATCTATTTAGATCCCATTAGCATCCTTCACCTAACTCTTGATAACAAAGAATGTCTCAAGAAATTGCCAAATGTTCCCCCATACCAAACTGCCCCCCACTGTATCACTGACCTAGTCTGGATCTTCATTCGATTGGAGTAAAGGGATAATGAGACTAAGCATTAATGCAGATTCATAATTTAGAAGATTAATTTCATTAAAGAAAGTCTGGTTCTTGATCTCCTGTATAATAGCTGTTTTATGTGTTCATTTGGTTTGTGGAGATTTTATGTAATTTAATTTTTAACCTTTTATTTGTATGTTGAGTTCAAATTTCTAGGTTTTTCTTTTTTATATATTTAGGGTCTCAGTACAGGTGTCATCCTTTTAGAAGTGACCTGGTTCTTCCTTTCCTTCCAAGAACTCGGGGAGAGAAGATTTTGATGAGACAGAATAACACAGGTGGGAGCAAGATCAGAGACTGCAGGAACACCTAGTACACACTGTACCACCTAATGCGAAAAACAGAGCACGTTGCGTTATTAAGCTTGATCAGTGCCAGCTGTGCTTCACTGGAGCCAGGAATTCCCCACGGCCCTATTTAACACCAGAACTAAGTAATTCAGTGCCTGCATTTAGATCAGAAACTACTTTTCCAGACTTGAGGTCAGTGCTGGTGACTGTGCATAGTCTGTGGTGTCTTATGAGTGGGAAATATGTCTTACTTCTAAAGATTAAAGTTCCACTCCATATTGCATTAGCTTGATTTAAGCCAAAATCTCTGAGAAAAGCTACATGAAATCTATTATTTTTTGTTTAAAAAATAGGTAAGGTAGAATAATAACAAACAGGTAAGTCATATTTTTACCTAATGGCAGTAAGTTTACTAATTTGAGCCATAGCTTCTTCCGGACCTGTATTCTGAATTATCTTTAGATAACAGTTTGGAGAAAAGCTGTAATGTCAGAAGGTACAGTCATCAACTCTAGTTGAAAAAATAACATCACAACTTAACAATACAGTACAGCAAAGCCTGAACATTTATAGGATATAAGAGCAATGAGTCTGGTCTTTGTTCTGTAGACCACGGCCAGCCAGAGAGGCCATTCCTTTTATTTCCTTGGGGCTCCTGATGCCTGCCTTACCTGTCCACTTTGTCCTAGATGCTGTGAATGAAGCTGTTGTTGGTAATGAATCACTTCAGTCTTTGTTTTCAGAGTGGGAAAATCCAGTATTTGCCCGCTACCCAGAGGTAGGTTTGCAGCAAATTTTCTTTGCCCGTTATTTTAAAATTTGAACCTCATTTAAGCCAGGTAGGGCCTGTTGTAATTGTGACTAAAATTAGGCATGTTTCCAAATAACTTATCTGGAAATTTATGTTTAATGTACACAGAAGGAATGAACATTTTAGGCATTTTGGATTGAATGTGTATGTTTAGTGTGTGAGAAGAGAATGCGTTTGCCCTGAGTCACAGCTTCAGTAAAATATTCAGAGTGATGATAAAAATGTTACCATTAGACAAAGTAGTGACTCTACTGGAGGAACAGTTCATTACTGGGCCTGGGTCATGTTCTCGCCTCAGTGTGGTATCACACAGTGTACTTTGTGTATAATGAGGCCATGCAATAGATGAGTGTTTGACTACAGAGTCTTCAGTTAAAATGTCTTTCCGGACTCAATCATGCAGCATAGGCTAGTTATTCTAAAGCAGTATTGGTTTTTCTCAGTAATTTTGTTTATAAACAGAAATCACTAGTTAAAACTGTTTTTAGAGCCTTTTGAATCTTTATGTTCCCCAAATTCAACCAGCCTTTACTAGGTTATATGAAAGAACATTTTTAAAGAACTCTGAGGTCTTTGATAAAACAGTTTGCAAATATAAATCTTAAAATTTAACTTATGTTTTGCTGGGTCTTTCTAGGTTGCTGTTGACGTAAGCAGTGGCCAGGCTGAGAGCTTAGCAGTTAAAATTCACAACATCTTGTATCCCTATCGTTTCACCAAAGAAATGATTCACTCAATGCAGGTAAAAATTGACTTTGCAATCTGTGAAACCAAAGCTAGACTAACTCTTGGAAATTGGATTTAATGATAAAGACTACATTGATCAAGGAATGTGTTTTTTTTTTTTTTTAACTTGCAGGAACTTTTATCATCAGAAGAAAAAGCAAACATTAAGTATAACTGCAAAGAAAGAAATTTTTTTTTTATATATTTTTTTTGTCTTTTTGCTTTTTTATCGGTACCAGGGATCGAACTCACGACTGCCTGCTTACAAGGCAGGCGCTTATGACGCTGAGCTAAATCCCCAGCCCCAGAAATTTTTTTTTTTAAATGTTTTTCTTTTTTTTAAGAATACTCAGTGTGAGCAGGTTTGAAGAGAATGAATTATGGATTCAGGCTTACAGTTTCAAGAATTGTGGATTTATCTCTGCAGAGGATTATGTTAACTTTGTATTTTATAATAACTTATAGGCCAAATGTAGAAGCACATCCCTCTAATCCCAGTATTTGGGAGGCTGAGGCAGGAGGATCACTGTGAGTTTGAGGCCAGCCTGGCTACATAATGAGTTCAAGGCCAGCCTAAGCTATATAGTGAGACTTGGTCTTAAAAAAAAAAGGCATTGTTGTCCTTAACTGTGCAACAGTGCCCTTTTAAATCTAATTCTCTTGTTTGGAGCTACAAGGTTTAGAAATCCCAGATTGACATGTTCCGTTACTACCCTGGGTGTTAATACCCTGAGTATTAACTGCAGGGTTTCAGGGAGCCTTATGTACTTAGGTGCTTTTTCCCATCACCTATATGGGAATTGACCACCGACATGCTACTAGTGCTCTCCCACTAAGCTGTGTTCCCAGCCCAACTCAAACATTTTTTCATCCTTACGGAGGGCTCCTTCAGGCTCAGTCACTTTATCTCAGTCTCAGACATGAACACTATAATGCAAACAACTGTTAAGTGCAATTTTCTATGCAGATAAGCATTTGCCAATTTTATTTAGTGTTATACCCCTTTTTGAATGTATGCAGGTTCTCCAGCAAGTGGATAACAAGTTTATTGCCTGTTTAATGAGCACTAAGACTGAAGAGAATAGCGAAGGAGGTAAGACTAGAGTTTAGCCAAATTAATGAGCTGATTCATCTTCTGATAACCTTCTTTTAAGGTTATTTTTGATAGATCGTGTAGTCTCAATGATTCAGATTAAGAAAAGTCAATCTAAGAATATTATGAAACAATTTTAAAATACATTTGGTTTTATGTACATATATATATATATATACATATACATACGATATACGTTGGCTGTGAAATTGGGAGTGGTCAAAGGTGAAATTTTATTGTTTATTCTTTGAATTGTGTTGTTGACCTGTTGATGTTTCATCCTTTTATTTTTGATTGATTGATTAGGATTTTGTTGTTTGTTTGCTTTTGTTTTTATTTTTTAAAGGCAGGGTCTCACTATGTAGTGGAGGCTGGCCTTGAACTCACTGTGTAGTCCAGGCTGGCCTTGAACTCATAGCAGTTCTCCAAGTGCTGGGGTTACAGGTATATGCCACCACACTGGGCATGTTTTATGTATTTATTTATTTTTCTAGTTAGGGTCTCACTGTATAGTGTAGGCTGGTCTCAAACTCACTATGAATGCTTGACTGCCTGGAATTCATGGTGATCCTCCTGTCTCAGGCTCCTGAGAACTGGGATTGTAGACATGTGTCACCAAACCTGACCTTTAATAATATTTTTTATGTTCTTTTTGTATAATAATAGAATGTTAAGATAATGAACTCTGGTAGGTCTGTCAAGAATTATTTAGAATTTTTTAGTGGCTTGCTTTAATCAAACAGAAATACTTGGTATATAATATTAACTCTTTCAACACTTTTTTTGTTTTTCTGTCTTTTGGAGGCCAGGTTTCACTATGCAGTTCAGGCTGGCCTTGAACTTACTTTGTACCTCAGGCTAACCTCAAATTCACAGAAATCTTGCCTCAGCCTCCCAAGTGCTGGGATTACAGGCATGCACCACCACTCCTGGCCAATCAACACTTATTGAGTGTCTATTTTTTGCTAGTTACTATACCACACCTTAGGAATACAATGATGGGAAAATATAGACATGCAGGAGAAGCAATTGTACAAACACATAAACTTTTAATTGTAGCTTTTATTAGGAAGAAGAATTAGAAGTCACTAGGAAAACCTATTTTGTCAGGGAGGCCAAAGAAGCATTCTTCGTAAAATGATATCAAAAGTGTAAGTACAAGTTAAGTAGGACAGAAAAGAGGAAATAACATATAGTTTGTGATTTTTCTCCCCTTTCATGAGCAAAAGCAGGGTAAGTACAACTGGAGATGAGGCTAGAGAAATAAGGAGAAACTAGATCTTCTGTGCGAGTTACAAGTCTGTTTTATTTTTGTGTTTGGAGACAGGATCTTGCTGTGTAATTCAGGCTTCCTTGAACTCAGTGTGTAGACAAGGCCTTGAACGTGCTGTGATCTTCCTGTCTCACCTTCCTGAGTGTTTTAGGGGTGTACCACTACACCTGCCAGTTACAAGCTTTGATTATCCTGATGCCAACTGGAAACAAGTGAAAGTTTTTTATTTTTTATTATTTGATTTTTGATGTTGTTTGGGGAGTGGTATGTGTCACATTGCATTTTGAAAAAATTGCTCTGATTGCAGTGGAGAGAATGGATTTCAAGTGGGGGCAGATTCCCAGTAATTTTAGAGACATGTTTGAAGGACACTGTAATATGGTACAGTACCTAGGAACTGGGGAATTTAGGAGAAACAAATACATTGGGAAAATGTTGAGAAGATAAAGTCAACAGGATTTGGTGACAGATCATATGTGGAGGAGGCATTTTGAAGATGACTCCTAGTTTTCTGGTCTCCATAACTGGACAGATGATGTAGCAGGCTAGAAACATGAAAATAATGAGTTTATCCTAATGTCTCTTTGAAATGCTCAAAAAGAAATGCCAGGAATGTGCTTGGATATTACATGTGAAGACCAGAAAAGTGATCTGGTGATAAAAATTTGAGTTGTCAGCACAGAGTTGGTTATTGAAATCCTGTTGTAAATTTTGTTTATCTTTTCAGTACAGAAGATTAAACCTAGGGGTCGCATTGTGTAGTTCAGGCTGGTCTTTAACTCACTTATGTAGCCCAGTCTGGGATCAGACTCATGGTGATCCTCATGCCTCAGCCTCCCAAATGCTGGGATTGCAGGTGTGTACCACCGCACTCAGCAATTTTTTTATTTTTTAATTTTGAAACAGTGTCTCCATAAGCCACTAAATTGCCTATGCTGGGTTCCAAATTGTGATCCTCTTGCCTCATCTTCCCACACTGCTGGAATTACAAATGTGTGCCACCATACCTGGCTTGAATCCAGTGTATTGGCGTTGAGCTACAACTCCCACCCATATTTTACTTGTTATTTTGAAACAGGGTGTCAATAAATTGCTACATTGTCTCGGGATCAAACTTGAGATTCTCCTGCTTCAGCACTTAAGAGTGCTGGGATTACAGGCAGGCACCATCATGTCCAGCTTCCTAGGTATAATTTTTATCACCTGAAGAAAAGTGAGGAGTGAGAAGAGATCCTGAATCTAGAGTAATTCTAACATTTAACAACAGTAGATAGAAAAGTATGAACTAGCAGAGGATATTGTAAAGAATAGCTACAGAAAGAAAGAGAAAACAGAAGATTATGTTGCAAAGCCAAGACTTCAGGCCAAATGCTGCTGAGGCAATAGGACGAAAATTGTTCAGTGATAGTGGAGATAAAACTTTGGCAGCTGCGAGCTGTTAAGAGAAGAGATGGTGCTAATGCAGACCCAAAGGCAAGGTGCATGCATCTGACATGGACGGGAGAGCCTGGAGGAGAAGGCGGGCCTGTGATGGGGATCTTGAGCAGTCTCCGCCTTTCTGTGGTTTTGCTTTCTGCAGTTTCAGTTACATGTAGTCAACCCAGTTGAGAAAATATTAAATGGAAAATTCTAGAAATAAGCAGTTCGGGCTGGGGATTTAGCTCAGCGGCATAAGCGCCAGCCTTGCAAGCAGACAGTCGTGAGTTCAATCCTCGGTACTGGTAAAAAAAGAAAAAAGAAATAAGCAGTTCATAAGTTTTACATTTTACACCATTTTGAGTAGCCTGATGAAATCTCACTCTGTTCTGCACTCTTCCGCTCTGCTCTGGATGTGAATTATCTCAGTGTCCAGTGTATCCATGTGTGTACACTATCTACCTGTTAGTCACTTTGTAGCTGTTTACAGTTATTGGATCAACTGTCACAGTATCCAGTGCTTGTTTTCAAGTAACACTTATTTTACTAACATTCAAGATGGCATAACCATAGAATATGCAGATGTTCAGAGAAGCAAAAAGGATTATTTAAATTTCTCTTGAGATTTTATATTATTATTGGATTAACTAAATGCCATCAAAGACTATTCTGAATAAAAGGTGAAAGATTTACATAGACTACAGCAATATTCTTAGGTAAACATACTTTTCTAAATTGAAATTCAGGAATTTTTATTGCCATTTGTAAGTCTCAAATGCAACCTATTCCTCACATTGACTTACTTTAATTTTGATGGACAAAATTATATATTATAATAGACAAATTATATATTATTCTTTTAAATTATGGTGAAAAACTACTGCCATATATTAGCATTTGTATGTCATGTTTTTGTCTATAATAAAATACAGTTTGTTCAGTTATCACACCCTAAAATATAAGAATTCAATCCTTTATTATATAAATATTTATTGAGTATCCACTAAGTGCCAGACAGTTTTTTTATGCGCAACTGGACAACAGACAAAAATCTCTGCCTTCACGAGGCTTCTATTCAGTTGTATTGGAATATTTTTTTAAAAAAAAAAGAATAAAATCAAAACAGAATAAAGCTAATCAGGACCGAACAATGAACGTCATACAGGACTTCAAAAAATAGGAAATCAACAATGGGTACCATAATGTCTCTTGCTTTTTTCAAAATAGCTGTCTATACCATCAGACATAATAAAATGAAAACAAAACAGAACAAAACCAATCAAAACAGAAGAATGTATGTGTTATAGAACTTCAAAACAAGATAATAGGAAACCAACAATGGCTACCATAATATATTCTGTTATCTTCAGAATTCCTGTCCATACCATCAGACACAATAAAATCAAACAGGACAACACAGAATAAAACCAAACCTGATGAAATGATGAAAACAATACAGGAATTCAAAATAAGGTAATAGGAAATTAGCAATGGTTTGCACCTTCCCTTTTTAGACATTTCCTTCCCTATCACTTTCATAATATCTTTTGTACACTGTGCATCCTAGTAACTCCTTTTTTTTTTTTGTCTTTTTTTCTTTATCGGTACTGGGGATCGAACTCATGACTGCCTGCTTGCAAGGCAGGCGCTTATGCCGCTGAGCTAAATCCCCAGCCCCTCTCCTTTAGTTTTTTATACTAATACGATGATCACCCATATAAGTTGGAACCATTTCACCTGTGAGCATTATCTCAGGTTGCATCCATTTATCTACAAGAGCCTTGAGATTATCCTTCTTTACAGCTTAGTAGCTTCCCATTGTATGGAAATACCATATCTTTTAAATCTATTCTATGGTTTTGATATATATATATATATTTTGGTTTTGGGTTTTTTTTTATTTCTTTCTTTCTTTTTGGTACTGGGAATCAAACTGAGGACCTTGCACTTGCTAGGCAGGCATATATGCCACTGAGCAGTTGATGGACAAGCCACCCCTGCTTTTTTCTAGTTTCTTGTCACATGGAACATTGTTTTCTCTTCTTTGACTTTCGGTCTATGCATTTTATTTTGAGTTAAATGTGTTTCTTACATATATCATATTGATGGAACTTGTTTCTTTTTTATCAGTACCAGGGATCGAACTCACGACTGCCTACTTGCAAGGCAGGCGCTTATGCCGCTGAGCTAAATCCCCAGCCCCCGGGACTTGTTTTTTGATCCACTCTCCTTGTGTTTCTTTTTATCAGTGAACTGAGGCCATCTACATTAATGGTTACAACCGGCATGCTTTGGCTCGTCTCTGCCATGCTGTCCTCCTGCTGTTTGCCCCCCAGCTTTTCCCCTTCATTGCCTGCCCTGTTTGGTGATCCCCTTTTGCTGCTGTTCCTAGAACCATGGTCATTCTTACCTCTCTAGAATATCTTGCAGCGCTCTTTATAGGGTCGGTTTGGTGGTAATGAATTCTTTCAGTTGTTCTTTATCATGGAAGTATCTTATTTTTCCATTAATTTAGAAAGATAGTTTTTCAGGGCACATCAATCTGAGTTGGAAGTGGTTTTCTTTCAGGATTTGAAACACTTCACTCCAAACTCTTCTTGAGTTGATGGTTTGTGTTGAGAAGTCTGCCATGATTCTGATGGGTTTTCCTTTATAGGTGATCTGTTTCTTTTCTCCAACAGCCTTTAATATTCTGTTTTTGTGCTGAATTTCTGGGATCTGATTATTATATGTCTGGGTGTAGATTTATTTCGGTTATGGGTAGTTGGAGTCCCATATGCCTCACTTACCTGTATGTCAGGTCTTTTTCCCATGCTTGGGAAGTTGTCTGCTGTCACTTCTGTAAATAGTCTCTTTATGTCATCTGTGTTGATGCCTACTTTTTCACTGACACTTAGCATTCTTAAATTTTTCTTTGCATCACCTTGCAGCTGTTGAATTGTTATTTCTTAATTCTTCGAGGTTTTTTGTTTGTTTGTCTGTTTTGTTTTGTTTTGGTACCAGCTACCAAACTCAGGACCTTGGGCTTGCCAGGCAGGCGCTAACACTGCTGAGCTAAATCTCTGGCCCTCCTTGTTATTTTTAAGGGATCTTTTCTTTCATGATCACTAGCTGCAATCTTGTTTTCAAGGTCTGAATGTTTATCTTCAGTCTCTTTCAAATGGGTTTTCAGCTTTCAATAGAGTTTCTAATTTCTTGGATAGTACTTTGGATCTGTTTCATACATTGTAATTCCTTCCTATATTGTTCATTCAAGGTTTCCATCATTTTCTTATGTGCATTTTTTTTTTAATGGTATCGGGATCGAACTCACGACCTTGCACTTGCCAGGCAGACACTTATGCCACTGAGCTAAATCCCTACCTGCTCCTCTTCTTTTTTTTTTTTTTTTTTTTAATCTTTGTCTTCTTTAGCTATGCTCAGCAGTTCTTTCATTGTGCTTGTGATTTCTTTGTTTTTTTTTTTTTTTTTTTTTTTTTTTGAATCAGGGATCGAACTCACGATCTCACACTTGCTCAGCAGGTGCTTTTGCCCCTGAGCTAAATCCCCAGCCCTGTGATTTCTTCTTTTACCTGAGATAGTATTTCTGATCTGATTACTCTTACAGCTTCATGAAGTTGTTTCTTTTTTTTTTTTTTTTTTTTTTACTCTTCTTTTTCTTTTTCCTTTTTATCGGTACCGGGGATCGAACTCACAACCGCCTGCTTGCAAGGCAGATGCTTATGCCGCTGAACTAAATCCCCAGCCCCATGAAGCTGTTTCTTGACTTCAGTTGCTCTCCTCTCAGAGATTTCAGATGTGTGACTTCCATTTTCTTCTATGACTGTACTTCCCAGACTTTTCTGTGTGGGCTGGAGGTCTGAGATTGCTCTGTGCTGCTTTGTCTTGACATTTTCTTGGGTCCCTCCCAACAAGCCGGTTACCAGGCACTTCCCACATTGTCTGCCCTGTTGCAGTGTGGTGGAATGGACCAAGCACCTGGGTTTCTCCAAATTCAGGGTCCCAGAGAGGCAGTGGGGCATGGGCAAGTCTCCCTGGACCTGTGCAGCTGTACTGAGGCTTCCCTGATTGCCTTGGCGGTGGGGCTTCTCTCAACCTGTGTGGCTACACAGGGATACCCCCCCACACACACACACCATGGTGGCAGGCACACAGGGGCACACCTGTGTGGTTTTCTATTCTGCATTAGCTATCCACAGGAAGCAAGCACCTCCAAAGGTCTGCAGACACACACAGCATATCTGGCTGTTTTTCCCTAGTTGGCTGCCTGCTGGAGGCAAGCCTCCTGATGGTGGTGGGCATGCAGGGGGGGGGGGTTTGTGTTGGAATATTAAAATTATAGCTTCTGTCATGAGTAAATTACATTCTGTGTTCTGTTTCATTCGAGGAATGAAAAATGTCATGAACATTGTAGAAAATGAAAAGATAAACCATTCTGTGAGTCAGGTGCAGACTTGATTTCAGAGGTCCTCTGATTTTTGGTAATTCACACTAGGTCAAGTTTCCAGTTTGAAGCAAGTCTCTCCCAGTTACGATTTATTCCATTGCTTTGCCCACACAAGATGTTCAATATTCATCACAACAACTGCAACTCCTTCTACTCTCAAAGGAATTTAAAATTCAACATTTTAGAAGCTGTTCTTGTTGTTGAACATGCTGTTAGAAAATTTGTTTTCTTTATTTTCCTTTAAGCCCTAAGCTTTCAGGCCACAATAAAATAAGCATTATTTATTTTGATCAAATTCAAGGAATAACTAGTTCAATATAATCAGTAGCAGTAAAGTCAACCTTTCAGCCAAAAGTAATAAAATTATAAGCCTAAAATGTGTACAACATCATACAGTCCTGTCCATGGGAAAGAGATCACCATTATAGGTGTGGCTATTTGGGTCCAGACATTGACTCCCGAGTTGTTCTTGAGAGTCCAAAACCCTACTGCAAGTGATACCTGCAGGTGGGATCACCCAGCAGTCTGTGAGAATTGCAGAGGTGGTGTGCCAGCATTACCCTCTGAAGTCAGGAGCTGTGTTTACATCAGAATCAGAGTGATTCACAGTCTGTGAACGAAGCCCAAGTCTGAGGCAGCATCTGTAGTTGTGGACAAACCTAGCCCCTGCCTGTTGTGTATAGTTAGGGAGATTATGGCCTTTATGTTCCTAAATAGTTAGAAAAACAAGAGAATGTTTCTCCATGTGGTAAAATTGTGTGAAATTCTTATTTCTATGAAAATAAAGTTTTATTGGAACACAGATGCAGTTTTCACATAGTGTCTGTCTGTGGCTGCTTTGGCTCAACATGAACACTTGAGTAGTCATGACAGGAAACATTTGGCTCAAAAAGCTTGAAATATTTTCTCTGCCCTTTCACAGAAAAAATTCCTGGTCTCTGATCTAAAGTGTACAAGAAGTGAATTCTTCAGGAGTTTCAGAATACCTTGCAAATCAACATCAGCCTATTATAACAATGTCTAACAATTCTTCATTGCCTTCAAGTTGAGTTAATAAATCAAAATCAGTATTTAAACATTAGAAATTTGAGACTTTAATCTTGTTTTATAAATGAAGCACCAATGAACTAGTTTTTTTTTATCAGATAAAAGTATTCTCCATTTTTACTTTTTAGGAAATAAAGATACAGTCATTGCTGCTCAAGTATTTTCTCTTATGGTTATGATGTTAAGTAGATTTAAGTAAGACTTTTTGATTCTGCACAACATGTTTATTTTAAGTTTGACCTGACAATTTGATACCTCAATAACTCTTGATCATCTTATAGGTGGAAACCTATTAATCTTGGTGGATCAGCATGCTGCCCATGAGCGCATTCGGTTAGAACAGTTGATTGCTGGTAAGGAACTACCTGTGACTGGAAGAGATTTGACACTCCGGCAGAAGTAGTGTTCCTCGCTGTACCTGTTAAGAGACAAGATGGATTTAAAAAGTCCTCTAGTTCAGCTTGCATTATAACTGACTGAATGTACTAGCTCATTTACCAATTGAAACAAGTGGGTTTTGTGTACATGGTCAAAGGCATGTTTGCTGCGTATTTATTGAATTGGGCTAACAGTGATAAAGTTGCCTTTCCATATGCCCATGTCATCTTGGTGTGCCTTCTCCACAGTTCATCAGCTCAGAAAGCCAAATAGATTATTATGTCAAAATCTAGTTTACCTTTAAAGAAATAGTATGATCAAATAGATCCAATTCTAGAAGTTATAAAAGAAAATATAATAAATCCTCCTTTATACCCCTGTCTAACATCCCATGTAGTTTCTTTTCCCACAGGCAACCAATACTAATAATTTTTGTGTATCTTCCCAAAGTCAATACATGCTGTTTAGTTTCTGTTATACATCTTTGTCATCATTAGGTAATGTGTTCATCAGGTGGTGAAATACTAGGAAAATCTTTTTTTTTTTTTTTTTTTTTGTCGGTACCAGGGTTTGAACTCAGGACTGTGCGCTTGCAAGGCAGGCACTTATGCCTGCTGAGCTAAATCCCCAGCCCCAAGGAAAATCTTTTAATTCCATGGTCAAGTATGAAAAACCTTAATGTCAAAGAGTTAGGTGAGGATCTAAGGAGATATTTCATGGGCTAGAATGACAATGATATTGCTACCATTTTCATTTTCCTTATAAAATCAAGGGCTAAGCATTGGGAAAGATAACAAAAACAGTGTAAGAAAGCTTACTTGCTATAGGCCCTGCACCCTTTGAGAATAGCACAGTAAACTGTCTTCAGAGTTGGAGAGCCCCTTCTGAAGGAGGAGCATTCCTGATCTTGTGAAGCCATAGGGTCATGTGATAAACTCACATTTCCCCAGTAATCCAAATTACGTTCCTCTGTTGTTAATCACAGGTATTTACTATAGGAACATTGCCTTATTTGAATATGAGTCTTGAACCTTATGTTTGTTACTTAAAATTCTGCTGAAATGAATACACTGGCTTGATATTTCCACTTTTGTTTTCAGTATTGAGAATCAAACTGAGGACCTTGCGCTTGCCAGGCAGACACTTGTGCCACTGAGCTATATCCCAGCCCTAGATTCACTTTAATAAAGGAAATCCAAAGTCTAGTACTAAACATTGAATACATTACTAAGCACCAGAATACTTGTATCATGGCCGTGCTTTACAATGGTTCATTGTTACTTGAATATAGAAGACTTTTCTTTTTATTCTTAACCTATTCATCTTTCTTTCAATAGACTCGTATGAGAAGCAACAACCCCAAGGCTGTGGTCGGAAAAAATTACTATCCTCCACTATAATTCCTCCACTAGAGATAACAGTGACCAAGGAACAAAGAAGACTCCTAGGGTCAGTACATGCTGGAGAGGTGATGCTGATAGTGTAAATTCTCACAATAGTCTGTGAGGTATAAGCACAACTGTTGTGCTGTTGTTCAGAAGAGGAGGAAACTGAGACAAGGAGAGGCTACTGGCGTGTTCAAGGTCATAACAGTTTTTAAATGGTGGAGCAGGCAGTTAGAGTCAGTTCTTTGAATTCAAATGCCGTTCTTTCCACTATATCACAGCTGTTGAGTGCAGGATAGGGTTTCCCTGATAATTTTTTCCAGCAGTTGGCTTAGAACACCCTTCCCATTTCTTGGAACAGTCAAATGTTTATGCTGTGCTGTTTCTGAAGGCAGTCCGTGCAGTAATTGCTTTCATTCTGCTTTGTCCTGGTTCACTCTAGAGTTTTCATTACAATAATCTTATTAGGAAGGAAGTAAAACTGGAACATGAAGGAGGTAGGGGTAGACTGTAGAGTGGATCACAAGACAGGACATTTCCCCACTTCTGGACAGTGCAAATTATGAAAATGAAAAAAATATATCAGTTTATTTCAGGTGTGGGAGTACTCTACTGCCAACACATCTTTTTTTCTGAGGCATAATTTATATGAAAGGCAGATTCATTTATTTACATCCCTGTTAATCAGGACTTCTCAGTTCCTGGGCCTGTTAATTACCTCCTTGCTTTAATGCTGATTCAAAACATTTCTCAGAACTTTTCTTTTTGCTAAACTCCTTCGAGTTCCAGCAGCAAGAAGTTAGCATTTCTTCAGTGAAAAGTAAGATTTAGGCACAAGATTTAGAAAGAAATTGATTCTCTTAAGGGAAAATTGGAGAAGAAAGAAAGAAGTTTGGTATATAATAGTGCACCCTTCTCTCCACAGAGACTGTGTCCTGGGACGCTCAAGTAGGTACCTGAAAATTAAGGTGCACTGAGCCTTCCACACCCCTTGATTTTTCTGTATGCTGTCAGCATTGCCATGTAGTGTCAGTCAGTCCTTTCATGTTTTATGCTCTCCTGCCTCTTTTGCATCACTGTTTTTGTGCTTTGGGACCATTATTAGGCAAAATAAGGGTTACATGAACACTAGCATACTATACTAAGCCATCTGATCTGATAGCTAAGTGACTAACAGGTATGCGGTGAGGACAGCTGGAGACACCGCACAAGGGGATGATTCAGCAGGACGGCATGAGATTTTATCATGCTCCTAAGTGTGGTGTGCAGTTTAAAATTTGTGGCTGGGGGCCAGAATGAGTGCTTAGCATGCACAGTCACCTAGGTCCCCAGTACCTAAACAAACTTCTGCTAATGAATTATTTATTTTTGGAATTTATTACCCATAGATCATGGTTGACTACAGATATTTGAAATCTTGGATAGTGAAGCCACGTATAGGGGGAACTAATGTAATTGAAAAAAGAAATTTGATAACAAAATCTCAAACACATGCATATAAATGTAAGAAAAGCAATACAGCTTTGAAAGTTTGTGCCAGATTTTGAGCTTCTATCAAGCATTTGGAACTAGTAGTGAAATGTAGGTGAAGTAATATTTTTACATTTGAGGTTATCTCCTCAGGTGTTACCACAAAAATCTGGAAGATCTGGGCCTTGAATTTACTTTTCCACATACTAGTGATTCTCTGGTCCTTGTGGGAAAAGTACCACTCTGTTTCGTAGAAAGAGAAGCCAATGAACTTCGAAGAGGAAGATCCACTGTTACCAAGAGTATTGTGGAGGTAAGTCGTAGCTTCTTGTGTCCGGAGATTGCTGAGTAGCAGTAAGCTCACATTTTGACTGGAGATTCTCTTCATTCATCTTTATTCAGCATTTATGTTATTTTCCTACAGTTTGTGAGTTTCTAGAAATCTGAAGATGAGTTAGCTCTAGCTGAGGAGGAAAGACATTCAGATATTTATAGCACAGTGAAATGTAACTAGTAGAGTCCTATTCAAAAAGTATTTTGGAAACAGAATGAATTGTGCCCAGGAAGGTCAAAGAACCTGCTACAGAAAGGCTGTTTTCTTAAGAAAAGTCATAGAAAGTTACTTTTTTTATCACTGAGATACAATGCCTAACACAAGTTAAAGGAGGAAAGGTTTATTTTGGCTCAGTTTGTAGAAGTTTCAGTCCACAGTCAGCTGGCTCCAAGGCAGAGGGGTATCATGGAGAAGAGAATTCTTAGAATGGCAGGCAAAAGGCAGCAAGCTGCAGCAGCTTCCCTTCCATCTTCCCCTTTCATCTCATCCAGGCTGCTAGCCATTTGGGTGCTGCCACCCATACCCACATGGGCTTTCCAGTTATCTGTACTCAGAACTGTGCCAGACCTATCAGTGGAGTAATTTAGTGCCACACACCCTTAATCTCAGCATCACATACCCTAGATCCAGCCACCTCCCAAAGCCAACCTGTGAGCTCATGAGCCTTTGAGGGGACATCCAGACACAAGCCATAACAGAAAGATAGGAATCTGCCCAACTGTAGAAGAGGGAAGAAAGGCATTCTAGACAGAGGAGCCCATACCAGAGACTTGAAACAGTGCTTATCCATGGAAGCTATCAACAGATATGGCGCCGGTTAAGATACATGTTGTAGCCAGTGTGATGCCAGCATTTTGGAGTCTGAAGGAGGACCACTGCAAGTTTCAGCCAGCCTAGGCAACTAAGCAATTTAGCAAGTCCTTGTCTCAAAGTAAAAAATTTTTTTTAAAAATTAAAAAGGGTGGGGCTGGGGATTTAGCTCAGCAGCATAAGCGTCTGCCTTGCAAGCAGGCAATTATGAGTTCGATCCCCAGTACTGATAAAAAGGAAAAAGACCAAAAAAAAAAAAAAAAAAAAAAATTTAAAAAGGGCTTGGATCTAGCTCAGTGCAGACGCCCTGAGTTCAATTTCTAGTACTATAAAAATAAGTGAGTTAAATAAAAATTTAGCTGGGCATGGTGGCATACACTTAGGAAGCTGAGGCAAGAGGATCATCAAGAGTTTAAGGCCAGTTTGATCTATATAAACAAGACTCTGACTCAAAAAAATAAATATTTAAAATCTTTTTAAAAATGGTTTAGGGGGGCCTGGGTTATAGCTCAGCAGCACAGCACCTGCCTGGCAAGCACAAGGTCATGAGTTTGATACCCAGTACCAAAAAAATAAAATAAAATAGAAAATAAAAAGGGTTAGGGGTGTAGCTTAGTAATAAACCATTTGTCTAGCATGCAGGAAGGCCTGGGTTCAATCCCCAATACTGGAAACAATTTTAAAAAGAGAATTTTAGTATGATTACTTACGTGTTTTGGCAGAGATTTGGAAAACTGCTGGGATGTGGCATTGAAGGTGTTAGTATCATTACTAAACTTTTACTCTACATTATTTTTCTTCTTCTTCTTTTTTGTTTTTTTGAGAGAGAGTCTTGCTATGTAGTTCAGGCTGGTGTTGAACTCTGTGCCCAAGGCTCGCTTTAAACTTGAGGCATTCTTCCTGCCTCAGCCTCCCAAGTGCTGGGATTGCAAGCATGTACAACCATATCTAGCTATTTCAGTTTTTAAAATATAATGTATTTTGTGTTTGTTGCCTTCTTCTAGTCTTCTTTTCTATTACACTTTTATTTCTCTTTTTATTTCCTCTACTTATTTAGAAATGGTATACTCCATTTGTGTTGTTTTAGGTAGTAGCCTTGAGTTATGTATGTTTGTGTGTATGTATGTATATATGTCTTTTTTTTTTTTCTTTTGTCTTTTTAAGACAGGGTCTCGCTATGCAGTTCAGGCTGGCCTTGAGCTCACTTTGTAGCACAGGCTGGTCTCGAACTCCCAACGATCTTCCTGCCTCAACCTCCCGAGTGCTGGGATTACAGGTGTGAGCCACCATGCCCGGCTTTTTTATATGTCTTTTTGAGACAGGGTCTCGCTATGCAGTTTAGGCTGGCCTCCAACTGCAGCAATCCTCCTACCTCAGCCCTCATGCTCAGTTTAGCCTTGAATTTTATCATGCATGCTTAGGAAAGTTTAGAGGCAAGTTGACTCTCTATTCTGTTTCTAAACTGTTCAAAAACCTTTACTTCGTATCACTCCCCATTAGTCTTCCATGTTGTTATTCAGTATTTAATTTCACCTTGGTTTTAGTGCCTCAGTAATCATTAATTTTAGAGTCAACGTTTAATTGATCAAAATAGTTACTGGAGTCTGTTCATTGTTGCCTCTTGTATCCTACTTATTCCTTCTGTGTTGTTTTCTTTTTACTGAAGTAAATTTTTTAAAGCTCTTTTTTACTAAGAGTCCATAAACAATAAACTGTCTTTGCCAAAATCTTATTCTGCCTTCACACTTCAATGACTATCAGTTAAAGCAGAATTCTAGGCTGGGTGGGGTGGTGCACACCTGTAATCCCAGCACAGGGGTCTGAGGCCAGCCAGGGTCACATGTGAATTCAAGGCCAGCCTGAACCACATAGGGAGATCCTGTGTCCAAAAAAAAGGTGAAAATTACCATTAAAAAGTAAACATTTAAAAAAAAATCTCCACATTGCTAGTTATCTCCGATCATTTTCAATGCAGTCCATTACTTTTGAGTTTCTATGTCTGCCACTGAAGTCCATTGCTGGTCTGTCACTACTCTGTAAGTAATCTAATTTCCTTTCTGGTTGCTTTTAAGATTGTTTTTGTCCTTAGTGTCCTGAGGTTCCATGGATTTATTATCATTTTCCTCATGGGGTTCACTGTGCTGCTCGGTTCAAAGGCGTCGTCGTCATCACTCAGCCTTGCTTCTTCCTCGTTCCCTCTTCTCCTGGAGTCCACCCCAAAAGCTGCCCACAGTACCTGGTGTTTCTATTCTCTGTGACTCTTATACCCTCTGTGGTACATTCCGGGAAATTTCCTTCCTTTCTGTTCCAGTAAACTGAAGTCTGGCTTCGTCTGCTTTTTATGTTTTTAGTTTTTAGTTTTATTGGTACATGTTTGCAGTACATAGTGATTACATTCATCATGGGGAGTTGGTGCATGTGCATAACACATCTTGATTCTTTTTATGTCCCCTTCCTTCTCATCTGCTTTTTAATGATATCTTTAACTTACACACTGAGTTTTTATTTCAATGAGTATATTTTTTATTTACCAAAGTTTTATTTGGTTCTTTTGTAAATCTGCCAGTTCTTTTTTCTTAATTTCTAATTCTTTCTGTCTGACTCTCTTATTTGGAGCACAAGCAAATGTGCATCAAGTCAGTGTACTGTTTGTCTAGAAATCTGAAATACTTTAGTAATATCCAAATGGAAAATTAACAGACAGACTGTAGCTAAGTCATGGGATAGAAAGATTTGAGACAAGGTGAGCTCTGCAGAGGCTTTTGCACTGGTTCAGCTGTGAGAAGCTGAGGATTTGATTGAGTCACTAGTGTTGGCAATGCGAGGAGGGTCATACTGGAAGTAGAATCAAGAAGACTTGCTGAGCTGCAGAATATAAAAGGAATAAAGAAAAAAAAAAAAAAAAAAAAGGAATAAAGGAGAAAGGGCCTATAACAGTGCTTCTGAGGGTTCCTGCTCATGAAATGATGGTGCTGTTTGCAGAGAAGAAAGATGGAGGAGGAGCGCTTCTAGCAAGGAGGTACATTACAATCTCATCGTAGACACAGAGAGTGTCCCTTCAGATGGCCATGTCCAGGGGCCAGGCAGTCCTGTGGACCTAGCACCTGGCAGAGAAATCTGAGCTGTGTGAGCCTATTCAACAGTTGGTAGCACTTACCATTTTATAAAGGCAGAAAGCTGGAGGAAGGAAGCTGGTCCTGGAGAAGGCAAAAGACTCCAGGCTGCAGCACCCCAGCACTCAAGGTGCATGTGTTTTGGCAAAAGTCTGGAAAGTAACTGCTGAAAGAAAGAAACTGTAAGGATGATGGAAAATATGTGAAGAAGGAGGAAATCCAGGAAAAGGGAATATTGCCAAGACTGCGGGCAGTTGTAAGCAAGAAGAGAACGGCCACCGCGGCCATAAAGCAAAGCCCGAACCGAGAAGCTGGGCTTGGCTTGCCTTGCGGGAGCATGTCCCGGGCACGGAGTCACCAGAAGTGGGCAGTGGGTCAGGAGTGCGCGGAGCCACACTGGCTGCTGCGTCCAACAGAAGGGTTGCGCACGATCCAGAGTGTGGGCAGGACAGAAAGGCTGAAGAAGGAACTTGGTTTGTTTTAAGCTGGAAAAGACTTGAGCGTGTTTGAGGCAAAGAACGAGAAGAAATGCAAGAGGGAGAGAACGCTGGCAATGCCAGCTTGTAGAGTACCTCCGTTTTATCCTTTCCAAACTCGCTCTTTGATCCGACAACCTTGCTTCACTATCGGCAGAGCTCTTTTCTCCCTACAGAGCTCATTTCTTCAAAGACTTGTGCTCCAAGTTGTCTTAACCCCCAAGATAGGATCTGTTAGAATCTTTTATTGTAATTTAATCCCTAAAAGTTTAACCAGAAAATTACAATAAAAACTTTTCCGAAGTTACTTCAAAGACTACCATTAAGGAGTTTACCTCAATTTGAAACAAAGCTTGCAGTTTCAGAAAATCTTGATCACATTAAGTTGGGCTGATCAAAAGAGATTTTGTTGATTTTGAAAGAACTTGGAACAGTTTGGTATTTTGAAGAGAAGGCTACTTGAATGCTAGCAGTGCAAAGATCATTAATACATAATTCTATGATGTTCTATACCACAGCCTAATGAATGGGCCCTTTTAACCTTGTTTAGTTTATATAGCATTACCTGAAGCCCTAAAATAAAAAGTGGACTGAGACTGAGACCTTTCGCTTCCTCTCACTAGGCTTACAAATTGATGTTTCACAGTTCCACAATAGCAAAGAAGTTAGGTTTGATTTCTGTCCACATTGTTTTATTAGTGGATTGGATATTCGTTCTGTTTAGGTTGATTTGGAAAAATATGTGGCTTTTGAAACAGATACAAAATAATATCTGGTACCCAGCTTTTAATAATTACACTCATTGACAGGCATGTAGAGTATATAGAAAGAAGGATTTTCCAAGATTTAAAAAGAAAATCACCCCCACTGGGCATTGTAGTACCTCCCCATAATCTCAGCAACCTGGGAGGCCGAGGCAGGAAGATTGCAAGTTCAAATCTGGGAAATTTAATGATTTAGCAAAACCCTTTCTCAAAATAAAAAATTATTTTGAGTGAAGTCTCTGGGTTTAGTTCCAAGTACTACAGCAGGAAAATGAAGGGAAGGAAGAAGGGAAAAGGGCAGGGAGAGGAGGGAAGAGGGGAAGGGAGGGAGGGGAGAAAGGAAATCAGTAAGAAAACACGGAGGGAGGTGGTGGGAGAAAATCACCCTGTTGTGACTTATAAAGAGTTAATTAAATGTGCTGGATCTCAAAATACACGTTGTACCTCCAGAGGTTAAATATTGATAGTACTAAATAGTACTGGCTTTAAATTTCTTTAAAGTTCTTTTGTCAGTAATATCTACTAGGATATAGCTATTGAAAAGGTCAACTCATGGACAGAGATAAAAGGGAGAAGAAACTTCCCAACAAAATGCTTCATAAATTAAGCTTTTTGACCTAAAAGGAGTTTGTCCCAAAAAAGCCCGTGGAAAGTAACTTTTCATTTAATGTTTATAATATTTAAGTGACTGCACAGTTGTGTTGATGATTTTTGTGTATTTATTCTCATCTTGTCTGTAATATTACCCTTGTTCTGGCTAAGACTATAAATATAAACAGGCTTCAACAAATTTGTATCTGAGTGCTGTACTGCTAGGACTCCCAGGAGGCAAATCTTAGAGAAGAAAATTAGGGTATTTTGTTAAGTATCAAAAGGCAATAAAACATAATAGTAGACTAATATCTCCTGTTTTCCTTTTTGCCTTGTAGGAATTTATTCGGGAACAAGTAGAGGTAAGCTTTTCTCTTAGGGCTTCATACAGAGGCACCATATACAGAGGGCTTCATTGTCCTGTCCCTTCTCTTGTTAACATAGCTGCTCCAGACCACAGGAGGCATCCAAGGGACATTGCCGCTGACAGTCCAGAAGGTGCTGGCCTCCCAGGCCTGCCACGGTAAGAGCCTCCGTGGCCAGCTGTTGAGTCCTCTGTGTGCTGAGTGCTGGCTGCGCTACAGTGATTATGAAAGAAGCAAAAGGCTTATTCTGCTCACCCCTTGAAAAGTATGATTTAGATCAAGAAACTGAATACTCATAAAGCCTAAAAAGTAACTTTCACAAAGTACAGTGCACTCATTAGGGTGCAGAATGATGTACATGAGCAGAGAGACACCCAGAAGTGTCCTTGTAGCCAGGTGCAGACTGGGCCAGGGATGATGTGTTCAGACATGGAAGAGGGAGTTCACCATGGGGCGAGGAGCAGCTTGTGCAGACACAGAGGCAAAAATGAGTCCCCAACATGAGGAGCAGCAAAGAGTAGCAGCAAATTAAGCTGATAAGAAAAAACAGAAGCCCAGAAAATGACACCAAAGCCTTTAGATCTGATACAGAAGACAGTCAGTCATTGGGGGTTCTTAGAAGAATATGATAAATTATAGGAAGTGGTATTGGAGGAACTTACTTTTGGACTCTGACAGCTATGGAATCCCCTGCAACTGTCACTCATGACGTGGGTCTCCAGTCCACTGATAGCCCCCCATTTCACCCATCTCCTTCGGTCTTCTCTCTTCACCTCTTGTCTCCCACAGCTTGGTAACCATGGTCCATCAGTAGTCCATTTCCTACAGACACTAACAAGTCTCTTGCCCCTTTGTCCTCTCTTTACTCCACGTAACTACAAATTTCATCATTGCTATCTTTAAACTGTATCCTAAATCTCTCTGTTCCATCTGCCTCCACTGCTACTTCCTTGTCCTTGGGACACTGAATCCTCTTATTTTGTTCCTCACACCTATTGTGGCTCCATTTCAAAGCCATTCATCTTTTAGCACCCAAGGGAATCATCTTTTTTTTTTCTTTTGGTACCGCAGATTGAACTCACAACTTCACATTTGCCAAGCAGGTGCTTACGCTGCTGAATCAAACTCCCAGGCCCCCAAAGGCGTCATCTTGAGGAATCCCTCTAAGCATGTCATTCTTTCAACTAAAATATGGCATGAGGAGCTGTGTTCTTAGTGTAAAATGTCATGCTTTACCATTGCCTGCAAAGGTCTTCAGATGGGGCCCTTGCCTGCCTCGTTAGGTTCACCTCCTAGCACTCTCCACCAGGCTAACTTGCCTCTTTGCTGTTGTCTTTCCCATATGCCAAGATTGCGTGAGTCTTGGAGCCTTTGCACTGGACTTCCTCTGCCTGAGATGCCTTTTTGCTCTTTCTTTAATCAGTCATGTCTTTTTTTAAAAAAAATTATTTTGTTAAGAAAGCCTTTCCTGACCTAAACTGGCTCTGGTTTTCCTATTATATATTCATATTCTATGTTTTACAGTAATTGTAATTTATATTATTGTATAATTATTTGTTTAATGTCTGTCTTACCTATTAGTCCATAGTTTTATGAGAGTAAAGCATCTGTCTCATTTACTGCTTGGCAAAGCTCAAAATACAGTTTATGTTAAGAAATATTTGTTGACTGAGTGAATTAATGTAGGAATAAAAGCACATTTTAACAAAATAAGAGTTTAAATTAGGAAGATTATTATGGAAATTAGAAAAAAAAAAAAGAGTACAGCTTGGTGTGGTGGCACACACCTGTAATCCCAGCACTTGGGAGGCTGACGCAGGAAGGATCGTTACAAGTTTGAGACCAGCCAGGGCTACAGAGTGAGCCTAAGGCCAGAATGAATTGCATAGTAACCCCCTGTCTCAAAAAGGGAAAAACACAAAACAAAAAACAAAACAAATTGCAAGTAAATTGGGAATTGTAAGGGAAAAATCAGAGGTTGCTATGGGACAATCCATAGACAAATGATAACTTCAATTTCAGAGACTTGTAAGTCAATAAATATGCATACTGCTTTTGCCTCTTTGACAAAAACCCTGAAAGCAAGATTCTAACAAGATAAGCAATGCCTTTTACAGGGACTAAAGAGACAACTGAAAAAGAAGAGTAGGAGACAAAACATTGGTGCTAAAGCCTTACTTTTTTATCTTGGGCTATAAGTGCCAATTTAAAGCGGTCTCATAGCCACATTAAAGAAGCTGAGAAATATGTTACTTTCTGCAGATATTTGGTCTTACCCAGGATCAGTGTTGGTTTCTCACCATGTGCGCCATAACCTAGTTTCTCTTGTGCATAGGGGCCATTAAGTTTAATGATCACCTGAGCCCCGAGGAGAGCTATCGCCTTATTGAAGCTCTGTCCTGGTGCCAGCTGCCTTTCCAGTGTGCTCATGGGAGACCATCTATGCTGCCGTTAGCTGACCTAGACCACTTGGAGCATGAGAAACAGGTACATTGTTGACTGATAGGAGCAGGAAGAAACCTGGTTTCTCTTCTGCCATCCTGATGTAATCTCTTTTAATCCTTCCCAAAATATGAAAGTGTTGGAAAACATGCATTGGAAATTCATTTAAAGCCTTTTGATTTTGTCTTCCAGCTCACATTCAAAATGGAGCTTAGACTAAACTGTCAGATTATCCACATGATGGCCTTAGGTTTTTAATATTAATACAGGTGTCGACTGATGTATGCTGCGCATCTGTTGTCCGCTGGCTCTAGGTTTTGTTTTGTTGGTCCTGGAGATGGAACTCACGACCTCGCACTTGCTAGGCAGGCACTTATGCTTCTGAACTAAATCCCTGGCCCCTGGCTCTAGGTTTGTTAAGATACAGAAATTCTTCCTGGAGAGGAAGGGGAAGCTTCCTGGAGGCGGGCGAAGCTGGTAGAAGCACAGCAAGTTCAGTGTTGATGAAATACGGCCTGCCATCATCCAGGTTCCTGACAGCATGTGCTAGAAACACTGGCCTGGGGGTGTATCCAGTCACCTCCAGAGAGCGCGTGAGTTGTGGGTGGAGAATCGTCAGACCGGAAACCAAGCTCAGCAGGAGAGCTCTGTTCTGCTGTGGCTCCCGTCCCTCAGCCACCCATGAACCGCGGTTTGGGTAGTAGAAAAAAGACAGAGTAATTGAAGACCATTTTCTACCTTATCATGATCTTAAACGAAACAGAACATTAAAAAAAAGAAAAAGAGGGGCTGGGGACTTAGCTCAGTGGCATAAGCACCTGCCTTGCAAGCCTGTGGTCGTGAGTTTGATCCCTGGTACCGGTAAAAATAATAAAGAAAAAGAAACAGATCATGAACACATAATGCTAGTGTCCATATTGCCAACTTTCAAAATCTTTTTTTCCTTTCCTGCTAAAGGCTATAATGGATTTTCTTGCACAGAGTTTGAAGGTACTATCTCCTGACTCAGTTGATTTTATACTATTAAAAACGTTTCACATGACAATAAAATAAAATAAGAATTCTGTGTTCACTGGTGAAGAGATGAGATTCTGGGTTTGCAGCATATAGTCCTACTAATCCTAAGTAACTCCATAATCTATTACTACAGAAATTAGAAGTCCAAACAGATTTGAAGAGTCATGCTTTGGGAATACTTTGTGCTGCCTGGCTTTCTGTGCTGCTAATTGGAGTTACTCTTTTTTTCTTCCCATAGATTAAACCTAACCTTGCTAAACTTCGCAAGATGGCCCAGGCTTGGCGTCTCTTTGGAAAAGCAGAAGGCTGTGATACGAAATGGAGCCTGCAGCAATCTGTGGCTCCTTGTGAGCCTCCATGAAAACAGACTTACTGATCTACAGGGATCAGAACCAAAGGGATTAGAGGATGCTGACTGTGTACCACTGAGCAGAGCATGAGCAGCAGTAGCCACATTACCCTGGCTGAGTCAGCCCTGCCTGGAGCAGTGTCCTAATGTCAGTCCTTCTGAAGGAGACGGTCCCTCTCCCTGAGCAGCCACGTGGAATTGAAGGCTGAAGCCGGTTCGTTCATTTGCAGCCATGGCTACAGGAGATTACTATAAAATATCTGCCTTTTATACCTTATTTAGTGATAACATTTAATGATTAACTGTCTGATTGATAGTTGAAGATTGTAATTTTTCCAGCTTGTGAGTTTGTGATTCTGTAAGTGACCTGATGCTGAATCCCAAGAACTACTGCGCTCCCTTGGCGGCCCTCGGTGTGTCTCCACCTGGCTGTCCTTTCCTTCCCTCTGCTGCCTCTGTACATTCCTAAGGTCTTCTGTCCGAGCTTTAAGTAAATTATTTTAGGGATTGAAAACTTTTGATAAAGTGAAACACAGGCAAAGATAAAAAAGGGGAAATGTCCAGTTCCTGTTTATTTTTGTTGTTATTAGTTTTTTTGTTTTTAAAAATTTAAGAGGCGGGGCTGGAGATTTAGCTCAGCGGAATAAGCGCCTGCCCTGCAAGCAGGCAGTCGTGAGTTCAATCCCTGGTACCGATAAAAAGGAAAAAGACAAAAAAAAATTTAAGAGGCTAATGTTCATATCCTGAATATCCCAAACCAGTAAACATACAATGAGCTTCTTTTTTAAAAATGATTTGTTTTATACTTTCTGAAGTGTTTCTTTATGTGAAAGCATTTGTCATATTAAAATGACAGTATTTATTCTTTCAGCCTAATCAGATATGATGTTTTACTGTTATTTCTTTTTGGAAATAGAATTCTTTTGGCCCCTTTCAAATTGTGTCTTGATTTTATTACAGTGTATCTACATAATAGCCTTATAATTTGACGTGGGCCCAAGACTGATGTTTCTATGCCATTCTTAATCTGTATCTTACCGTTTCAGATGACTTAATTTGTGGTTAATAGGGTCCAACTGGGGCTGGGAATTGAGCTCAGTGGCATAAGCGCCTGCCTTGCAAGCACGTGGTCATGAGTTCCATCCTCGGTACCAGTAAAAAAAAAAAAAAGGATCCAACTGACTAAGCAAAGAGGGGGGAACAGCTGGTAGTGTTTGTTACAATATATATTGTACAGTTAGTAAGGTGTTGCAATGAGAATTTCCATTTCAGTGATTCTTGATCAACCTACTCAAATAGGCCTTTAAATGAAGTAATTTCCCTCATTTTTCAATATAGGAAACAGATGTGTACTCATGGAAGCAAGTCTGTTTGCCAGCAGCCCTGGACTGAGTCTAAGTAATGAAAGCATTGCCTTCATGAGCATAGGCCTCCGGCAGGTGCAGGGACGCCTTCACTTTTTTCAGGGATCCTTATAGAATTATGTAATGGGAATCCTGAAGAATGGGCACTGCTAACATGGCTTCATCCTCCTAAATCCATCTGAGAGGATCTTCATACACTAGGAGCTGTGACTGTAGACTGGAGGGTGTTTTCAAGGGCTCTGCAAGGCTGTCAGAGGTCCTGGGGAAGCCTTGACCTTGGGACTCTCTCTTACTCTGAGGGGCCACATGGAAGAAACGTGTCCCAGGAATTTGAAAAGTCTTTTAGCCCATACCAATTTGCAGGTTTTCAAAAAGTGTTACCATACCTCTTATTTAGAATGATGGGGTGGGATTCAAAAAATTTTTGCTATTTGTAATTTCAGACTACTGCATTTTTTTGAGAGCAGCAGAGCATTAGAAAGAGTTCTCCCTAAATTATGTACCCAGTGTTCCTGCCTAGCCTGACTCAAATAATGTAAGATAATTACCGTATTTTAATAATTTATAAATTCAGTAGCGTGCATCAGCATAAAACAACCTTTTGGCCAAAAATATCCAATAGATTACTTTTATTGACAGTTAGAGCTTTCTTTTATTCTTACAGGTGTAAGTACAAAGTACATTTACAGTTAACATTTACTGTTCTGTTACATAATAGTAATTATTGACACCATTATGGGTTTATATATGATATTTTAAACTTTTCTTTTTTTCCCTCTCAGTACTGGGTATTAAACCAAGGCCTTTACACTGAGCTACATGCCCCTGTTTTTAAAATATTTTTAGAGAGGGTTTTGATAAATTGCCACCACTGGCCTCAGACTTGCTATCCACCTGCCTCAGCCTCCTACAGTGATGAGATTACAGATGGGCACCACCATACCCAGAAACTCTAAGCTTTATAAAATATTTTTTAGGTATGCCTTATCTTACTTGATTTTTTTTTCTTCTTCAGTATTGGATGGAACCTAGGGTCTTGAAGACACTAGGTAAGGCAGTCTAACATTGACCTACATCTCCAGCACTGCACTTCAATTTCCTGACAGCAATTAGGAAAAGGTATTATTATTCTTCCCATTTTACAAAGGGGAAACTAAGCAGAATATTAAGTGTCTTGTTTAAGATCATACAGCAGGTATGATTGATTCCTAGGTATTTCATTTTTTGGATGGTATTGTAAAAGGTATTGTTTTCCTGATTTCTCTCTCAGTGAGTTTATTATTTGTATACAGGGAGGCTATTGATTTTTGAATGTTGACTTTGTAACCATCTATGTTACTGAATTTGCTTATTAAGACTACAAGTCTTTTGGTAGAGCTTTTGAGGTCTTCTAAGTAGAGTATCATGTCATCTGTAAATAACAATAGTTTACCTTCTTCCTTTCCTTTCTTTATTCCTTTTATTTCTTTCTCTTGTCTAATTGGCTGCAGCTAGAGTTTCCAGGACTATGTTGAGTAAGGGTGGTGACAGTGGACATCCTTGTCTTGTTCCTGATTTTAGAATGAAAGCTTTCAGTTTTTGTCCATTTAGTATGACGTTAGCTGTTGGTTTGTCGTAAATGGCTTTTATCAGATTGAGATGAAGACCATCTATTCCAGTTTTTTGTAGGGTTTTTATCATGAATTGAGTGCTGGACTTTGTCAAAAGCTTTTTCTGCATCTATTGAGATGATCATATAACTTTTGTCCTTGGCTCTGTTGATATGGTGTATTACATTTATGGATTTATGTATGTCGAACCATGCCTGCATCCCTGGGATGAATCCTACTTGATCATGGTATATACTCTTTGATGATTTGCTGCAGTCTGTTTGCCAGTATTTTACTGAGGATTTTTGCATCACTGTTCATTAGGGAGATTGGCCTGTAGTTCTCTTTCTTAGCTGGGTCCTTCTTTGGTTTTGGTATCAGAGTAATGCTTGCTTCCAGGAATGAATTTGGAAGTATTGCTTCCCTTTCAGTTTCATTAAAGAGTTTGATAGGTAGTTGTGTTGGGTCTTTACTAAATTTCTTGTGGAATTCAGCAGTGATTCCTTCCGGGCCTGAGCTTTTCTTTGTTGATAGATTTTTAATTATATCTTCAATTTCCTTTATTGATACTGAATTATTTAGGATTTTTATATCTTCTTGGTTAGGCTTTGGTAATTCATATGTATCTAGTAATCTGTCCATTTCTTCTTTATTTTCCTTCTTATTAGAATACAGGTTTTCAAAGTAGGTATAGGTGATCTGGATTTCTGCAGGGTCTCTCATGATTTTGCCCTTTTCATTCCTAATTGCATAGACTTGAGTCTTTTCTGTCCTTTTTTTTGGATAAGACTGGATGAGGGTTTGTCAATTTTATGTAATCGGGGCTGGGGATTTAGCTCAGCGGCATAAGTGCCTGCCTTGTAAGCAGGCAGTCGTGAGTTCGATCCCTGGTACCGATAAAAACAAAAAAAAAGACAAAAAAAAACAAGAGTAAAAAAAAAATTTATGTAATCTTCCAAAAAATCAACTCTTCAGTTCATTGAGTCTTTGTATTATTTTTTTAGTCTCCAGTGTGTTTCTGCTCCAATCCTTATAATCTCCTCCCATGTACGAGCTTTTATTTTAGCCTGCTCTTCTTTTTCTAGAGTTCAAGAGTCAACAGTAAGTTATTTATGTATGCTTGCTGTTTTCCTGGTATGAGTATTTGCTGGTGTAAATTTCCTTCTTAAGACTGCTTTCATTGTGTCCCACAAGTTCCAGTATGTTGTATTGTCATTATCAATCAAATGTAAAAGGTGTCTAATTTCTTCTTTAATTTCATCTGTGACCCATTGATTGTTCAGTAGGCTGCTATTTAATTTCTATGTGTTTATGCAGTTCTTGTGGTCTCCTTTGGCATGGATTTCCAATTTTATTGGTCTGATAGTTTGCATAGTCTGATAGTATGCATCAGATAATTTGAATTCCTTTGCATTTACTTAAGCATGTTCTATGAGCCAGTATATGATCTATTTTGGAAAATGTCCCATCTGCAGCCAAGAAGAATGTATATTTTGATGTTGTGGGGTAGAACACTCTATAGACATTTACTAGGTACATTTGTTCAAAAGTTTGATTAAATTCTAGTATTTCATTATTGATTTTTTTTATCTAGTTGATTTTTTTGTGACAGTAGGTATTGAGGTCTCCTAATTCAGTTGTATTAGGGCTTACTTGATTTTTCATGTCCATTAGTAATTGTTTTATATAGCTGGGTACACTGATATTTGTTGCATATATATTTATGATTGTTATCTCTTCCTCTTGAATCATTCCTTTTAGAAGGATGCAGTGACCTTGTTTCTCTTAATCAGTCTTTGCTTGAAATCTACTTTGTCTTCAAATAGAAAGGTACCTGTGCTTTTTTCCAGGTTCCTGTCATGTGGAGTATTGTTTTCCATCCTTTGGCTTTCAATGTATGAATTTCTTTTTGAATTACATGTGTTTCTTGTATGTAGCATATTGTTGGATCTTGCTTCTTGATCCATTCTGCCAATCTGTGTCTATTGACTGGTGAATTGAGACCATTAGCATTGATGGTTATAACTGATAGGTATTGACTTATCCTTGTCATGTTATTTTCCTGTTGTTTGCTCCCCTTTTCCTCTCTCCCTCTAATTGTTTGCCTCCCTGGTGAATTCCTTCTGTTGGGGTTCATGGAGCTGTAGTCTTTATTATCTTTTCCTAGAAAGTCCTTCAGAACATTTTGGAGTGCTGGTTTGGCGGTCATAAATTTTCTCAGATGTTCTTTGTCATGTATCCTATTTCTCAATCAATTTTGAAAGATAGTTTTGTGGCATTCATCAATCCGGGTTGAAAGTTGGTTTCCTAGGGGCTGGGGATTTAGCTCAGCGGCATAAGTGCCTGCCTTGTAAGCAGGCAGTTGTGAGTTCGATCCCCGGTATCCATAAAAAAGAAAAAGACAAAAAAAAAAAAAAAAAAGAAAAAAAGAAAGTCAGTTTCCTTAGAATGTTGAGTACTTCAAGCTCTGCTTGACATGAGAGTTTGTGCTGAGAAGTCAGCTGTAATTCAGATGGGCTTTCCTTTATAGGTGATTTGTTTCTTTTGTCTTAACAGCTTTTAGGATTCTATTCTTGTGTTGAAGTTCTGGAATCTTGACTATGATGTACCTGGCTGTAGATTTTTTGATCATTGCTAATTGGAGTTCTATATGCCTCATTTATCTATAGATCAAATTCTTTTTCTCTACCAAGAAAGTTTTGTCATGTGTCTGTGAACATTTTTTTAATGTCATTTGTGGTATCTCCTGCTTGTTCACTGACTCCAATTAATCTTATTCTTCTTTGTCTCATCTAGCAGCTGCTGGATTGATTTCTCATGATCCCTTGCTTTGTTTTTTTGTTTGTTTTTTGAGACAGAGTATTGTATGCAGTTCAGGATAGTCTTGAGCACACTTTGTAGCCCAGGCTGGTCTCGAATTCACAACAATCCTCCTGCCTCAGCTTCCTGAGTGCTGGGATTACAGGCATGTGCCACTACACTGGGCTTCCTTGCTATTTTTGAAAAATTTTTCTTTTCCCAGTCGCTAACTGCAAGCCTGTCTTTAATATCTGATATCCTCTCCTCGCACTGATCTCATCTGCTTCAGATATTTTCAGTGGAGTTTTTGTTCTAGATATCTGCTTGAATCTGTTCTATGGATTGCATTTCTTTCCTATGCTGCACTTCCATAATTTGTTTAAGATTGTCTTGTTTTGTTTTGTTTTGTTTTTTGTCTTTTTGAGACAGGGTCTTGCTGTGATTCAGGCTGGCCTTGGGCTCACTCTGTAACCCAGGCTGGTTTCAAACTTGCAATAATCCTCCTGCCTCAGCCTCCTGAGTGCTGGAATTACAAGAGTGTGCCACCATGCCCAGTTTAAGATCCTCTATTTTTTGTCTGTGTATTCTCTACCATCGCTAAATGTGGTGTGTATTTTCATAATCTCTGTAGCTATATGATTTCTGATTTAATTTTTTCCAGAGCCTCATTGAACTGCTTTGTTGTTTCCATTTCAGAAAGACCTGGTGGGGGGCTTTCAGTTACCCCACCTCATTGCCCCTGGATTTGCCTTTGGTGAACTGGATGCCTGAGGTTGCATTTTGCTTAAGTGTCTTCACATTTTTCTCTCTTTTTTAGTTTAATTCCTTCGGTGATGCTTGTAAATTGCCTGTAGTGGGTTGCTTTATTGGTAGTATTTAGGACACTTAGGTGATGCTTACTTCTCTGAGGTATCTTCCAGGTATAGCTGGTTTTTGGGTTTTGAGTCTGTTGGAAGATCTTACCTCTTCAGTTTGTTGCAGATGAGAAGTTGTTTGGCCTAGACCCGGGTTCTTTGGCATTGTGCCACTGTATTTTCTGTGACCCTTGGTTAATCTCAGTCATGGATTATCAGAACTAACAGCTGTTTAGAAAAATTATGTCACTTTTGGCTGTAGTAGTACCAACAGCATCAAACACAGCCTAGAAAACAAACTAAGTTAACCTTTAGTTTGCAACTTTTAACCGTATGAACTAGATTTATGATTATATAACAAAATGTAAAATAAACTAGATAATTATATGCAATATGTCAGTCTGTAATGTGTCAATTTTACCCTTTAAAATGGATTAAGGAGAAAGTAGAGACGTGGAAGAAGAGAAAGAGTTTAAAAGTAAGCTTGGAGGACAAAGGGGGATCATGCCCACTTGGGGAAACTGGTGCAGAAGACTGGAAGAAAAAAGATGGAGGAGATAAAAGAAAGAACAAAACAAAACCACAAAGAGGTTAGGAACCACTTTCACACTCATAAAAAACAAGGAGAAAGAAAAGAAAAAAACAAAAACAAACTAACAAAAAAAGAAAAAGAAAACTTGCAGGTTTCTCTGGGTTCACTAGTAGACAACTTATTTACTTATTTATTTATTTTGTCTTTTTCGTTTTTTATCGGTACCAGGGATCAAACTCAGGACTGCCTGCTTGCAAGCAGGCGCTTATGCCGCTGAGCTAAACCCCCAGCCCCTAGTAGACAACTTACAGAGTCCCAAATCATGCTGCTCTATCCCAGCAAGCCAGCAGTTGCTTTATGGCACAGTAATGGATAAATAACCTCAGAGGTCTGCCTTGAGACCAGACCCATTGGGCTTGCGCCAGCCCAAGCAGTTTCCACAGGTCTGCACCCAGCTAGGAGCTGCTGGAGAAGCCGGCAGCATTTCTGGATTCTAGCCTTTGACTCCAAAGTGGCTCCCAGCTAGTCTCGCTCTCCCTGTGGGAGGACTAAGTCCTCTGCACTCAGTGCCAGCCAGCGCAGTCCTCCACATGTGCTGCTCCCTTCCACTGCCACATCTCTGCAGAGGCCTCTGGGGTTGCCAGCCGTCATTGTGACTGTGACTGTGTGTCCACAGATGGCGACAGCTTCTGGAACGCAGTGAGTCTCGTCTATCTGGGGGAGAAGGTGCTGCCAGTGCTGCCTTCTTCGTTGAAGCTTTTCGTTTTACTCTCTCTGTGGGCTTCAGTTCACACTTAGATTCTCCCTGGTCCAGGGCACCCACTTCCTTTGCGGTCTTCCTCATGGTGCTACATTCCAGCGTCTGGACGGTGACTCTCAGAGAAGCAGTTTACTCTGCTGTTTAGTGCTCTGCCACCTTCCCCTCCCCCTCCCCCTCCCCTCCTCCTCCCCCTCCCCTCCCCCTCCCCCTCCCCTCCCCCTCCCCCTCCCCCTCCCCTCCTCCTCCCCCTCCCTCTCCCCCTTCCCCTTCCCCTTCCCCTCCCCCTTCTCCTTCCCCTTCCCCTTCCCCTTCCTTTCTTCTCTTGGTACTGGGGATTGAACCAGGCCTTCACACTAAGCTTCATCTCCAGCCTTTTATTTTTAACTTTAACTTTTTTTAGACAGAGTGTCACTAAATTTTGCCCAGGCTGCACTTGAATTTGTGGCCCTCCTGCTGCAGCCTCCTAGAGTGCTGAGATATAGACACTGGCTTACCTGGCTTAGCCCACTGTATTTCTTGCCCCTTCTCAGCTGACCTTGTTCATCAGCAGTGAGATAGTACGAAGGTGGAGCCAGAGGAAAGGAAAAGAAGGAGTCTAAAAAACTGAAACTCTGGACAATCTGTAACAAAATAACCTGCCTTCCTGGCACCCCTGTATTTATTTATGCTTCATTATTCAGTAAATATGTAGTGAGTCCCCTCTAAAGCATTGATAAAGTGAAGCCAGAGGAAAGAAAAAAAGGAAGTCTAAGAAACTAAAATTCTGGACAATCTGAGCAAAATAACCTTCCTTTCTTGCCACTATATTAGTGCTTTCATATTCAGTAAGTGTGTAGTGAGACCCTTCTAAAACACTGCCTCAGTTGTGGGGGAAACAAGGCAGAGGCCATCTGAGGCCTCATGATTTTTCTAACCCTTGGGTGCTTTTCACCTCGTGCCCGTTCATTACAAAGTACTCAATCTCACAGACACCTCTAGTGCAGTTCAGGAGCCTGATCAAAACCAGGGATCCATACGCTCTGCCTGCTGAATTCTTGGAACCACTAAGCAGCACCAGGAAGCAGGCTGAGGAGATGAGATTTCGCCATTCTTGCTGCCTGAATCTTATCACTTGTCCTTACTTCAAAAGCAAGGAATGTCTAGGGCTGGGTATGGTCAAGCACCCTTGTAATCCCAGCACTCGGGAGGCTGAGGCAAGATGATCAGTGTGAGGTCAAGGGGGGCCTGGGCTACATAGCAAGACCCAAGGGGGGAAAAAAAGGAATGCCCGGTGAAGGTCTAAAATAAACAAACAAAAAAATCCCGCTAGTTTGAAATCAGCTGCTCCTCTTAATAGTGTACTGTTATTGAACATTGTGTTACCTCTTTTTTTTTCTTTTTAAATTTTTTAAAAAATTTTATTTATACTTTTTTAAAAAAATCTGTACAGGGGATCGAACTCACGACCACCTGCCTGCAAGGCAGGTACTTAATGCCGCTGAGCTAAATCCCCAGCCCCCTGTGTTACCTCTTTAACTGAAGGATTTTATATATAAATTATGAATTGGAAGGCTCTTGTCATGTGTTTGTTTCTTTGACACTAATTAGCTTTCTTCTCTCGTCATATGTAATGCACCTGATAAAAGCACTGAAGGGCTCCTTCTCTTGGGCACAGTATTTTATAGAAGCTCCTGCAGTCCCCGTTTCACGTGCAGTTAGGCCCAGAGGCCGCCCTCCCCTGGGTGGGTGATGAGCTGCAGCTCTTTAATAAAAACACTGAGTGTTTAGGCATTACATAGGACCCGGGACAGTTTGGTGAATGAAAGAATAACAAAGACAGGAACATAACTCAGTGTAAGCAGTTGCCCTGGGTTCAGTCCCTCTAGCACTGCGAAAATAAATACACAGATTTAAAGAAATCTCGCGCAGGATAGCTCGTGTCAGTGAGGTGCATGTCTCAGAGGGAGTATCTGCAGGGATGGGTGGACTGTGCAGGCTGTGAGCAGTCCCCTGCCTCACCACTGATGAGCATCACCACTGTGTGCCACCCACACCAGGCAGTCCTGCTGGGCCACGCTCTACCTATACAGCGTTCAGAGCTGCACAGCTTCAGAGTCGGAACCATGTGGTGGGCAGCCTTGGTTAACCTGTGAACTGATGCAGAAGACTGCCTTGAGAAAGGGTTTTGAAGCACATCCGGGAAGCTTATATTCCTATGGGTACCGGCATTTCTTTCTTTGAGGTATCATTTTTCACTTAAGTTTTTCTTGGTAGAGTATTTTTCAAAAACTTCCCTTCTGAGGCTAAATTAGGAATTTCTGTTCCTTATTCAAGTTCCAAGAACTGTGCCTTTCCTGCCCTCCGCCCAACTTGGGAGATAGAAACCGTGGGAAAAAGCATCTTTAGAAACTGTTCAGTTATCTAACTTGGTTCATTTGGTATACTCAAGAAGACTTTTGCATCCATGCAATCCTACTTGTTAATTCTCTCCAAGCTATAAGAGTATTTTCCTGGATGCTGCCAACAAGGCAAGGCTGGGAGACCAGTGAGTTGACTGGGACTCTTGCGTCACCCTATTGTAGTCACCTTTCCTCTTTCCAACATTTGCCCTTCCTTGAATAGGAAGAAGCAGGCTTTGTGGGGCTTACTTAATTAGCCTCATAAAGATCCTAGCGTATGCATTCCTGCTGTTTTGATCGAGGCAGACCCAGAGAGCCAGCAGCTCCCTGTGTAACCTTCATCTGTCTGTTATGCCTGGGAAGGAAGTTGGTGCTAATTTTAGACAGAGACGAAGATGCACAAAGGACATTATCATAAGGCATTTCTTGTGCCAGGAACAGATTTAAATTCCTTGACTCAGTGCTGTTCTTCCTCCAAACCACACAATTGTACCCAAGTGAATTGCTGTCAGAATTGGTGCCTTTAGAGGAGACAATTGCTCATAATTGGTAGCCATAAGCCACTTCACTGAGAAAGCGTGGGGTCTTAGATGCTTTAAGAGGTAATCGACAGACTGAAGCCCAAGTGAGTCAGGCTGTTCTGAGTCACACGGCTTTGGTCCTGTTTTTCCCATCAGGAAGACATAAACTCCAAGATGAAGACCTGTCTCACACAGGACCAGAATGAGCCTTTCTCTCATAACCTGCTTGTGACCAGCACTGGTCAGTGTGGCTGTCAAACACTTCTTCAAATCTTTGGGTTGTGTGTTTGTCAGACATGCAGGCTCTTCTCCCCAGACACGGCCGGCCGTAACAGCTAGAGGCCAGCTTGTGACTCGTGCCCTAGGAGGTCCTCTGCAGGCCAGGCAGACCAAAGTGAAAACAATAAAAAAATTAGATAGACCTGCTTGCTCATCTGGTGTCTGCCAAACTTCTTCCCTATGCATGAACATACATGTAATTTTTTGTTTTAATGTCATGATATGCATAGTTTTACAGCTTTATCCCTAACTTTGTAAACTAACAATATAAAATGACTTCCTTACAAATCTATCCCCCCACCTTCCTTTTTTTTTTCCTTCTGGTATTGGAGATTTGGAGATTGAACCCCAGGCCTTTACACTAAGATACATCACCAGCAATTTAAAAAAAAAATACTTGGTTTGAGACAACTGGCTAAGTTGCTAAATTGCTCAGAGTGAACTCAAACCTGCAATCCTCCTTCAGCCTCCCAGAGTGCTGGGATTATAGGTACATACCACCACAACTAGCTTTATCCTATTTTTTTTTTTTTTCGTAATCAAATTGAACTCACGGCCTCATGCTTGCCAGGCAGGCACTATGCTGCTGAGCTATATCCCTGGCCCTTTTGGGGGGGGTGGGTGGGGACACCGGGAATCAAGCTTCAGATCTTGCACTTGCCAGGCAGGCACTTGTGCCACTGAGTTATACACCTAGCCAAAAGCTTTTTAAGTTGATGTGATTCCAGATGTTTATCATTTGCAGTACTTCTTGTATGGGGGGTGGTAACTGGGAACTGAACTCAGGACCTTGCACTTGCCAGGCACGTGCTGTGCTGCTGGGCTATATTCCCCCCTCCCATTCTTTAAAGGGTGACAGTGAAACTGCCTACAAGGTATAAGCAGACAGCATTTACAAGTTAATTTTCTAGAGATTTTTCATCTAATGCAATCAGGTGCTAACCAACTGTACCTAACTCTTGCCATTTGGAAATGTGGAACAGGAATTAACAAATCTGAGTTTTAAAGAAAAGTCAAAAAATATGCACCCTTTTTTTTTGGTACCGGGGATTGAACTCAACCTAGAGCTTGCCAGGCAGGTGCTTGTGCCACTGGGCTAAATCCCCGGCCCTTAAATCTGCATTCTTAAAATATATAGTCTTCAGAATTAAAAATACTAGTAACTCACTTCAGTGAAATGCTGGGTAGCCAGCCAAAATGTTTCCAATCCAGACTCCCCACACACCTTTCTTTTGAAGCCCCTATTACACTTGTACACATAATGTTCCAGAGTGTAGATGTCACACTTAAACTTTCCTTTATTGCTAAATGCTTAGACCATGACATTATAAGTACTACACTGAACATTCCTGTATATTTCTTTGTGTGCTGGTACAAATAATTCTAGGATAGGTTCCAAATTACCTTTTAGAACATTATACCAGTTTATAATACTGTTAACAGGAAATGAGGGCACCTCCAAGATCAGAGGGTGTCGTTCTATGATCTCAGTCTCAGAAACACCCCCTGAGGTGACTCTAAAAAGTTGTGAATAATTTCAGTAAACTATAAAAGGAAACGAAATACTTTCATTTGCACGTCTATGTTTTATACTTTTCCCTCAAGAAAACCCAAAAAGGGTTCTGCTGCTGCTGCTACTCCAGTTCAGTGGGAGCTGAGGACAATAAATAAACTCAGGAACTTTGCAGTAGCTTTTATTGGCACAGCGTAGGAAAGGTGTGGGAGCCACTTCTTCGTAAAAATCCACATCCCAGCAAGGTAGTCAGTGTTATGCTTACCACACCAGTGAACCAGAAAGTTGAAGTTCCTGAAACAGACATGGCCAGGTCACCAAGAGGCTCCAAAATCAATAGGTTCGGCCCTGCTGCTCTGGTAAGCCCCAAAAGGCAAGAAACAGTCATGGATGGGAGCCTTGTGATGGGATGACCGAGACGCCCGGAAATGGTATCCAGCTTTCTCGGGCTGACGCTGTCCGCCGCAGGGAGGACCCCGCAGCGGCAGCACTGAGTCTCCTCCAGCTCTGTCTGCCTGAGCACTTCCTGCTCAGCACAAACGAAGGTCACAGGACGTGATCGTCAGGATGGTACAGCTCACTCATCAGGCGGTAGATGTAGGAAGGTGCATTCCCACCGATGTTGGAGATAAACAGGGTGATGAGTTCTGGCGGGACGTAGTCAAACACTGGGCAGTGAACGCTGACCTTTTCCAGGATATCTCCTGAAAGGCAACGACACACGCGCTAAAGATAAAAGCTGAGGATCCTCTATAGTTACTCAGTAGCACGTGGAGCTGGTTCAATAACGCAGGCGTATTTGCAACCCAGGAAGGAAAGCTGGGGCAGAACACAGACTAGAAGAGAAGACTCCAGACCATGAGCCTGCAGTGCCTCTGCACAGCCCTTTGAATAAAATGCAAACTTGAGGCTGCAACCTTTAAACTTGACACCACAACTTGATACTGGCCCCACTGTATCACCACCCTAATTATAATTAACAGGACTCTCCTCCATGCTTGTTACTCTCCGGCCATGTGGCCATCTTCTCCAACTGGCAGGGCATGTACCCGTGTCACACCTTTGCACCAGTGCCTGGCAAACACATTCCCAATCGTCACATGGTGGGTCTGTTCACTCAGGACTCAGCTGCAGTGTCCTCCCATAAGGGGCCCCTGTCATTCCTAGGTAGTAACCAGCCGCTTTCTGTCACATCACTCTTACTTGTTTTTTCCTAAAACCCCCACAATGGACATCTTGTCTGCTACCTGCAACACAATGCAAGCTCTGTGGGAGCAGGGCTAGCCACTCCGTTCCCTGTCCTATTGCCGTGCCTAGACACAGTGGGTACTCACTGAGAAGCCAGCTTGACTGCTGAGGAGGCAGGAGCAGAGGAAAAAGACCCCAACACAAGGATATCCAAGCTATACCAAGCTTTACAAGTAGTAATATTTCAAAGCCTGCTTCCTTTGGTAGCCAACTCATCAACACAACTCCCTACAGCAACTGAAAGCGGGTCCTTCTCGTCCTTCTTGGTTGTGGCCTATTTTTTAAACAATGTACGAAGCCACACCCAGTCAGTACTGGGTGACCCAACTCCCCACAGGCCTCCAACAACTTGGTTAACACACACAAGTCTCAAAGCAAGTTTACACGGCCTACCACAGCTTCCCAACCACTAGAACAGCTGGAAGTTGCTAACGCTAACTGTCCTCACGAGAAGTATGATTTAAAAACAAACACAACCTGACAGCAGTTAATTCTACTGAAAACCAAAACAGAAGACAACACACACACACACACACACACACACACACACACACACAACACCTTCTGTAAAAGGGAGGACTTCTTCAGGAGCCACGAACTTGTGAAATGAATCTTCTTCATTGGGGAACTAGAAAAAAAAAAAAAACAGATTACACAAAAATTCCACGTCTAGATACTCAAGAGAATTCAAAATCTACATTCACACAGAAAATCTATACACAAATGCTTAGAGCATTATTCATAAAAACCAAAAGGTAGAATCTACCCAAATGTGTTTTTTTTTTTCTTTTTATCGGTACTGGGAATCTAACTCACAACTGCCTGCTTGCAAGGCAGGTGCTTATGCCGATGAGCTAAATCCCCAGCCCCTCCAAATGTCTATCTACAAAAGAATGGATAAATTCTGGTGTACACATACAGTGGACTATTATTAAAACTTGAAAAGAAATTCTGAGCCTGTTACAATATGGATGAATCCTGAAAATACACCACTAAAAAGACACAAAAAGTCACGTATGATTCCTTTATATTAAAACACCCCAAATTGGCCAATCCACAGACCTAGAAAGCAGCTTTACCGTAACTATGAGACAGGGAGACGGGACTGGGGAGTCATTACTTAATGGGTACAGGGTATTTTTCTGGGATGACAAGTTTTGAAGCTAGAAAGTGGTGGTTACACATGCAGGGGATGTACTAAATACCACTAAATTGTACATTTTAAAATGACTAATTGTATGTTACATGAATTTCACCTTAATTAAAAAATACGCAAGCCTATAAATAGGTTGTTTTCAATGTAAATAGCTTCTATTGCCTATGAAACAAGCCTTCACTTAGCAACCGATAGTATTTTGACTACAAAGGACAGGCTCTAGGACAAGACATGAAAAACTGGTTCTGTGATCCTAGTTTAAACCTGTTCAGCATTTTCAGAAAATGGCCAGGGCAATAAGGGTGCTGGCAACTGTCCCCGCAGGGCCTTGCCCTACCCCATCCCGTCCTGACCTTGCTTCCTGCTCTGCTGCCTCCCAGGCAGGGACAGACCACCAACCCACCTGTGGGGAAAGCTTGAACATGGGCGCACAGACAATGAGTGGGGTGGAATGGTGTTTCGCGGCCAGTGCCAGGGTGTGAGTTCCTGTCACAGCTCTCAGGGCGCCATTGGCCAGGATGGTCTTCGTGCCAATGATCACCTTTGGGACACAAAGAAAAATGTGAGCCATCTGAGGGGTAAGGGCTGCTGCCTCCAAAAGGCAGAATGCTCAGCCCTCCACCTGAGCATCCCAAGGGGTCACGGACCAGGAGTGGGATCCTACACTCAGTACTACGAACTCTTGCCTTCCCAAGGGAAGAATGCCAGTAGCACGGGACTGAGTTCCAACTGCACTTCACGCTGTCTGGAAAGTTCTAAGCAGTTCCTCCTGAGCAGCCAAGAGCCGCTTTCATTTACCACTTACCATGGCCAAGCTCTTTGATTCATGTCTAACCTCTGAAACTTGGCTTGGCTCCAACTCTAAACAGCCTATTCCTCTAAACAGAGAGGCACAGTGATAAGTGTAAGGGGGAAAATGTGGTAACACATTTTAAAAGCCTACGTGTGTAGTTTCAATAAAAATAAGGGTTTCTTTCAGTATAATCTTCATGAATTTAACACATTTAACTGCACAAATACCTACCTTGTTGACTCTAGACATGACAGCAAAAATAGCAGCATCAGTCATGACAGTGGTCTCAATTCCGGCTTTGGACAAATTGACAGCCATTTCATGACCCTGCAACAGGAGAGAAAGGCTGTTGCTGGGACAGAAAGTGACAGACAGTGAAAAGAGCTTTCAAATAAAAATGAATCTGGGGAATTCTGTGACACAGACATGTCTAGTACACAATTTCCAACACAGAATTCGTTTTCCTGGCTGGAATCAGTATTTTCTGGTGAGCTACAGCGAAGCCCAGGGGAAGCTAATAAATACATATTACTTCACAGCAGCACTACAGCGGCCACAAAACTGGAAATACAACTTGCTTGCATAATCAAGCATAGCTAACAAGATAAATTCTGGCTCATTATTTTACAACATCCTGCATCCTTACATAGTTCTTTGTTGAGACTATTATTTAATTAAGGATCGAGTGAGATCAGAACAAGCAGTAGTCATCCTCAAGGTAATATCTCCTCTATTTTGATTCCTAAAAGAACCAAGATTTCTCTTAGCCCCTGCAGTTCATCCATCTTTCTTAAACCAGTGAGCTTTAAGATGCTGCCGAATGAACAACTTGACAATTCCCTTAAAGGTGTATCTTTCTAATATCTCAATGTCTTCCCTATCAATTCAAAACTGGCATAGACTCCATCCATCTACCTTTCTCCCTTTTCATTTTTTATTTTTCTTAACAACTCCAGCAGTCCCCATACCTGGCAGAAAGGTGCACACTCTGCCACAATAACATGGAACTTCCTCTTTCGAGCAGCCTCTTTAAGGAAAGCCTCTACTGTTCTTGAAAACCCAATGGTCATGATCACCTCGTTGGAGTGGATGTGCTCCAGAGCCTGGGCAGCAATGTTCTCTGTCGTGCCTTCTGCAAGAACAGTTTTGCAAGGAAAATATGAAGCTGCCAAGCTATAGAGATGGGACAATAGCATGGAAAGGGATGTCTGCCCTTCACATGTATGTACTGTCTCCCTGGCAGATCCTAGTACCACAGAGATAATAAGCTTAAGGTGAAATATCACAGTTTCTTAAACGCTCCATGCTCTGAGATCTTCTGCTTCTCAAGTTCTCATTCTACACCCCTTGTGCATCAGCAACCCTGCTCATCAACTACCTCCCTGCCACTCTACCAGCTTCTTCTTATGGTTCCTGAAGACAATGAATTCAGGAAACAAACAGCAATCTTGGGAAGCCTAAAGTGCTGATTGGGCTAAACAGAGATTCCACCTAAAACAACTCTTCCTCCAAATTGGCCACAATACCTCGATGTGAGAGAAGAGAAGTTGAGGCGTTTGGAATCTGCAGTACTGGGCACAGATAGAATGTAGCTTCTTCATCCCGGGGAACTCCAACTGTAATGAGTATCTGCAGGTGTCTTGGGTCACACAGACGAGGATGAAGGTAACATATATGTGTGTATAAAAATTAACAAGGCTAGTGAAGGAGGCTCTGTCAAATGTGGTTTTAAGATTTCGTTTTCTCTACCATGAAAATGAGCTGTGATCAAGGGCTGGGTCTGTAAGGAGAGGTTACTTTAGTCCTGCTAGCTGCTCCACCCATACCTAATCAGAAAGGAGGACAAACTGCTAGTTACCAGAGGACTGGTGATTATTCCCAACTCTGCTGAAAAACAACTTCTGGGGGCTTCTGTTTCCTCATCTGCCCGCAACCTGACCAACCTAGCAATCAGATCTCTTACCCAGCTCTACCAGCAACTCATTAATCGCCTCAATGATGTTGGACTGAAGCTGAGCATAATGTAAGCTGAAATCCTCGCTCAGGCCTCCGGAGGTCAAGAGTTTGTGCAGGGACTCCTGCTGATCGCTCTCGTCACTGCGTCCATGTAGTCTATGGGGGCGACAGGACCGAAGAGTGAGGCGGGGAAGAACTGTGGTTAGATAAGTAACAGAAGTTACTCAGCAACATCAGAGGGTCCAAGCATGGACAAAGAACATGCAAAAAGTGTCCCTGGGTCTAATCCGGAGCGCAAGTCATGAACCAGACCTGCCATACTCTTCGCGGATGATCTTGAGCACTCTCCGCACCATGTTTCCCACGGTGGTCTCCGAGGGCTGTGCGGCCATCATCCTCTTGCCCTCTCTGCGAATCAACTCCATCAGCTCCCCTAAAACCAGACAGAGAGGTGAGCGAGAACAGTGCGCGACAAGTCTTGGGCAATTTTTAGCCTCGGGGTCGGGAATGAAAAGAGGACGGGGAAGCGAATGCAGCTGGTTTTTCCTCACCAGCATTACTCCAGCGGCGGTCGGTGATGATCCGGCGCAGCAACCCTAGGGTCTCCCGAGCCATGTGCTCGGAGCTACGCTGCCCGCCACCCCGCTTCAGGGTCTCCACAAAGCTTTCGATCGTCTCGGACAATTCCAAGCCTTTCGCCGAAGCTCCCGGCATCTTGACAGCAAACTCCAGTCCCGCGGAACGCACACCTGGACGACCGCAGTGTTGTACTTCCGGGGCAGGAAAGGTTTACTTCCGCTCCGCGAAAAAAATTCCAGTTTGAGCAGGAGCAGGTTCGTCCCCTCTGTCTGCCTGGACCAATCAGAGACCTGGGGCTCGGGTCCTTAGGTTCCAATCGAGCGTCCACGCGCCTCTGAAGGACGAACGGAAGTGACCTCTGCTGGCCCCCGCCGACTCTTAACACGGGTGACTCGCCGGGCTACAGCGGGGAAGCTGGGATTGTCGCTATGGAAACAGCACAGCAAGTCTCTACGCTTCCTCGCTTCTAACCGAGGTTACGCCGGAGAAGTTGCCGCCCCCGTTTCTGGCCCTGCAGCTGCAGTCCGCCAGCCCGCCAGACTCAGACCTCTGACTGCAGCGTCTGCAGCCCCCGGGGCCTCGGGCAGAAACTCGAATTTGGTACCGTTACATTGCCAGATAATGCTTGTGCCCTTCTTTCTAGCAGATTGAACTCCTTGAGGCTATCTTTTGCATTTGTATTCCCACGACCTAGCTCACAATAGAAGACAAAGGAATCAGGAGTGAGGGGACTTCCTACCCACAAGGAGATTCTAAGTAGAAGCTAATCTGTGAGCAAAGATGAAGTACTTCGATTTGGGCAGACCTGCCCACCTACAGAGGCTTGGAAATGTGGTGCATATAATGTAATGAGAGTTCCCGTTTGCTTAACGCTTAGGGTTTGTTCGGTGTTGCTTGTGAATTGCTTCATCTAATACTGGTCAATGAGAGACACTCATCTCCATTTTACAGATTGGAAAATGGACCTGTAGATTTTACGCAGTTAAGGAAGAGTTCAAATTTAAATCCGTGGGGCTGGGGATTTAGCTTAGCGGCATAAGCACCTGCCTTGCAAGTGTGCAGTCGTGAGTTCAATGCCTGGTACCGATAAAAAAACGAAAAAGACAAAAAAAAAAAAAAATTTAAATCCGTGCCTCTCAGTACCTGAAGTGTGGGAAATAGAAAATCTTTGTCTCCTTAAGATAGAAAAAAAAAAAAGTGGGATCTTTAAGCACACTGTTTTGTTTCTGTGGTTGGTTGGGTTGGATTTGTTTGTTTGTTTTTGCCTTTTCCAGACAGAGTTTCACTATGATGTTCAGGCTGGCCTTGAACTCACTGTGTAGCCCAGGCTTGCCTCAAACTCATAGCAATTCCTGCCTCAGCCTCCTGAGTGCTGGGATTACAGGTGCCTGCCACCACACCTGGTCTGCCACCACACATTTTTAAACCCTATGTTACAAGAGACAGCCTTCCAAAAATACAGTTTAATATAGTATGTATTAAAAAATCAAAGAACAAGAAAACTACCAGCATGAATCAAAATCGGCAACAAATTACTAAATCAAAAATTCAGGGCTGGAGGTTTAGCTCTGTGACACAAGCACCTGCCTGGCAAGCGTAAGGTCCACGTGAGTTCAATCCCCAGTACACAAAAAACAAAAACAAAACCATAAAGAAAGAAAAATACATAATAACAAAGGGAAATTTAAACCTGGAATGTAAAGAGGTTCAGTATTTGAAAATCAATCAATTTAATATATTAACAATCTAAAAAGGAAAAAACATATCATATCTTGATGCAAGTCAGGTGATCAAATGCAAGGTTTATTCACATTAAACTCAGAAAACAATAGAACTTCATCTTGATACAGGGCAACTATAAAATTATACATTTAAAAAAATCATAACATGTATAAGTTTGCTTTTTCTGAAAGTCAAGTACAAGGCAAAAGTAGCTACTTTAATTACACCTTTTCAACGTAGGCAAAGTCCTAACCATTGCAATAACGCAAGGAAAAAAAAGCACACAGTAGAAAAGTACTCTTGGGCTGGGAATTTAGCTCAGTGGCACAGCGCCTGCCTGGCAAAGTGCAAGGTCATGAATTTGATTTCGTAAACCAAAAAAAGAAAAAGAAAAGTGGCTCTTATTTACAGACCTCCTGGAACTAAACGTAATAGAAGTAACACATGTGTTTTAGCAAGGAGGCAAAGTTGAAACATAAAAATGAATCATATACATGTATTTAAAAGTCAGAAACAGACTTTAGGCCAAAAACACGATGAAAGAAAGCCTGTTTAACAAACAGTGCTAGGAAGATCGGCTATCCACATGCAGAAGATTGAATCTAGGACCCTATCTCTCACCATGAACTGAACTAAAATCAAAATGGATCAAAGAGCTAAATAACCAAAATAGAAATACTTAATCTGCTGGAAAGTAAAATAGGCAAGGGCTTTCTCAACAGAACCCATTTGCACAAGAGAAAACCAAGAATCAGCAAATGGTAGCATGTAAAATTACAAAGCTTCTGCACAGCAAAGGAAGCAACCAACAGAATGAGGAGACAACCTACCGCATGGGAAAAAATTCTGCCAGCTATTCCTCAGAGGACTAATATCTAGACATATACAGAGCTCAAAAAAACTTTTATTCCCCCAATAAAAAATGCAATAAAAAATGGACAACTGAAATGAACAGATGCTTCTCATAGAAAGAGGTACAATTAGCCAGTAAATACATGAAAAAATGTTCAACATCTCTGGTCATCAGAAAGTACAAATTCAAGCAACAATTACTCCAGAAAGATTGGTCATTTTCTTTTGTTTTTTTTTTTAATTTTATTTAAGGAGAAAAAAAAAAACAGAAAAAGGGTACAAGTTAAACAGAATCTCAGAAGAAATAAACAGTAGGAAATCATTAGCTAACGGATTATATATTGTCATCTTAGAAATAGCTGTTCAAGTTACAAAATCAAAGCATACAAAGTGGACATTCAGACAGTGAGACTGCAAACAGTTCTGTTCAATGATCCAACAAAACTCAGTAATATGGTCATCTATCTTACACAAATATACATGCAGTTATATAGAATGGTTATTGTCAAGAAATCAGATAACATCAGGACTGAGGATGTAGCTTGGTGGTACACCTGGTTTGATTCCCAGCACCAAAAGAAAACAAAAAAAATAGGTAACAACAAATGCTGGTGAGGGTGGAGGTTGAGGGGAAGAATTCTCCATAGTGTTGGTAGGAATGTAAACCATGCCACTACTTTGGAGAGTCTTCAAAACACTGAAACTAGAAATTCTGTTTGAGCTATTCCCCTTTAGACGTCTTTCTGAAAGAGTTAAAGATGTCATATTACATTAATAAATGCATATCCATATTTTTGGCAGCACAATTCACAAAAGCTAAATCTTGCAAACAACCTGTATGTCCATCAGCAGATGCATAGATAAAGGAATGGGATATTTACATTCAATGGAGTACTACTATGCGTTAAAGATAAGCTTGAGTCATTTTTAGGAAAATGAATGCATCTTGAAATGATAATGTTAAGTGAAATAAATCAGACACATAAGTTTAAATACAGTGTAATTTTATATGAGAAATTAAAATATGAATAAAGCTGGGCACAGTGACACACACTTGTAATCCCAGCACTTGGGATGCTGAGGCAGGAGGGTTGCCATGAGTTTGAGGCCATCCTGAGCTACAAAGTGAGTTCGAGGGCTGGGGATTTAGGTCAGCGGCATAAGTGCCTGCCTGACAAGCACAAGGTTGTGAGTTTGATCCCTGGTATAAATTAAAAAAAAGTAAGTTCAAGGCCAGCCTGAACCATATAATGAAACCTGCCTCAAGAAGACCAAATATAAATGAAGAATAAATGATAGCTAATAGGAAGTAGATCTTTCTCAAAGGAGAAGGCATTCTGGAATGGGAGCAAGGCAGGAGGGAGAGGAGGAAAGGGGAAAGAAAAAAGTTAGGATGCTTTAATGCATGTACCAACTGCTCAAAAGGAATGTAACAAATATATCTTGCAAATATCACACAAAAAAGGGGACAGAGATCTAGAGCGGGATGAAGGGGCGTCTTAATTACTTTCTTATTGCTGAGACAAAGTACCCAGTGCCCAAAGTTAAACAAGGAAAGGTTTATTTTGGCTAATAGTTTATAGAGGTTTCAGTCCACAGGCAGCTGGCTCCAGGCAGGGTGCTTGGCAGGGCAGCATCAAAGAGGAGAAACGGTTGGTGGAAGGCAGGCCGGAGAAACAATGCAGCAGGAAACAGCAGCAGCAGCAGCCTGCCTCTCCCTTCTGTCCCTTTTAGGCCGCCCACATTTTTCATGGTGTGGCCCACAAACAGCGTTCGCCTTCCGTTGTCTACAGAAGGGTGCTAAGCCAGTCAGTAGACTAATTCAGTACCACAACCCTGAATGCCAGCATCACGCACCCTAGATCCAGCCACCTCCTAAAAGCCCCCCACGACCACATGAGGCTTTGTGGGGACCTCATATACAAGCCACAAGGGAAAGGGAGGGAAGGAATGGAAAGGGGATGAAAAAAGTTTAAGAGGTATTGTGTACATGGACCATTTCCCAACAAGGAATGTAAACATTATGTACTACAAACATACTAATAAAAAGGAAATTAAGAATCTGGCCCCCAAAATAACAGACTCAAACAAAAAATGGGCAGCTGAAGTGAGACACTTGACCAATAAATGCATGAAAAATGTTCAACATATCTGGCCATCAGAAAAATGCAAATTCGGGCTGTGGATTTAGCTCAGCAACATAAGCACCTGCCTTGCAAGTGTGCAGTCCTGAGTTCGATCCCTGGTACCAATAAAAAAAAGACAAAAAAAAAGAAAAGAAAGATGCAAATTCAAATAGCACTCAGATTCCCTTGCACTCCAGAAAGAGTGACTATCGTGAAGAAGTCAGGCAACAGATGCCAAGTTGGTGGCTCAGGCCTGCGATCCTAACAGGGGGCTGAAGCAGGAGGATTGCCCTGACTTCAAAGCCAGCCTGGGCTACATGGTGAGTTCAAGGCCAACCTAGATTACAGAGAGAGACCTCTCAAAACAAAATCAGATGGAACTGATGATGCTTGCCTGTAATTCTTTTTTTGTTTTGTTTTGTTTTTTTCGGTACCAGGGATCGAACTCACGACTCCCTGCTTGCAAGGCAGGTGCTCATGCCGCTGAACTAAATCTGCAGCCCCACTTGCCTGTAAT